GTGAAATTTTTAGAAGTAAAACTATGCTGCTTTAGTCAGCCATTTTATTGCTTCACTAAAGATTTAACTGTCATTACATTGCTCTGTCATTACTGTTTGAAAAGCCAGATGTGTTTGGTAATATTCCTCTCACATACAGACACTACTTGGCATGTGAACTGGTTGTATTTGAGGCTTTCTCAAATACAAGCCAGACACGCTTACATTCTGTCTCTTTCTTGTATGTGTGTGCTGCTAATTGAATTTTCATGCGCCATGTTCTCCTCTCCGTCCCCTGTCTCGCACAGATCTGTGTGTGTGTGTGCATGACTGAGAATGTCAACTGTCGTTTCACACAGCATGCAAACACTCACTCTCAGAACTGCAGAACTGTCACAATATTTGTGCGTGGATACAGACAGTTTTAAAGGAACAACTGAAGTGTTTCTTTCTTTTTTCTTCTTTCATTTTATTTTACTTAACATTTGAGTCTCGTTGAAGAGAATGCGTGCAGAGGGCGATGTTTGCATCATGATGTTGGCGGAGCGACTATTCCTGAGTGGCTCTTGATGGATTTTCTTTCTGTTGTTTGTTCCAGGCCGTTTCTCTCTGCCTGACTATTATTAATCACATATAGCAGGCATACATCTCTTCACATTATATGTATAGTAACCGGATTCCACTCAAATGGAAATGTGTTGTGCAAATTTATGAATAGTTTTTATTCCCTCTGTGGTGATCGTTCACTCAGTGCCACAAAAAATAACACCACTGGGATTCTGCACCTCAGATTTGTTCTTGCCTGTTTAATGTCAACGAATCATCTTTACAGTGTATGCTGATAACTGTATTGATAAAGCTGATTGATAAAGGTTCCAGTTCCAAAGCTTATTTTAAAAATTTGGGAGATTTTAAAGACTTTCTATGACAGTATTTAGAAATGATGTAAATTAATGTAAATTAGTTAATGTACCAAGTTCTTTTTCTCTCTCTTGTCCTCTCCTTGCAGGGCATTTGTTCCAGGTGGCAGGTGATCCAGGGATTGGAATGTCAGCAGTGTCCAGTGCCTTCCCTATGGTGTCCCATCCCGTCTTTAGCATTTACTCTACTCTATCTGGACGCTCTCATTTCGGAGGCTTGGGGACGCTGGGGCTTCCAGCGGCTCTCGCCTCGCATCCCCAGCTTGGAACCTTCCCAGGTATGCAAGTGTTACAGGTGATCCAATTTAAGCATCTTCCCTGAAATGTTGCTGCTGAAAGGTGGTCTTCGCAGCCTTTACTTGTTCTTGTTATTCTTGTTCTTAATTTTGTTCTTGATCTTCTTCTCGTGCTTCTTCATCATCTTCAGTGTAGAAGTAAGAGTATTATTTGTTTATTTATAACGATTTCAAGGTTCAATTAAACCAGTTCCATTAGTGCATTATGCTAAAAACAAGGTGTAGTGTTTGGTCATGAATACAACTCTTCATCTTCAAAAGCTGTATGTCTCTCCAGATTTTCTTTTGAGCTTTGTTGAGGTGGCACATGACAAACCACATTCTGTTGGTTTGTTGTGTCTGAATATTAACTTTTAGACATTTTTAAAGTTTTGCTCTTGGGCTGTCTTGCTCTTTCCATTTACTTGTTTTGTTTTCCACTCATTGTTTTGTTTATGCTGTTGTTGTGACTTGGCCTGGGTTTGCCATTTGTCACAAAGGGGATGCAACTGGAGAGCATCTCCAAGGCACTGACTGCTCTGAGATGAACAGCTTGTTGTGTTTCAGATTTACTATTCTCATCATGTTTACAGTGATGGCCTGCACCGAAGTGGATGGAATATGTTGGTCATCTGCTCACACTTCAGCTCAAAAACTGCAATGATGGTTATACACAGCTTTGTGTTTGAGCACTTATGTCTGTTTGTGTTAAACCTGGTCACTGTAATCACCTAAATAGAATTACTGTGCCTCCTTTAACAAATCCCTCTTCTGAGTGGACCAATTGCCTGTATATAGATTTTTAACAGATTTATGGAATAGTTTGTTTCCTGATATGGCAATTTTAAGAGAAAAAAATTAAGCCATTTAATTAGGGTTGGGTTCTCTTTTCGGTATTGCAGTTTGTTATTATTGAGAACACCTTGGAATGTTCCAGTAGTAATCAAATGAGCTGAGAATGCTGTTTTCTATAATAATCCAGTCAGATATGATTCCTAAACTGTAATGTTATAGGCTGTCTAATAGGATCTGTTGAGTAAGACTTGAATAAGACAGTAATTTACACTCTTTAAAGAAGGATTTGTTTTGTTTTATCTTTTCCTCTCAGATTGGTGGCGGGCATCAGATGCACAGGTTCATGGAGCAGCTGCACTCTTTCCCCCTCTTTTAGGCCTGCCCCCCTTATTCACTCCTCCAACCCTGAGCACAGACCCCACCCCTGGGCAGCCTCACACCCCCAGCAAGAGCAAACAGGCCTCTGCTAAAGGTACCACTGTTCATGCACAGTTTACTGTCTTGAGGATTGTTATGGTCAAGTCATTTCATTTTATTAATGATGCCATATTTTTTTCTGGTTCATTTGCTTTTGCTGGAGCACTATGCCTGTAGAGTAAAGGTTAAGTGTGTTAAGTGTATTGTGGTGGTAGGACAATGCTAGCTACTGTTGCTGTAATACTTATGCATGCTTTGGAAGAGGAAATCTCAAGTGCACTTAGCAGCAAGCATGCTCAGAGAGGCCTTTCAGTGTTTGAGCCAGAGGGAGGCGGTGCATGGCCCATACATGTTGTGAAATGAATTTAATTGCCTACAGAGGCAAAAATTATTCTTCTTGGGGTCTCTCGGGTTTGAACGCAGGTGCTTGCAGTTAGCTAGTGATTGCTGTTGTCCTCTGGCAAAACACTTAGCTTTTTTATGCGTCTGAAGTTTTAAGTTTTATCTATCCTCTAGAGGAAACAAGATGATAGGCTCAAAGCTGAGATGCTTTGACTGTAACTTTATATGGCTTCCAGCTGTATGAAGAAAAAAGGAAAGAGACCACATATTTTACATATTTAAACTAAATGGCAGTAATTTATAATATTCTTTGGTGTCACAAAGGTTTTTGAACCAGTCTTTGTTCACCTATGTGTGTGTCTGTATATGTCCACAATGTAGGGTTGAATGGCACAGTGAATGGCAATGGCAAGTCCACTTCCTCTGGAGCAAGCTCTGCCTCCTCTTCACCCTCACCAAATCTTATGACACCCGAGCAGAGCAAGACCCCTAAACCAGGCCTGAACCCACAAACCCACAGCCAGATCCTTAAACCTACCCTGACCCCACAAAATCACAACAAAATTACCCCCAAACCCACTCACCACCACCTCAAAAGCCACAAGTCAGACAGCAAACCCCAGCACGGAAGTAGGAACCACAAGATCAAGACAGGTCAAGTCCAAGAGAAATCCAGCAACAAAAAAGAAAAGGTAAAGACCACCAGCCCCAGCACAAATATTGCTATAATTGCATATGAATGCCTGCTAACAATGTTAAAGTAAATTTAGTTTGTGAACAAAAAGAGATGTTTCTGTCAGCGCTTCTGCATGTGAGAATCATTTAAAGAGCCCATATCCTACATTTTGCGTTTTATTTTATTTCTCCTGTGGAGAAAATTTATCACTTATGGTGTAATGTTTGAGTGGGATTATTTACCATAAAATGTCAAAGTTTAGTTTTAGATCACTATTTTTGAACCTCTGTTTATCCTTCACCATAAGATCACATCAGCAGGTGACAGATGACCAGTCCTTGCCTATGGAAGCAGAGGTTTTGTAGCCATGATTTAGCAACAAGCGAGAAGTAACACAGTAGAAGGGCAACAAACGACAAATCTAGTTAAGATATTCTCAGCTTCATGCAAATGAAGTATGACTGTGAAGTGACAATCTAAATGATTGGTTCGAAAAAATTCTTCAGACCAGCCATAGACAAGAGTGTCCCAGGTCTTCTTGTTCCTCCTGCCATTTCATTCATATTCCCAATAGTATGGCAGAAAAAATGGAAGAAAAACGTATAAAATTATTTATAATTGTGTTATACATATATTATACATATTGACATTAAACTGTTTTGTTAAAAAAGGGGGACATTTTTTGACATGGGCCCTTGAAGCACAACACCTTTTATCAGCTGTCTGATATCCTATAAATATCATCTATGATCTGTTATTTTTTATATAATATCATTACACAGTATGATATTGGTGGCTATGTAGGTAGTGCACTGCAGAGGATCTCCAGGTACTGGCTGTCATAAAAATCTGTCAGTTGTTCTATTTATGGAGGATAACTCTGATAGGGTTCCTGGAAGCACTGTTGAGATTGACGGATGAGGTGTATATCTGTCTGTGTGGGGAAACGAGCGATGAGGTGTGTGTGTGTGTGTGTGTGTGTGTGTGTGTGTGTGTGTACATGGGCTGATACTGATTGACACTTCTCTTCATGACAGAAACTCTGTAAGACAATGGTAGAGATTTCCAGCGATAGCCGATCAGGTTGCAGCTCTGACAGCTCCAGCGACTCACTCAGCAGCTTGGACTCGGCCGATCTAGACGACGACGATGATGATGAGGATGATGAGGATGGTGCTCTGAGCATTGCCAGTGAAGACTCTGACTCTGACCGCGAGCAAAGAGTGAAGAAGAAAGTTAAGGTGCTTTAGAGACTTCCTTGAATTATAAATATCCAAGTTAGCAGTTATGCCTAAGGGTGGAGTGGTGCTCTTCTTATATAAGACTTGAAACCTTGGATGAATTGAATGCATTTTATTGTCTTTTTGTTTTGATGTCTTGAAAAATTTTTCTAAAGGTCTCGAGTCGTGAAATGTCAGAGCAGGTTCCTGTGGAGAATAGCCCACTGAGTATGTGTGTGTGTGTGTGTGTGTGTGTGTGTGTGTGTGTGTGTGTGTGTGAGAGACAGACAATAAGCATTGTTGCATTATGAAGGTGGCAATTCAATTGCTTCCATTTTGGGATGTTATAGTGATTTCTATAATATTGAATAAAGTCTGCAGTAGAACGAGTAGCCTAAACCATACTCAAGGAAAAGTTTGATACTTCAATTTTAAATAATAATAGAATTGACCTCTCTAATTTGTTTCTGGAGAAACATAATTGAACCAAATAGTTGACATCAGAGATTGACAGCCCAGTCAGTAATAACTGAACGAATCTCATGTGACTGTGTCCTTCCTTGTGCCTCCTCTCAGTACTCTCCACAGGCAAGCCGAGTGAAGGATGGCTTTGCTGCCAGAGCAGACATTCGCTCTTTGGACCCTCACAGCAGCCTGCTGTCCTCCTTCTTCTCCAGGAAGACTTCCTCCCAACCTCTCACACTCTCTCAGGCCAGTCCCCTGCTCTTCCAGAGCTCCAGGCCCAGAGTGGAGGCCACCAAACACACCAGCGTCATCCAGGCTACAGGACTAGCAGCCAGCTCCAAGCCCCTCCCCCTCATCACCCAAGATCAAGGAACCTCCTCCAGACCACCGACTCCTTCTTCTAAACCCCTGTGTCTTGCCTTGTCCCCCAAAACTCCCTCTCTCTCCTCTTCTCCAAAGAACCTGTCCATTTCTTCATCCCCCAAACCTCTCTCTCTTTGCCTATCCCCAAAACATTGCTCTGTCTCTCCAGCTCCAAAACCACTTCTCTCCATCTCTCCTAAGCCTCCCTCCCTCTCCTCCTCTCCCAAACCTGACACTCTCTCACCATCTCACAGACTCAAAAGCCTGGCCTCGTCCCCCAGGCCTCCCTCTCCCAGAACCCCCTCCCTACTACCTGAAAGCCTGAGGGCGGCAAGCAGGAGTTCCCCAGAAAAGCCCCTTCAGCACACCAATGACTTTGCTCATCTAAAACAGGTGCCTACCTCTCTTTTTCTCTTCTTTACACTGTTTAGGGAAGCATTATTTTTTCGAGATTCACCATCTAGACTGTTTTTGTATTATGAAAGTAAATGTTTTTTTAAATACACAGTTGTAATAAGTCACAGAAATCACATATATATCTTTTTGAAGCAGTGAGAGTTAACCAGAGAGAAGAATTACAACACAGTCACAGGAATCACATAGCTACAGAATCTGTCTTTTTACTGAATTCAACTCACTAAAGTTTAGAGGATAAAAATTAAGATCTGAGAGAGCAAGCATATGCTGTTGGATGTGGAGCTGTTAGCTTAGCTACTCCACTGTCTTAATTAGCCTTAGAAGTTAGCATTAATGAGCCAGCTAAAACAGCTTCACACACCACCACACAGGTTCAGTTCCAGCTCAGTGATGTTTTGTTGACACTTGTTTAGAGAATAAAGACTCAGATCTGTAGGAGCACATCATCTGTTTTTGAGTTTGGGACCACTAGCTAAGCTATTATTAGCTGTTATTAGTACGAGAGGCTAATGCTAGCTTAGAAACAGACTAAAACAGCTTCACAGTCCACAACTCAGGTTTGATATGTGCATGTTTAGAGGATGATGACTCAAATCTGAGCGAGTCAGTATAATCATAATCAGTTTCTCTCTGTAACAATTGTTGTTCAAGTTATGGTTTTAACAATTATTGAGTGATTAATTGAAAATTTTACTAGTTTACTTTTTGATTATTTTTTGTTTCTGCTGTGCTCCATCTCATCTGCTCAACCTGTTTAAACATAGAGATTTATTCCCCATTCACCAAAGGTAGAAGCACGGTACATGGGGTCGTGGGCTGGGGTTTGGAAACTTGCAGGCAGAGAAACATTTTCAGTTTACATAATCATGCATATTTATAGGTTTTCACACCTTTAATGTGTGTTAAGGTTTAGAGATGCTTCTAATATATATGAGTATGCTTCTAATATTTTCCTGGGCATAACAACAATACATAAAATATTGAACAATTCATTATTAAAGATAGGGTAACTCAAAGTAAACCTATACATTTTATAGGTATGCAAAACAGGTACATTTTTTGGAGTGTTTTATTGACTGATTCACTATAAATGTACTATAGATTTCACATATATAAAGTAGATTTTATTTTATCATGCTGATATTTGCTGTTCCACTTTGTGGTCAAAAAAAAATGGCAGTATTTGGCACAGCCTCTTTTTACTAATCATATTTATTTTTCTGCATACATTTTCAGTTTGTTTGGTTGCAAAGCTCATGTGGTCTAAGCAACAGAAACTGTATTGAAATAATTGTGTTGGCATCAATTTTCCAGATTTTGCTAGCACATTTTAATTACTCCCTCAGTCTGTTCCTGCTTATAAGCAGTAACATTTTGTTTCACTTATTTCGGCTGAATTGTTCACAAGCAGTATGTGCTTGAAACAAAGTATTAATAATAAAATAATCATTATTGTTAAGTATCATTTTAATTAAATGTTTGTATGTTTAGTATTTTAAAATTATTCAACACCAACTAAAATGTGTTGAGCCCTGCCTTCCCCTACCTCACGTTCAGGGTGTTTGTGTAGAGTATAGGATGTCAGAATATGTAAATCAGCATGTATTGTTGTTATTATGCATGCACACACAAGTGCAGTATAAGATGACTGCATATTATCCATGCCCAGAATCCATCCACCCTTATTTATAGTTCAGTATAACACCACATTTTGTTCATTTTACTTTTCAGTTCATGTAATTTATTCTTGAGTCATTTGTTTTGTGGCAGGCAGCCTAGAAAAGGTCACCATGTTTGTGTGTGTGTGTGTGTGTGTGTGTGTGTGTTTGTGTGTGTGTGTGTGTGTGTGGGTCTGAGGGTCTGAGCCATAGTCTGTCACTCTAGCTTTCCACTGGTCTGCCCACTGTACATGACTGACAGCGACAGCGCTGTTAGCTTGCTGCAAACACTGCCACTGCCATCAAGCAGACAACCAATTAACCGTGTGGTGCTTTGGATGCGTGTATCAGAGCAGGGTGAAGGCTCTGCCCGTTCTTACCATTGTAATTACAATGACCCATTTTAGCATCTTGGACTCATAATTTAGCTATGATGGATGTGGTACCATACGCTTTTACATAGAAGGTCAATAAACAGTTTAAAATGAAAATTGTTAAATGCCAAATATGTTAACTGTTTTCTATGTATTTGAATGTATGTTTGTAATCTCTGATGTTGTTAATGTTGTTATGAAAACAGTAGTTTGTATGCTCACAACCTTGGTATAAAAAACATTGCTCATTATTGAACTGCCTCTCTAATTTACATACAGTAAATGTAAAATGGCTGACAAATATAAAGCAATTGTTCTTTTATTAATATGTTATTTATGTTTTATTTATGTAATTCATTTATGTGGCTCTCTTGCTTTTTCAGGAACCTTTCAGACCCCCACACCAGAAAGCAAGTAACCCCTTGAAGAGAACCACTCTTCGTGACAGTCGTAAGCTCCAGTCTCCCCACAGCAAACACCAGCATTCCAATCTGTTTCTGTCCTCCACTCTGTTGGAGAACTCCCATCCTAATGGGATCATCCAGAACACTGTGCAGGATGCCCCTCTAGACCTCATCACCAAACCTCGCTCCCACAGCTCCGGAACTCCCAATAAGGCTTTACTAGCAGCTGCCAGTCCCTATTTTAACACGCCCATCAACCTGACCACTGGAACCAAGGAGCATTCGCCTGGACTTGTCACCCCAAACCAAACCTCCACTTCACCCAGGCTGAGCTCAAGAGCAGCTCAAAGAAAGGCCTCCAGGCCTGTGCACAGGGCAGGGACAAACAGCCACCTGCTGCAGTCCCTGGTGGAATTAGCAAGAGGGACGGAGTCAGACATTACCAGCAGCAAAGACTCTGATGACTCTGCATTGGATGAGGATGAGGCAGAGGACGAAATTGACAAAGATTCAGATGACAGTCTAACAGGCAAGCTCATTTAAAGAAATAGTTCAGATCTAATTTACACAATTTTTCCCCTTACTCCAAATGTAGATGGCAGCCAAGACATGTTATTGGCTTCTGGATCTATGAGGCCATTATAGCTAATATGTAATGAGAGCCACACTTGATGCCAGTAATTTAGCCCTACTTTTGTCCATTATTATAGAGAGCAGTTTGTCCTATAGTCTCAGAATTCAGGTAAGCAAGTCTTTTAACTGAACAGCTCTATATGATTTGAATCTTTTGAGATGTTCTTAACATGCAGCTTGGACAGTTTTAAATGGTGGAGTATAATTTAGATTACTTTTTAGCTACTTTGTCTTCATAGCTCCAGTGCAAAACTAAAGAAACAAACTTAAAACGCCAATCATGTCATGGCTAATCAACTAAAATTCTATATTGTGTTCTCTGTGACTATGACTGTGACTGAATCTTTATAGAAATTTGAGATTATAGCCTGTATTGATTAAAGTTAAATTAATATCATTGTTTTAAATTGTGACAACTTGCGTCTGACATGTTTGTAATTGGATAATGATGTATTTGGAGAAAATCTCTCACTCTGCATCCTTTTCTGCAGACTCTGGCAGTAATCTGGACAGTGACTCTGATGATGATGATGACGGTGAAGAAGAGGAGGAGGACAAGGCTGAAGAAATAGAGACTGATACAGAGAATGAGAGAACGACAGTCAAACTCACTAAAAGCTCAACCTCCTTAACAGACAGCACTTCCAATATGGTCACTAGCTCTGCCTCCCTCAATCTGCATATCCATGATCTTCCAGCAATATCTTTGTCCGCTGCTGTGACCAGCTCTGGCACCCCGGTCTGTCCCAGCACTCCCTCTTCATCATACAGTCTTCCAACTCCTCCGGGTACTAATGCACACTGAACAGTTTGGTTTCTGCAAGTAAATGTTTGCATGTTTTCACTTACTGATGATTGTTTGCTTTCAGGCTCAAGAAAGAGAAGAAGAGTGACGGATGAAAGGGCGCTGCGTAGGCCTCTTGAGCATGGGTAAGAGATCCATTTAGTGTAAAAGAGCTGAAATATGGTTAAACCTGGGTAAAAGGTCTGTCTGCTCAATATAAGGAATCTGAAAGATCTAAGCTCTGTTTCAATGATTTGTGGGCTAATCACTGTCCGCACTGAAAGAAGACATTAGAGAAACAGTGGAAACTGAACAAGTGATAGAAAAAAGAGGGCACCTTGGTAGAGAGGTTAAAATCAAAGCTAAAGAGAACAGAATAAAATTGGGAACGAAAAGCTGAGAGGACTGTGAGCTGTGTAGTCTCAGTCCATGCTCTGCTGAATTCTCGCTCAGGCTTGCTTGACTAAAGCCATGGCACCTGTCCAGAGGAGGACAGAAGAGAATGGCCTTCTGGCCTCTACCCTTCATCCATCCATCCATCCATCCATCCATGGTCCCATCCTAACTGATTGGGTCTGCTGGCACAGAGATGCAGTGATTCCAGGTCCCTGGAGTATCCCGTTGTGTGTCACAGCTGGCCAAACTTGGAGAGCCTCATTTGAAAAAATGGCCAGGTTTCTGGGCCCGAGTGCAGTTTGAAACAGGAAGATATTCCGTTAGGGTGGAAGAGTCACTCTAATTAGCTTTATTGCCATATGTTTTAGGGGGTTGAGACAAATAAGTTTGATTTGTGATATGTTTTGTCTCCAGGTGGCAGAGAGAGACTCGTATCATGAGTATCTGTGGGCGAGTGCAGGGAGAAGTCGTGTACTATGCCCCCTGTGGCAAAAAACTCAAACAGTACCCGGATGTCATAAAGGTAAAGATCAATCCTGCTTCCTGGTGATGCTGATTATTTGCACTTTCCTGAATATGTTTGACGTGAAACAAGCATGTTAAAACAGCTCTTATAAGCTGCATTTAATGAAGACTTTAAGCTGACTATGTTGCTTTTTTTTTTTCTTTTGCAGTATCTAGCAAGAAATGGAATAAGTGAGATCACGCGTGACCATTTTAGCTTCAGTGCTAAAATAAGGGTAGGGGACTTCTATGAAGCTAGAGAAGGACCAGAGGTGACTACTTGTATACTTCCTATTCTTTCCTAAACTGTTTTTCTTATTTTAAAGATGCACTTCTGTTGTTGTATAGCCCATTCAGTCCTGATCTCAGACATTGCAAGCCTTCACTGAGAGACGTGTTTTGATCTGGCTGCATTGAAAATGCGATGTTGTAATCTTGTGTGTGTGTGTGACAGTTGAAAGTAAGTTGTGCAACAATTTAACAGTTGGAGAAAACTTCTGAAATAGCAACACAGAACAGGAAACACAGAGATAACCGCTTAACGGAAAAAGCCAAAAGCACCTCCATGTTTTTATAGAGTTTTAATTAATGATGTTTTTTTTTTGTGCTGCAGTACCAACAAAAAGTTTGGACACACCTGATATGATGTGCGTTTCCTCATGATCCTAAAGACAAGTTGATCTGAAAGTTTTATGTTTAAATGCTTAAAATTTGTTTCTAAGAAAAAAATGTTAGAGTTGATGCCGATAAAACAAAAGCATTTAAGTAAATAATCAAAAAATAGAATTTGAAATGCCCTCCCAACAAACAGTTTCTGTCACAACAATTGCTCAGCATATGTGGAACCTTCAGGCTTGTGTTGGAAAAACATCCCAGGTGGCTCCTCATTAAGCTTCTTGACAGAAGGCTGGGGGTGTGGTGCTTTGAAAATCTAAAAAGATAATTTTGGTTTGTTTAGAACTGCGTAATTCTGTGTGTTATCTCATAACTTTGAGGTCTCTGCTATTCTTAGATGTAATGAAAATCCTTCTATAAGTACTGGTACTGTGCATAACATACTTTTTTTTTTTTTAATTAATTGTAGTGAAATTGTTGTGCTGACAGTGCTTGTTTATGTGAGAACACTGATTTTTGTTTCTTGGGCACTGATTGGCCGGTTATGTGCTGTTTATTTCCAGGGTTTACAGTGGTGCCTGCTGAAAGATGATGAAGTCATTCCTCGTATCCTGGCAATGGAGGGTCGGAGAGGCCGTCCTAAAAACTTGGAGTTCCAGCGTCCGGCTGACGCCTCTGGTGGTAACCCCCTTGGTTCCCGCCACAGGAAAATAAAGACACCTAACTTGGGGGAGGCCGAAGCTGTCAGCGCTGCAGATGCTAAAGTACTTCGTAGGCTGGAGGCCCAGGGTGAGTCTGTGCCTTTAACCAGTTAGCCTCTACTTCATTTACTGTCTCCATGATAGTGATGTCCAAACAATGGCCTGATCTTTCCTCTCCGTTGCTTTTTAAATATTAGAGAACAGGGCTATATGACAGCCTTTAGCAAACTGTTAAGATACATTTCAACAGAATAGTTTGGCCCACTGGGCTAAAGCAGCATACATGTTGTATTTTCCACTCGTCAGCCTTTCTAGGCATTATGATAGGCACTGAGCAAATGAATAATCACCCTCGTCTTCCTGTTTCCTCTGGGTCAGAGATTGCACGGCAGGCTGCTCAGATAAAGCTGATGCGAAAGCTGGAGAAGCAGGCACTTGCACGAGCTGCTAAAGAGGCCAAGAGACAGCAAGGTAAAACTGTTATGCCCTGCACAGCTTGGATGCCTCTTTTTGACAGGAAGGGCTGCTAAGTATGTAGTTTTGCAGTATACATTGCAGAAAGTCTGCACTACACTCTGTATTCTTAACAGTGCACGTATTCACTTCTGTCATAAGCCTTTATTTTTGTAAGGTGTTATAGGCTCAAATCAAACAAGTTTGCACTAAAATGGAATGACAAATTACTGTGCAGTACCTCTAATCATTGAATCGCACCTGAATAGTTTTCATACAACAACCACCATTTTTAAAATCAAACATATTGAAGGACAAAGACCCTCATTTGTACTCTTATTTGTACAGTCAGTCAGTGCTCATTTTGATAATTTTAATCGACACTGACCCCTGATGGCTAGTCCTATGCTGTTGTATTTCCCAGTGTGAACAGCTTATGTATGATTTTAAAGTGGCTATTGAAGTCCTCAATTTGAAACTGAGCATGTGTCTGTGACAGCTCAGCTTGTAAACAAAGGCTCAGATAGAAAGCTTTCCAGGTGATCATTTGTTAAGTTTGTGTTGTGATTTCAGCGCTGCTGGCAGCAGAGGAGAAGCGGAAGCAGAAGGAGCAGCTGAAGATTCTGAAGCAGCAGGTACAGACATCATCATTTTTTCCCCACACTGATGCACACAGCCTTCACAACACCTTTCACCTCCTCTGTGGGAAACCCCACAATGTTCCTCCTCCACTGCACTAACTAGCGACATTTAGCCCGTCAGCTAGCCTAATCATGCTGATTGTAGAGAAAATGGCTGTTCTCTACACATAAAATAGATGTGTTGGGATGCATAAGTGTGAGTATGTAAATAAAAAAAAAAAAGCTGTTCTTATACTGAAGGCCTGTGAAAGTCAGTATGAATTAGAATGTTTTTGAATGCAGTCATTACATTCCACATGCCAAGAGCCAGTTTCCGCCCCAGATGTCCATGCTGCCAAGGACCTCCCTGCCATCTCCCACTGCCTGGTCCCCCATGCTGAACCTTGCGGGTGATGGGCCCACATGGTCCTATGGAAGGGGAGAGGACTTGCCCCAGGTGGAGGAATTGGGATTGTAAGATCGGCTGGAGGCTGGGACAGGCAGCAGCAGCAATGCAGTCGCTGTACAAAGCTCTCTGTTTACCAGTTGGTCTACACCCCCACCCTTACCTATGGTCATGAGCTTTGGGTAATGACTGAAAGAACGAGATCGTAGATGCAAGTGGTGGAAATGAGCTTTCTTCTCAGGGTGGTGGGCTACACTTTACTTAATTGGGTGAGAAGCTCAGTCATCCGAAAGGAGCTCAGAGTAGAGCTGCTACTCCTCTACTTTGAGAGGAGCTAGTTGTGGTGGTTCGGGCATCTGATTGATCTACTCCCTGGCTGCCTCTCGTTGGAGGTTTACCAGGCAAGGCCGACTGGTACGAGACTCCAGAGTCGTCCTAGGCCTTGCTGGAGGGATTATATTTCCAAGTTGGCCTGGGATCAGCTCAGGATCGCCCAGAAGGCTGGAGGAAGTTGTGGGGGAGAGGGTCGTCTGGGATTCTCTGCTTTCCCTATTGCTACTGCAGCCCTAGCTGGATCAAATGGTTTAAGAAGATGAATGAATGAATGAATGAATGAATGTAATCATTGTCCTTCTTTTCTGTCTTTTCTTGTTCACTCTTTTTCACACTTTCTTCCCATCTCCCCCTGTCTTGCCCTGTCTTCTGTTATCTTCCCCCATCTCCCCGTTTCGCTGTCTCCCTAACAGGAGAAGATCAGAAGAATCCAACAGATCCGTATGGAGAAGGAACTTAGGGCTCAGCAGATACTTGAGGTAAAAACAAACCGACCTTTACTGAATGAATTTGTTTAACAGCTTTGAACAGCTCATTTTTACCAATAATGGTAAAAAGGGACTTTATACATACAGTCCATACATATACATATTTAAAAACAATACATTTGATTTCAGCGTGCAGACTTTCAGCTTTAATTTGAAAGTATGTACATCCAAATCAGCTGAACAATGTGGAGTTACTACTATTTTCATACATCGCCCCCTCATTTTTAGGGGCTCAGAAGTAATTGGACAAATTAACATTTATATTATTATAATAATTATAATTAATATAATTAATTTCATAATTATATATAATCATAATTATAAATGATCTTTTTTAATACTTGGTTGCAAATCCCTTACAGTCAATGACTGAAGTCTGTGAAATGCATGCTTGATTGGATTGAGAACAGGTGATTGACTTGGCCGTTGCAGAACATTCCTCTCCATTGCCTTACAAAAATCTTAAGCTGCTTTCGCAGTATGCTTTGGGTCATTGTCTGTCTGCGTATTTCACTGAATCTAAGCAAATAATATAACTGTATACACTTTAGAATTCATCCTGCTGTTTTTGTCAGCAGTCACATCAGTAAGTACAAGGGAACTAGTTCCACTGGCAGCAATACATGCCCATGGCCATGCCTCCTCCAGATGAGGTGGTATACTTTGGATCATGAGCAGTTCTTTCACTTCTCCATACTCTTCCCACCATTCTGGTACAAGTTCATCTCTTGTGTCACCTGTCTATAAGATGTTGTTCCAGAACTATACAGGATTTTTTTAGATGTTTTTTCAGATTTTTTAGATGTTTTTCTAATTTGGTCACCCTGATTTTGATTTTACTATGGTTTTTACTTCTCTTGATTGTTGACTTTGACACAGATAGGCCGACCCCCTGGAAGGTGTTTTAGTTAACTGTTGTGAAGGGTTTTCTTCACCAGGGAAATAATTATTCTGTCATCCTCCACAGTTGTTTTCCATTGGCTTCTTTTTCTATCTCTATGATGGGTTTGTTTTGATTTCTCAGCCTTTTGCTGGCTTGTTTCACTGGCAGTAAAGTTCTTTGGACTTCATATTGAGAGTAACAGCAATAGATTCCAAATGCAAATAACACACTTGAAATCAACTCTAGACCTTTTATCACCTGGCCATGGAACTAGTTATTTTTGAGCCCCTAAAAATGGGGGGCTATGTATAAAAATGGTTGTAATTCCTACAATGTTCAACTGTTGTGGATATAAATGTCTTAAAATTAAAGCTGGAAGTCTACACTTTGAGCTCATATTCATTATTTAATTTAACTCCAGTATGCTGTGCTAAACAGCTAAAATAACTATAACTTTGATGTCCAAATTTTATTAACCTAACAGAATAACTTTTTATTGTATCTCTGTATAAGATGCTCAAGATGCTATACATAAAATAATTACATATGAACTAATTGATAAACTAGAAAAAGTAAGATAAAACCACAATGTATAAAATATGTAAAAAACATGTGTAGCTGTCTACAAAGCAGTTATTTAACAGGCTAGTCATTTAATATTTGTATCTTTATACGCTGACTCGAAAGCTATTGGTGTTGAGGAGAAAAAGAAAGTTCTTCCTTCAGTCTCTAGAGGTTTAAATGTTAGTCATCTCTAAATGGCAAAAATTAGCACTCCAGTTAATTTAGACCAAAACCCAAAAAGTCAGGTACAGCACTTTTCACAAAACTGAAATAGATGGAGCAAGTGCAGAACTGTGTCCGTGTTTCTGGAGCTTTGCTACCTTTAGTCTAAAGCTGCCACGCTTGGCCAGCCAACCTTAACAGGCTTTTTCATAGCACGTAATTACATATTTAAATGTAAACTTAATTATTCTTTCTTGGTTTTGCCTCCGTTTAAATCTCTTGGAGTGTTTTGCCATTTTCAAGTTAATGGGATCAAAGAATGATTGGCTTCTGATCTGTAGTACATGCTTGTAATATTAAACAGCCGTTTCAACATAAGAGGTTCAGTTTACTCGTCCTGCCCCCACACTCCCCTCTCTCTCTCTCTTTCTCTTCTTTTGCAACAGAAAAACCTCCCTCTCTAGATAGCTGTTGAACACGACAGTTATAAAAAAAAAAATGTTAGTGTTGAAATTTCCCACTAATGCCTATTGTGAAATAAGTGTCTCTCACCAAAATCCACATCCCATATTCTACGACTGGGTAGTGAATGGTGAATCAGATGTGATGCTGAAACACCTTGTGACTGTGCTTTGTGGTCTGAACCTGTTTAGATTTGAGTGCTCGGAGAGAACTAAATACTGTATGAATAATTATCATGGAATGAAGGCCAAAAAATGATGCTGGATTAGCACTTACTCTTCAGTATCTAGTGATAAATAACCCCTACCCCCACCCCCTTCTGTATTTGTAGGCAAAGAGGAAGAAGAAGGAGGAGGCCACCAATGCAAAGATACTAGAAGCTGAAAAACGAATAAAGGTCAGTAACATGTAAGGGAGGTCTCTTTCATCCTTGGTGTGTGAGAGCAGTTAATGAGCTGCTCTCCTAGTCTTTATATCTTGGTGTATAGATATAGGGCTTGTCATGTATAGCTTCAGACATGACAAGCAGACCTGTTTGGTATTAAAGACAACCTAGGCTAGTGCTGTCCTGTGTTTTAGTATTTCTGTTTCATTACGCAGGGATACAATCCCTCCACCGCTACCATGCAGACGTCTGCCAGTCAAGGGATCTCACAATGCAAATAGATGTAGAAATTCCATGTTGTTTTTTTGCTGTTTCTTTCTCTTTGAGTACAATTATTTATTTGTGCTATCTCCGTGCAGGAGAAGGAACTTCGTAGGCAGCAGGCCTTGATTCTGAAGCACCAGGTATGCATCATCAGCCTGCGCCTCAAAATGCCACTCAGTCGTCAATAATTCAGCTTCTGTCTGCTGGAGAAGGGCTCTTAATCAGAAACACTGTAGGATCTCTCCAACACTCATCTTTCATTGCTCTTTACTCTTTAAATGTTTAGGATACCGCTGGCTTGGGGAATTGCTCATGAAAGTAGTTTACTGAACTGTAATTTTGTTTTTTCTGTCTTAATCCTTTGCCAACTCTTTCTGGCAGGAGTTGGAGAGGCATAGACTAGATATGGTATGGGTATGTTTACTTTTGTACCTCTGCTACCATGTTGTGACTTGGTTGTGATGTGGTTGTCTAGTGTATTGTGTATGGAGGCTGCTGTCACCCCTACATTTCCTTTGCATGGCTCTCACTGCACCTTATACTCTGCTCCAGGGAGAGAGAAATATTATACATACAAATATAAAATGACCAACTTATATTTTCACATTAAATCGATCAGTATTGGTATTATTTTTGATTTATAGGATTTGGTTTGTTCAGTCAGTGAGCTTCATATCAAACACTGTCGGCTACGTATGCTCACACACTATCAAAAGTTTGGAATCACTTGCCATATTAACATTTTTTGTTATTCTGTATCACATAATACACAATTGTACAATAAGGATTCAAATATCGCAAACTACAATCTATTTGCCCAAACGTGTTTTGGTTTTTCGTTCAATATTTTAAAAACATCTGTGAACAAGGAGTGAACAAAAGAATAATAATGTAATTCTGTTTAAATAATTTTTGACAAAGTATCTGTCCTGTACTATGATGAATTCTGAATATTTTTATTATAATGTGTTTCTCAACGCCATGCAGTCATTTTAGGGATCTGTTTTATAATTCTGAATCTAATCTAATCAAAAATATAATTTTTATTTATAGATTTTAGTATTTTATTAATGCATTTAAACCTGTCAAGTTGTACAGGATTAGCATATTAGAACCATTTTATACACCTCTCTGAAACCAGTTTGGTTTTATAATATAAACTTTTGAACAGTAATTCAAAAAATTTAAACGCTAGTGTGCATGTTTGACTGTATATAGTTTCAAAAGGCAGTGATTTCTTCCAGGCAACTGCATCTTGTTTAAATGTGTGTTTTTGAGGAAAGGCATAGTACTTTCAGCAGAGGATTCTTCCACTTATTCTCGCTCCCTTGTTCAGCTTGCTGTGCTCTAAATGACAGTGCTTAGAAGTCCCCAGTTTAATGAATAACACTTGTCTGAACTAAACACAGTTCCTTCTTTTCATTTTTAGTGGCAAATGTTGAGGAACTGACCAGTAAGGGCTTTGCAGATACTGACGCATTTTTCCAAATCAGCAGTACTGACTCAAACTTTATCCTTGCACTGCACTGTGTGTGTAGCATCTGCCTGCTGCCTCTCTCCTTTTTGTTTGTTTGACTTGATTTTGCTTTTTTAATCGTGACTAAATCATCTCAAAATAGGCCACTTTGTTTTTCGCTTGTATGTTTCAGTTATGCATTATGCCAAGGTCAAGCCTTACTGGTTTACTTATTTTTATCTTTCTCTATGTGTGTGGATGTGTGTGTGTGATGTTGTAGGAGCGGGAGAGACGAAGGCAGCACATGCTGCTGATGAAAGCCATGGAGGCTCGGAAGAAAGCAGAGGTGTGCATGGCTCTACAAAGTGCTTTATGAGTTTCTGTCATGGGGTACAGTGTCAGTCTGTAATGACTGTAAAACTACAAAGACATTCCTGCTTATTCAACACATTTTTTGCGTAATTCAGACATTGAGTTGTAAACCAAAGTCATTCAGAGAGGTCTGAAGTGTTGCACTGTAGAGAAATCATTGACTCTGATTTCTTCAGGGGTCGTGGTGTCTGCAATGCAAATGTAGCCATTTTATCTACTATCCAAAATAATCAGTGATCCTGCACGTTATCTATATGCAATGTCGATAAAAGTAAAATAGTGGTAAAAATTAATTCTTTAGGCACTACTTTACGGCACAACCAATGCATGCACTTCCTCACCATAAGTAAACAAAAATCCATATTGTACCATGATCTTATCCCAAAATTGTTATGAATAATTGTCTCAGGCATTGGGCAATATATTCTTAACCAATTGGTGTCATTATGTTCTGTGATGTAGCTTTTAGAGACTAAAAGGTAATTTAGAGATTAAATGTTTTAGACATCTGGTTCCTATTACAATCACTGTGAATAATTCTGTTTGTATAGGTTTCTCTCGAATGGGGTATTTCACATCACACCACTCTGAATGACATTTACATCTTCACAGTTTAATTATGCAAAACAATTGAAAATTCTGGTGGAATTTCCCTTTAAATAGAGGAAAGTGTTACTGATGTGAGTTGTGATGGTCAAAATACCATATCTCTTAGGCATATTCCTGCCTCACTTAAGGCCTGTCTCTGTTAGTGTATCTCTCTGTGTCGTGCTCTGTCTTATGCACTTTCCTTTATTTTGACTGTGAATAAGTGTCTGAATGCATGTCTTGAGAATGCATCTAGTAAGAGTAATAGCTTCCACTGCACTGTGCTTTAGTCGATGCCACACACTGCTCACTGCTCTCTGCTATGGCTGCAGGAGAGAGAACGCCTGAAGCAGGAGAAGAGAGATGAGAAACGCTTAAACAAAGAACGCAAACTGGAGCTGAGGAGGCTGGAGCTGGAGATGGCCAAGGAGCTGAACAAACCCAATGAAGACCTCTGTCTGGCAGATCAGAAGGTAGTTATATACCTCAAGACAAACGGAGGAAGATAAAAATTTATATTCCCTGGTTATCTGGGAATTTTTATTACACTATTCACAAACCTGCATGAAGGTGTAGGACTGTTGGGTCTGTTTCCAAAAAGACATGTTTCTAACTTTAATACAGTGGCATGTTTGTAAGTATTCTTTATCACATTACATGATGTATGTGTAGTACAAGCTGTATTGGACTGTGGCACTGGGATGTGGAGCTCAGCACTACCATCTAGTGGTTACATAATTGTATGAAAAAGTTTGGGCACCATTGGCCAAGTTACATATTTTGTTGATTTTTATGGTGAAAAGAGAAACCCAACCTCTGCAGCAAACTATTTAATAAAAAATGTTTTATGCAAATGTTAATGCACAATTACTTTATATCTTATTATCCTAAATAGAAATCAGTAGGGAATAATATAGTAGTTATTTGTGGCTTGTGCAAAAGTTTGGACACCAAGCCCCTGTGCTAATACAGTGAGGGGAAGGATAACGCAGTAGTGGCTATAACTGTAGCTGTTTGTTTTGTTTCTGTGGGTGTGTCTTGAAAAGTGAGCCTTTGTCTCCCTTTCCCTCCGTTTGTAGCCTCTGCCGGAACTGTCCCGGTTGCCAGGGCTGCTCTTGCCAGGTAGCTGTTTTGCAGACTGTCTGATGGTGATGCAGTTCCTGCGCTGCTTTGGGAAGGTGTTGGGCTTGGACAGCAGCACTGAGTTACCCACATTGCACATGCTGCAAGCTGGACTGCTCAACCTGGGCCCCAGTGCAGCACAGCTGCAGGACCTGCTTGTACGTCTGCTCTCTGCTGCAGTGTGTGACCCCGGCCTTCCTCCAGGACACAGAGTGAGGAACACACATCCACACACAGTCACTCAAAAACACATGATTTCTATCTTAGACAGTATGTTGCTGACTCAAATGTTCTCTGCCCACTCACATGGAAAGTTGCTGGTCAGTTCCCTCAGTTTTTCATTCTGTGTAATCACAGTGGAATGTACTTCTCTATCTGGAAAGATGATCAAATGAGTGCAGACCTCTACAGACCATGTTCTGCTGCTCAGAGAGCATGATCACTAGTGACACAGACACTGTTCCTCTTTGTTTAGATTAACATTCATTTTTGTTGTAATTATAGCCATCTCTTTTCCCAAGCCTAAATCTGAAGTATTTCCCATCTGTATCTGCTAAAATTTTCAGTTTTGCCCTACGTTCTAATCTTAAATCTCATTTGAGAAATGACACAACAAAATGTATCAGTTTTTTTGGAAACAGCTATCCTTCTCTTTAGGACAAAAATCTGATATAGTTTATCTGTTGCTTATTTACATTTATTTAAGAATGTAAGTTTCTATCTGTCACTTTATGCATGTTTTATGGTAGGCTAAAACTGCTCTCGGTGAGCACCTGTCCAGTGTGGGGATAAACCGGGAGAACGTGTCTGAGATTCTGCAGATCTACATGGCTGCTCACTGCAGTCAGACTGAACTGGTCCCACTCGTGGAGAGCCTGAAGACCAAAGCCTTCCAAGCCCACACTCCTGCTCATAAAGCCTCCATACTGGCCTTCCTGGTCAATGAGCTGGCCTGCAGCAAGAATGTGGTCACGTAAGCCCTTCCTCATTCATAAATACAGTAATAACAAAGGGTGGACCTTGACCTTGAAAGTTCAACATTGATGTACTGTTCCATTTCCTATTATGTTCTCTACTCTTCATGCAGTGAAATTGACAAAAATATTGACCATATGACAAACCTACGGCGAGAAAAATGGGTCATTGAGGGCAGCCTTCGCAAGTAAGTAGCCCATTGACGTAGCCCTCATTTTGATCGATTACAAATACTGATCTACTACAGAATCTTGACAAGATGACTGTTAGGGTAAGAGTGTGTGTGTGTTTGTGTGTGTATAGGCTAAGAAGTATCTATGCTAAGCGGACAGGGAAGCGTGAGAGCAGTGTAGGAAACGAGGAGACCCATGTTCTGGGGACCCCCAGCTCTGGCCGCAAACGCAAAAGAAAAACGTCTGCTAGCGAGGACGACGACGATGAGGATGATGACAGTGATGAGGGAGAGTTGGAAGATGATGAAGAAGAAGAGGGTCTGAAGAAAGGAAAGAGAACAGACACATTTGAGGAAGAGGTATGCAACAGTATGTCTGTTTGATAAACATCAGTTTGGGCTTCCAGTGCAATTTTATATACTGGTTGTGTTTTGCAGGATGATGGGGATCAAACAGCCAGTGTGGAAGAGCTAGAGAGAAAGATTGAGAAATTAACTAAGGTAAAAAAAAAAAAATCTCTTATTGACCAATTAAATGAGTCTGAAATAACTACCTGCCAAAGCTGCTGTATTTATTGTTCATTGGTAGTTAGGGTGGTTTTCATGCCACAAAGACTTTCTGTCACATTTAGACTAATTGACTTAGAACTACTATCTTGTATCATGTGTTGGATAAAAGCTTATATGCACTGATTATTTATTATGTAAATAATCGCCTGTCAACACATTATCCTAAGAACATGAATGTTCATATGACCGCACATTATGACATTATGAGAACAGTCAGATGTTTTTACTAATTTTTTTCCAGTTACATTTTTTAACAGAATTACAGAGCTACTTGGAGTCTACAGGTAACAGGACTGGAAAACAACAGATGATTTTATTGGCAACTATTTTGTCTTCCATAGCAACAGAGTCAGATCCGCCGTAAACTTTTTGAGTCATCACACTCCTTACGCTCGATGATGTTCGGACAGGATCGCTATAAGAGGCGCTACTGGGTCCTGCCCCAGTGCGGAGGTGTGTTTATTGAGGGCATGGAGAGTGGAGAAGGTGAGCCTCACTTTGATGTTATTTTGAATAAATTTTCACTTACAAACGACTGCCTTTACAAAATCTGAAAAGGGACCTTATGATTGGCGGTGGTTCTGTTACGTGTGCTTGCTTAGGGCCCGAGGAGCTTCAGAGAGAGAGGGACAGGTTGCAGAATGCTCAGCACATCCAGGTGAAAGAGGAGCCCATGGAGGTGCCTGCTGACAAACCACCCTCTGCCAGCCCGGATGTGAAGCGTGAAGCTTTCTCTCCGGGCCCAAAACAGGAGAAGGACTCGCTCAACTTGTTCCTGCAGAAGCCAGGCTCCTTTTCCAAGCTCAGCAAACTGTTGGAAGTAGCAAAGATGTCCCCTGAGCCCAGCAACCACACCCAAGGCCCCCTGCCCTCTGCTGGACACTTGCTTACAAATACCCAAACTACGTTACCCAATAGCTTCTCTTCCACCTCAACCCAGGGCATTAAATCTGAACTCAGTGCTCCTCTAATAAGCCCTGCCTACCTTGGCAACCTGCAGCAGCAGCTCCACAGTGACCAACTCTACAGGGCTCTGACAGAAAAAAATGCTCACTGGTTTAGTCTGCTGCCACGTTCGCCGTGTGATAACTCCTCACTGGCAGCCAATCCCACCTCTCTACCATCATCTTCCTCCCCTCAACCTTGCAGTGCCAAAGCACAATCACCCATCAACAGCAACACCACTACAACCCAGCCCCACTCCTCCCTTTCATCCAACAACAGCCACTCAGCTTCCAACACCAGGACCCAGTCCCCCTCCTGCCTCTCCAACATTAGCCAGCACATCTCCACTACCAGCCCCTCCACTACTGCAGCAGTCAGTAACTTCCCATTAGCTGGACTGCAGGTGTGTATGTGGTGTTATTTATGTGTCCATCCTTTAACAAAATGTGATTTTGATCACATGCATTTTGCTTCAAACATTAGAACACCTAGCTTTTCAAAATGTTTTAAAGGAATGTTTCAGTGAAAAATCAGATTTACACAATTTTCCACTTATCCTACATTTACTTGATCAGCTGAGACGCTTACTTCTTTAGTTCAGAACCACAAGGCTTACACTGCTAGCAAACACTAGTGGTCAACAGTCACCAAAATAGGCTAAATTGTTTCTGTAAAAATATATAAAAAATTATTTCTATCCACATTTGGGGCTTCACGAAGGTCTCATAGACCTGTCGGTGTGGTTTAGGACAGAGTGTGACTTACTGAATCATCATCATATTGTGCTGCAAACCACATCGACAAGTCGGTGCAACCTTAATGAAGACCTGGATGCAATTTGAATGTGTTGAGAGAAGTTTTGGTGATGGATTTTTACAGAAACGATTAGGCCTATTTGGGTGACTATTGAGTTCTAGTGTTGGAAATGTTAGCCTGATAGCTTTAGTTTTAAACTAAAGAAGCAATGTTTTCTTTTTTTGATTTGCAATAACTCAATATATTAAAATTAACCAGGCTTACTTTGTGGACCTATGGAGAAAATAGTATCATACCTGTAAACATTTAGGAATAATGATATATCCCATACATTTCATGATGTCAGCACTCAACTGTTACAAGCGTTAAAACCAGTCATGGAGCGAAAAGTTTTCAGTATATGCTCTTAGCAAATGTCAAATCGTTACTTAGGCCAACTTTTCAAAGGAAAAATATATACAAAGCATTAACAAAACAGCATTTTTATGCTTGGTAACAAAACCTTTTCATTTTTCTCACTTAACAGGTGTGTACTGCACTTCTTTTTTCTTGCTGTTATATGTTGTCATAGATTTGTCATAGTGAACCTTTTCTCTTTGCCAGATGAAGCCTGGTATACACATGATGGGCCTGCCATTCTGTCACTGGCCTACAGGACTGGCCGGTCTAAATATGACATTTGGAGGCATGTCTGCATCACCTACACTGGGAGAGGTGTATGCTGATGCAGAGGCTAATGGGAATGGAAGCCTCTTGCAGACCCCCAGTGTGGGTACCTGTAAGAGTGAGTCTCCAGTGCTGTCCAGTGAGAAGCCTCCTGAAGCCCTGTCCCCTGCCCTGGAAATTGCCAAAAATCAGGACCTCCCCTCCCCCCTTCCCATCCCAGAAGGTAGGAGAGACACTAACTGCTGTATCCATACTGTCTTTATACACACACACACACACACACACACACACACATATATATATATATAAACCTTCTTAACTTCTAATGCAAGTTAATGTAAGGAGAGTTTATTCCAAGTGGTTTTGAAGCATTTCTGTTGGTCCGTTCATTTGGTGCACGTGTGTGTGTATATGTATGTATCTATGTATATGTATAAGTTTATGTTTTATTTTTTTTTTGGTGTGTGTGTTGCAGAGATGCTGGCTGGCTGGTGGAAGGTGTTGAGCTTTGAAGAGTTGAGCAGTATAGTGAATGTTTGTCATCCTCGTGGGATCAGAGAGAAGGTCCTGCAGAAACAAATCCAGAAACACATGGACTACATCACGCAAGTCTGTGCCAAGAACAAAGACGGTATGACACTTAGCCTGAGTAGCGGAATTTTGTAATGAAATAACTCTTTAATTTCACCTTATGTTCTCTAAAAACAATGCCAAGTTTGAAAATGAAATGCTGACATTATTTTTAGAAAATGTAGACTATTGCATGTAGTCTGGGTCTTCATAATACACCCCTATGTGTAGTGATGCTGCATTTTGGGGATTTTAGATTAACCACAGTGCTCTGTTGGGATTTTGTCTGTGTGTGTGTGTTTATGGTGTGTTTGTGTAGCTGCTGTGATTGATGTGTGTGAGTTGGAAGAGAGCCAGGTTTGTAAGGAGACCATGCAGGGCTGGTGTGTAGAAGAGCATGCCATGGATCTGGACATTGTTGTGCTACAGCAAGTGGAGGAGCTTGAGCGCAGAGTCACCTCAGCTAGTCTGCAGGTCAAGGTGAGCGTCTTTCTGCAGCCTGCTGCTATGAAAAACAAAGTGAGGGACTTGTGTTGTGTGCTGGACCATTCTCAGAAATGTCACCAACTTGATAGTGACTGGTATAAATGTATCAAGCGCAGCAATGTTGAAGGGATTATAATGCACCTTGTTGTTATTGCTGAGTTGAGAATAGTGTACCAGTCAACAATGGACCACCAGAAACTGACCACCAGTGAGAGGCTAGGGCAAACTGTGTTGCAACGGGTGGGCTACAGTAGGAAAATGGCCAATGAGTGTAAATACGCAGTAGGAATATGTAACACAGATGATCAAATAGAAGGTCAAATAGATAGTGATGTCTTGGTGATGGAGTCTTCATTTTGTCTCATGTTGAACAGGGTTGGATGCCCCCAGAGCCACAGTCTGAAAGAGAAGATCTGGTCTATTATCAGCACAAGGCCTTCGGTGAGATTGACAACGAGCCGTTGGACAAAGCGGAAACAGGCATTATGCGGCGCACTAATAACCCGTTGGACATAGCAGTGACGCGCCTGTCTGAGCTGGAGCGGAACATCGAGAGAAGGTACCTGAAGAGCCCCTTAAGCACCACCATTCAGATCACTCTGGATAACGTGGGTACGGTGACTGTACCGGCTCCTGCACCATCCCCTAGTGCTGATGGTGATGGGTAGGTCATCCAGGATCATAGTTCCCTCCAGTAATGCGCCTCTTCACCCGCACTCTCTAACTCACTCTCAATCTCGGGACATCCCGTCACTCCTGCTAGCTGGCCTTCCTGTCCTTCTCCACCTGATCTCCTACTTTTTCTTCCTGTACTCTATTTTTGGCTTGCCACTGCACTGTGAGGGCCTGGTGCAAGTACATCTGTGTGCATTCCATTTGCAAACCTATCTCTCTGGTTTGTCTGTAGTGTTTTGGGTGTAAGGCATGGTGCATTGCATTGGTGTTTGGTGGTGATTTGTGAATTCACTCTATTGTGGTTGCCATGGCTGGAATATGTGTGTGTTTGTGTGAAATGTCTCCTGCCTAGCAGAGCTTTTAAAACATTGAGTGGGTGCAAACTTTTTCTCTTTGGCAAGTTTGGGTACAGCTGTTTCCAGTGGGTCTGTGTTATGTTTTATTATCTGTAGTTCTCCAAAAGGTTGGGTTTGTTCTCCATGCTAGTATCATTCTCTTTTTGGTTCTCTCCAACAGAGGTGAGGAGGACCTGGCTCCAGGGATGAAGCAGTGGCGGAAAGCGCTCAGTGAGGTACGCAGTGGCGCCCAGCTGTCACTCTGCTTGCAGCAGCTGCAACGCTCTATTGCATGGGAGAGATCAATCATGAAAGTGGTAAGGATTTTGCATGCAAAAATGCTCACATTACTAAAAAGTTTCTAGTCATTCAAGCCTGTCACTGGGAGTATAGTATGTAGATGTAGATGTGTCTGTAGATCTAGATGTAGATGTTTAGTATATGTATAGTATATGTAGATGTGTAGTATAGCGTGTAGTGCACGTAGTCTATAATATAAAAGTATAGTGTAACTTGTCTTTTTTAATTATTGCTTTAACATCACCTCATTCAATATGTACCTAAATATTTCTCAGTGTCTGAGCAGACTTTTTTCTAGTGAAAAAGTTACTGCTGTAGCACAAGACTTAATTCCAATTATCAGGCTTTCATCTCTAAATGGCAATTAAGAACAACAATACCAGGCATTTCAAACCAGTAATGAGGATCCATGGCATTAGAACTAGGAGGAGTGTTTTTTGTTCCTTGCTGTTGCTGAGTCTCAGTGCTATGTTGTATTAGTACTGCCAGATGTGCCGGAAGGGGGACAATGAAGAGCTGCTTCTGCTGTGTGATGGCTGTGATAAGGGATGCCACACATACTGCCATAAACCCCAGATCAGCACCATCCCTGAGGGAGACTGGTTCTGCCCTGCTTGCATAGCCAAGGTTGGGGAGGCAGTGCTTTGCCCTCAAACGACCACAAAATACACATTAAACAACTGCAATAAAAACAGTGCAGGGTATTCAGTTTATGATTAATAACATGAAATAAATTAATGGTGATTTGGGGAATGAATATATATATATATATATATATATATATATATATATATATATATATATATATATATATATATATATATATATAAAAAATTTCTTTTTTTTTCCCATCAGCTTCACATGGAGGTCCATTCCTGCCAGGTCATTTTTTCCTTCTCTGTTTCTGGCAGGAGCAGGTCAAATGTTTGACTTATTGTCTCAAAATAATGACATTTAAATGTTTGACGTTGCCTAAATACTTATTTTCCTGACATAAATCTTTTTTTTTTTTTGACATACTATGCCACATTTTGTATTAACTCAAACTTCTGTCATAAGACATTGTTTTGATATAGTCAGTATTTTGAGAAAATAATTATTTTCAGATAGTAAGTCAAAATATTGAGAAAATATCTATTTTTTTTTAGATATTACAGACAATATTTTGAGTAAATATACCCCCCTTTTTTACCACAATATGTCAGAATTACTGTATGTCAAAAACTGAGGAGGATGTTTTTTTCCCCTCCTCTGTCTGGTAGGAATGGGATTCCATACCTTGACTACTCTAACAATATTTATCACATAAATAACACACATAAAACAAAAAATATTTTGGAAAAAAATGCAGGAGTAATTTTTCTTTCCCTCCAGACACTTGCACACGCCTGTCTTTTTTTAACTGTCTGCTTGTAATTAGCTTTTGTCCCCCCCCCCCTTTTACTCTTTCACTGCAGGCGAGCGACTCGTCCCAGAAGAGTAAGAAACAGGCCAGTCGCCCTAGTGGAGGAGGGAAGAAACCATCAGATGTTAAACGCAACAAAAAAGCATGTGTAGCAGGAGAGGCCTCTGAGGATGACACAGCCAACACGAGTGCCAGCAGCACACCCAAAAAAGGAGTAAAGGAAACAAAAAAGAAAAAAACTGAGAGCCTGTCCACTGATGTTGCCAAGGAAGAGAACTCACCAGAGGACAAAGTTAAAAAGGCCAAAACAGTCAGAGACAACAGTAAAGACCTGGAACTCTGCAGGTACTGAACACTTCACACCAATTTAATACACATGGTATTTCGCCTTACAAACTGTATTGTTTAAATAGTCTTCTCTACCTGGTGGTGTATGGCAGGACAGTTCTTGTAAATCCACTTTTTCCACAGAAACTGCCACAGATATTAATATAAAGACTTTTTAAGAGGACCTGAAAATGTAGGTGGACATAAGAACTTCAAATGTGATCACTCTGCAGGTTGCTGTTGGCGGAGCTACAGTCTCATCAGGACGCCTGGCCTTTTATGACTCCGGTCAATCCTAAATCAGTCCCTGGTTACCGCAAGGTCATTAAGAAACCAATGGACTTCTCTACCATCCGTGAAAAACTCTCCAACAGCCTGTACGTACCTCAGCATACACTGTTTATATATATATATATATATATATATATATATATATATATATATATATATATATATATATATATATATTTAGGACCATGCCTCAAGGTAAAATATTAAAAATTGCCATATTTGCCAGAACTTGTACATTTTCTGATGTAAGTTGTATGTCAGTTGCTCTAATGGAAGCACTGTTGTAACCTGGGACAACAAGAAATCAACAGATGGAACCTGAGGAGTTGACCACAAAAGTAAAATGCATTTATTGGCCAAAGATACTAATATAAAAAACAGCTGCATGGTTTAATAATCAAGTACAGATTCCATATTAAAGTTTAATAGGAACAAAGCAGGAGAAAACACTAGGTGAACCTTCAATATTTTTTCAAGTTCACAGTGGATACCGTTCTAGTAAAATTGTATCTTATCACATGACCAAAAACAGTGCATACATGTGCCTCTTTCCTGTTTACATTTAAAGCAAAGATTTGAGCAATCTGAAGAGCAAACACGAATTTTAATAAAAGTGGGAATTTTTTAATTATTTTTGAAAACAGTACAACAGCACATTATATTACAATTACAACACTTATTTTATTTTGATTTTTGCAACATTTTAAACAAAGTTGGGACAGGAATCTCTTCCCGTCTTTCTTTGAGGAACATTGTTTTTTGATTTTTTGTATTTTACATACTGTGTCAACTTTCTGATTTGGGGTTGAAATATTGGTTCATTGAAGTTGTAAACTTGCCTCATTTTAATTTGGTATGTCTGTTTTTTTTTCTAATTTCAGATACCAGAATCTGGAGACTTTCATCATTGATGTTAACTTGGTTTTTGATAACTGTGAAAAGTTTAATGAGGATAATTCTGACATTGGACGTGCAGGACACAATATGAGGAGATTTTTTCAGCAGCGATGGACTGAGCTTTTAAAACAAATGAACTAGAACTCTGAAAATCTCAGCTTACAGAACAGGCTTCGCCTGTAATAAAAAAATGCACTCATTCGCAAGTTTCCTGTAGTCTCAGTTCTCTCGTTTTTAACAGGAACCCAGAATACCAGCATTTCACCAGTGTTGCCATTCCTGATATGTAGAGAAAGGTGCCAGATTGCTCCAGACAAAATAGGGTGTCTTTTAAAGTGCAATACCAATTCTGTTTCCTTTAAAGAACTCCCACACAGCCCCATCCATTTCATCCACATGTAAATATACAATTTGTTTTTGTGCTTTTTTAATACAGTAAACATATTTAATGTTGTTAATTATTTATGATTAAAATGGTCTTCATTTTCTATGAAAAGAAGAAAATGTAAAAAAAAAAATGCTTTAAAATCATAATGAATGTTTTCCTGAAACAAAAGTCAATGTAAAAAACAATTGTTTACAGTTTGGTGCCTTAGTGGTACCAGGAGACACATTACAACATTGTAAAACAGAATTTGTGTACAAATTTGTTAATCACTCAATGCTGAGACTACATGTGTGTGTATATAATGTCCATGTGTGTTTATACTTGTGAAATATGTATGATGTGTACATAATGTTGCAAACATCCTTTACGCCTTAGTTGATTGGTTAGTGTTTAAATAGTCTCACCATGATAATGACTACAGTATTACAGTGTTAATGGCACTGTTCACTCCCTCAACACTGTGGTCTCTTACCACTTTATTAGTGCCTAGCCTTCTGTCAATATATGGAAGATTTCCTATCTCTTTGCTGGCTATAAATCAGTGTTTCTTGGTCCTGCTCCTGTGGTACCCCTGCCCTGCACATTTTAGTGTTTTCTGTGCTTCTGTGCCACTGAAACTCATCAGGAGTTAGTGCAGGGAACTCTCAACTATGCAGGACGGCTGGTCTCCAGAAGCAGCACTGAGAACCATTGGCTTACATCATACAACACTGACAGACCTCAAACTTTTGTTCTTTTCTGTTCTGTTAATTTCCAAGTTTCCAGTGTAGTTCATCTCTGAAAATATAAAAATAGCCCTCTGGTGACGCACATGCAGCATGCCAGCTCATCTTTTACAGCCTCTGCTTACAGGTCTCCAGCATGCTCAGAGAATGCTAATACTGACACATGCAAGCAAGAAGACACCACATAACAATGGAGATGGAGGCCGGCCCGTGATCAGCCACAGCTGAGCCATAATGCAGCGCCATCAGAATTCCAGCATCGTTCCTGTTTTCTTTGGCCATGGACATGAGGCTGTCACTGATGTACGCTTGTGCTGTCTTTTCCATCGTGCTGTGACAACCTTCTTCCAGAAGAGAGGTTTTCTACTGGTGCTCTTGTAAAAATGTAGCATCCTGGTCTAAAAAGTTTTATTTTAACTAGTGGTTGGGAGGGGCACCAATTTAATAAATTATGTTTCTAAATGTAGAGTGGGTTGTGTTGCAGTTTGTTTTAAGTTTACACATGTGAGGCTATGAGACAATATTTAGCTCTTTATGGGGACCAAATGTCTTATTTCAACCTTTTGACATTGTGGGCAAATTTGGCTGCTTCTCACAAGAGGGGAAGAACTTCATGTGTCAAGAACACTATAACTAACCCACATACAACCACATCAACAACAGTTCCTTTTTAACCTGGGAGCGTGCTTCTCTGAGAGCCACTTTGCATGGCCACACTCCATAAGTTCGCCATGGGCTGCGCTGCCGTGGCGGAGCTCCACAAAACATTATGAGAAAGGCCCATATTATTGCCACTGCTTTTTTGGTGTGTATGCCCAGGTGTCCAGGCCAATAGGGAGCCCCTTTAGCAACTATGACAAAACTGTCAAAAGGACTGTTTCAACTCATGGCTATAACTTCATTCAAAGATCCTAATGCCATTAACCTGCCCCTACATTAGAAAATGTCTTCTTCACTTGTGGAAATAAAAGTTAAACTAGTTTTACTTATCATTCCTGAACATCCACTTTATTTTCTCCTTCAGCCACTGCTTAGCTGGATAGGATTATATGACCACGTGGTTGGTAAAGAGAACTTGCTGGTGTGGTTAGTTTTCCTCTGGTTTTGCATTATAGATTATATTTTATGTTCACAGCTTATTTAATTTTATAGTCTGTACAGGGTGCCTTTACTTGATGTGAACTATTTTATTTAAAATGATTATTAACGTGAAGTAAATGTGCATTGTCAGACCAGCCATACGTAATCTATGTGGAATCATGAGATTTAGTGTGAAAACTGTGTGGTTCTGAAAATGTGGTAGCTTACTCAACTGTGTAGCCCTCACAGACCTACCCAATCAAATGAGGAGAGAATATTTATTAAGCTGCATTTTTAAGATAATGAAATGTGTTTTCTATGAGCTGTCACTGTATTATGGCTAATCAAAATCATTACACTCTCTGCCTTATTTTCTAAGCCCTCAAAGCACTGCTTTGCAACCTATGCTATCAGTCATTGCCTCAAGCCTTCAGTTCTATAGTCAGTGCCTGTTATGCCTGTAACCAGCATGAGGACACCGAGGTACTCGGTAGTTTCAACAGGGTTTATGAGATTCACTTTAGAAACAGCAACAGTGCCCAATCAGTGGTAGTATTGAGCAATAGCAAACAGCTGTCGGGTGTAGACATTGTGATGGAAAAATAAGCCTTTAGAGGTCTTTTGGCATGTCAATCAAACAACCTCTTCCCAAAAAGGTAGACCACATTTTGCGGTGAAAAGGATTAGACTTCTTAATCACAACACTTAAGACACCCCAGGAGTAAGTTAGGGAGCAGTGGAACTGCATTCACTGGAGTGATGGAGCATCACTAAATCCCTCTGGGATGAGTTGGAGTGGCATTTGTGATCCAGAACTGATCATCCAACATTAGTACCTGACCTCACTAATGCTCTTGTGGTTGAATGCAGTCAAATCCTTATAGAAATGGTGCCACATCTTGTGGGAGATGGCAAACTCCCTAACTCCCATTAGCAGGTGTCTACAAATTTTTGGAGGGGTAGTGTAGATGTTGGCAGAGCAGTATTTCATATGCTATGGAAGTAAATAGAAATACCCCCACAAACACATTACTACAAACTAACCTGTGTGCCCTTAAATCTGTGCTATATGCCTCTTTTAAGTCAATGAATTCAGTGATAAACTGAAGGGAGGGGCGCGGGCCATTACACAAGCAAGCAGTTTACACAACACTCAAGACACTCTGGACTCCTGTAATCCAGGAAGTATCCCTGGGAGACTGGCTGATGAGTACACTGTTTTCTATTACTCTTTAGGAAACGTTTTCTTGTAATCTAACACAATAGATTATAATCCTATAATCATAGTGCGCTATAGCTGCCGCACTAGCGTTGTGCTAAAAACTGAAGGCAGCGCGATGAAGATGGCAGTCCTGCTGCACTCGCTCCAGCAGCACAGCGGTGATGTGAACTGCTGCTCCCTCTCAGCAGAGCTTTTGGCCACCTGCTCTGGCGACAAGACTGTCCGCGTTTATTCCTCCAGCGACTTCTCTGAGCTGCCTTTCTCTCCTCTCACTGGACACGGCTACGGCGTTCACTGCTGCTGTCTCAGCGCCTGCGGCACCTACCTCGCCTCCTGCTCCACAGACGCCCTAGTCATATTATGGAGCACTACAACAGGTGGGGTGATGGCCAAACTGGAGCATCCGGGTAGGAGCCCCGTCAGGGTGTGCTGTTTCTCTCCGGACTCGGCCCTGTTGCTGTCTGGCGCCTCCGACGGCACTGTGGTGCTGTGGGGAGTCCGGGAGAAGACCCTGAGGAGGTGAGTCTGCTAAACAGCACAGACAGAATTCACAACACAGCGTACAAACCGGCTTGAGATTTTCCAGGTGTTCTAACAATTTGTGCCACCCACCGAGCGCCCCTTCTGCGCATGCGCATAACGTGCGCGTAACTTGGTTTTTCTCACGTTTAATTGTTTTAATGTTGATTCAGCCTTATTTCAAATGGATTATACATGCTCAGCTTAACATTGCAAACATCACCTGCCTTCTGATAACGTGAGACAATCAAAATAACCTACAAATAGTTTTAATGCTGCTAGCATTGTCTGATAAGGTCATCAAGTCTATCCCACGCTATAAATATGCACTACGGTACGACATTTAGAGGACAATTCCGGTTTAAAAACTAGGAAAACCTATAGGTTGTCTTTCATTACAATGGAGAGAATAGATTACTCAAACAACAGAATGAGGACAAGTTAGCAAGGTAGCTACTAGGCAATCTAAATAACATAAATCGGTTTGGCCGGAGCTGAGGAGCCTGCCCAGACAACAAATGTACACTGCGCCTGATTAGGGCCAAATGTAGCGCTGTATGCGGTCCGGATCCGCAAAGCAGAGCTGGCCCGGTGTCTTTTTGCACAACGGCCCAATACTGGAACTGATCCGTTTTACGGATCTGCGCCAAAACAGATTAAAAACCGGCCCAGATGAGCACAGAACAGCGTTACATCCGGCCCTGAATTGGTGCAGGTCTAAATATTCTCTTCATATCTGGCCCAAATGTGGCACTGACCCAGTTCATAAGAGGTCCAAGCTCAAGTTGATAAGCAGCTGTCTCTGGATTGGATCCGGCCCTGACTTGTTGCGTCTGCACCGGATCCGTTCCAGAGTCAGCAATAGCTCCATATCCCACATAATTATTCACAAATCATTAATAATGAATGTTTTTTAAAAAAAGGTAAATTCAAAAAGGGAAACATGAAACCAAATACCTCAAAAAAAGGTTTATTGAATGTCATTATGTTTTCAACACAGCATTTTTTTGAAAAATGAATTCAAACAAGAAAACAATACAATGCCAGTACTGAGGTGTAGACTTATCAGCAAAAATCCTGCCATTAAAGAAGCGATAATTAGCTGCTCTGTTTTCAATTGTAATAAACTGACATAAAAAACAGACTTTAACACTGATAGAGACTGATAAACTCTGCTCGTCATCACAATAATAAAGGTTAACTGGCAATTTGAACACAAAATACTACCATGCTGCGTTTTACAATGTCAAATTAAGAAGTGTGACCACTGAGAAGCACAGTTCAACTAAAATGAATTGGAGTATAAAACAATACAATATAAAATACTACAATATAAAATAATACCAGCCAATATTGTTAAGTGTTAACATAATTTCCTGCCTCTTAACAATCATTACTTCGACAGCTGAACGGTGAACTGAATGGTAACAATCTTTACAACCTTTTTTTTCAAGCTCTCATTGAGGAAGCCCATTATTTACAGTTACCATCCAGTACTTGCTTCAGCCAACCCTACATTAAACTGAACCAAGTGTGCTGCTGATGAAACTGAACAAATCCATGCAATGGCTGGTGCTGCAGCAGGAAAGCAGGAACAAAACCTATGTTTTTAACTCTACTCCTCTATCCAACATATTAATAACTTTATTTAAAACAGGGCCATCACTATCGATCATTTTATTAATTGAATAATCTAGCGATTATTTAGATTTTTTGATGTACACTGAAATTGTAATAGCCATTACAATTACAATACTGAAAATACATGATAAGAATGAGTCCGCTGCCAGAGGAGTACTGGTACTACTGGTCAGACTCTTAATTGGACAATTCATTGGTTGGCCCAAATCAGCCAATATTTGCAGCCCAGTTTTATTGAGGTCATGACCTCTCAAAGGGTGGGTGAAACTTTAGAAGAAGAATGTTCACCCTATAGCAGACATGGAGGAAGTTGGATCTAAAGAAGTGGTGAAAGAGGTTGGTTCTAGAGGAAAACAACAGAGGCCAGTCTAGATAAAGTGGGAGGTTGGCTCACCATCAGGGCCTGACAGAGAGGTGAAAGAGGCTGGCCCTGGCAGAGAGGTGTAGGAGGCTGGCCCTGGTGGGGAGAGGTGTAGGAGGCTGGCCCTGGTGGGGAGAGGTGTAGGAGGCTGGCCCTGGTGGGGAGAGGTGTAGGAGGCTGGCCCTGGTGGGGAGAGGTGTAGGAGGCTGGCCCTGGTGGGGAGAGGTGTAGGAGGCTGGCCCTGGCGGAGAGGTGTAGGAGGCTGGCCCTGGCGGGGAGAGGTGTAGGAGGCTGGCCCTGGCGGAGAGGTGTAGGAGGCTGGCCCTGGCGGAGAGGTGTAGGAGGCTGGCCCTGGCGGAGAGAGGTGTAGGAGGCTGGCCCTGCGGGGAGAGGTGTAGGAGGCTGGCCCTGCGGGGAGAGGTGTAGGAGGCTGACTCTTGCGGACAGGTGTAGGAGGCTGGCCCTGGCGGTGAGAGGTGTAGGAGACTGACTCTTGCGGACAGGTGTAGGAGGCTGGCCCTGGCGGAGAGGTGTAGGAGACTGGCCCTGGCGGGGAGAGGTGTAGGAGGCTGGCCCTGGCAGAGAGTTGTAGGAGGCTGGCCATGGCGGAGAGGTGTAGGAGAGTGGCCCTGCCGGAGAGGTGTAGGAGGCTGGCCCTGGCGGAGAGGTGTAGGAGGCTGGCCCTGGCGGAGAGGTGTAGGAGGCTGGCCCTGGCGGGGAGAGGTGTAGGAGACTGGCCCTGGCGGAGAGAGGTGTAGGAGGCTGGCCCTGGCAGAGAGGTGTAGGAGACTGGCCCTGGCGGGGAGAGGTGTAGGAGGCTGGCCCTGGCAGAGAGGTGTAGGAGACTGGCCCTGGCGGGGAGAGGTGTAGGAGGCTGGCCCTGCCGGAGAGGTGTAGGAGGCTGGCCCTGGCGGAGAGGTGTAGGAGGCTGGCCCTGGCGGAGAGGTGTAGGAGGCTGGCCCTGGCAGAGAGTTGTAGGAGGCTGGCCATGGCGGAGAGGTGTAGGAGAGTGGCCCTGCCGGAGAGGTGTAGGAGGCTGGCCCTGGCGGAGAGGTGTAGGAGGCTGGCCCTGGCGGAGAGGTGTAGGAGGCTGGCCCTGGCGGGGAGAGGTGTAGGAGGCTGGCCCTGGCGGGGAGAGGTGTAGGAGGCTGGCCCTGGCAGAGAGGTGTAGGAGACTGGCCCTGGCGGGGAGAGGTGTAGGAGGCTGGCCCTGGCGGAGAGGTGTAGGAGGCTGGCCCTGGCGGAGAGGTGTAGGAGGCTGGCCCTGGCGGGGAGAGGTGTAGGAGACTGGCCCTGGCGGAGAGAGGTGTAGGAGGCTGGCCCTGGCAGAGAGGTGTAGGAGGCTGGCCCTGGCGGAGAGGTGTAGGAGACTGGCCCTGGCGGGGAGAGGTGTAGGAGGCTGGCCCTGGCAGAGAGGTGTAGGAGACTGGCCCTGGCGGGGAGAGGTGTAGGAGGCTGGCCCTGCCGGAGAGGTGTAGGAGGCTGGCCCTGGCGGAGAGGTGTAGGAGGCTGGCCCTGGCGGAGAGGTGTAGGAGGCTGGCCCTGGCGGGGAGAGGTGTAGGAGACTGGCCCTGGCGGAGAGAGGTGTAGGAGGCTGGCCCTGGCAGAGAGGTGTAGGAGGCTGGCCCTGGCAGAGAGGTGTAGGAGACTGGCCCTGGCGGGGAGAGGTGTAGGAGGCTGGCCCTGGCGGAGAGGCAAAATTTGTTTGAACTTAAAGACAATCAAAGAGAAGACTCTGACGGTAATTTGTTTTAACAGAACTAAAATTGTCTGTACTCCTCTACCATTAAGCTTCTTTTATTAAATTTGACAATCAAATATTTAAAAATAAATGTAATAATTTAAACAAATGTAATAATTTGTGATACCTGATCACATATGTGCAGATATCGAAAGTAATGATTAACTTACCTCAAAGTCAGCAGCAAACTTTATAGGTCAATATCAAGGATGACTGTAGACCGCTGAGCAGGAAAAAAGAAAGGGGAATGTTTTTTTTTAATTTAGGCGCGTCCATTTTATTCTTTTTTTTATGTTCTTTTATTGGATTATTTAATGCAAACCATAGCGTGAAACAGTATTCCGACAAGTCAACATAACCGAGCTGCGGTAGTTAAACGCGCTCGGTGCTGCAGGCAGCTGCATGTATGTTTAAAAACACCGGCTGCGTTACTGTGACCGTTTTAGGACCACCTCAGACCACCACGGCTGTAAATCAGGTTTCACACAATCAGGCTACACACACCACATCGGACGGTAAAGTTCGTGTGGCATTCGCAATTACGTTCTGTGTTACTGGATTAATTACGCTTTCGTGGCTAAATTAAAGATAACAAACACAACAAACCCAGTCTGTACTGAACCGCGCTGTTCTTTTCTTGGTCTTTTTTCTATTTTTTTTATTTTTGCCAAAAGGTTCAACTCTCGCTATCACCGTGCTTGCCCGCGTCTGCTACAGAGTCAGAGACCGTCTCAAAATTACAGGACTGAACAAGTGAAGCTATTATTATTATTACTAGCAGTAATAGCTTTAGTATCTCTGTAAATAGCTCTGCTGATGCTTCTTAACATATCTGCAGGTGTACATACAAAGACAATAATGCTAGTAATGATAGCAGAAACACTTTCTTTTCGCAATTTTGAGAATTTTGAGACTGACCCTGAGCCTGAAGCGGCCGCGGGAGCAGTAGTGTGAGAGCTGAAGCTTCGTCAAATAAAAGATAAAGCAAAGGGAAACCCGTTCTGTTTCTGAGGGTTATTTTACACACTTTTAACCAAATACGAGGACTGTGTCACTGGTATATACACTATAAAAAAGCAAATAAAAAATAAGATGGTTAAACTAACGATACTGCTTGCACTGGCTAATACAGCTCCACACCACAATATAGGGTAACTTTAGATTCCAGCTAATGGATGTTTCTTACATTAGTCACTCAAATTCACTTCTCTGTTTTCTTTAGACTTGTTTTTCTCCTAAAACAGACAAAAATATTAAAGCTGCTCTTAGAACATTTTCACATTTTCCAGTGAACGCTAACAGCTGCCTCTCACAGTACAACTCAGCTAAGCTAGCTAGTTACACAGCCGGGCGAGGGGGGTAATGTAAGATTAAGAGTATGTCGTTATTAAACATTCTCGAATGTCTCGAACGAAATCTCGACTGTTAATTTAGGTTGGAATTAGACATTTTGACTCACTACCTCAGCTAACATAACTGACGCTAGGTTAGCTAGCACTGACGTCCTCCCCTCTAGCGACTCCACCATTCAGCTTATTTGCTTGTCAAACTGAATAACATATTAAAAGTTAAAACATAAAATCCAAGATTCCTGATCGTAATTCTAATAAATGTGCAGATATTTAAAATACAAAATACACCTTACCTCAAAAACAGCAGCGAGTTTAACAGTCAAAGTCAACTGAAAACTGTAGAGGACTGAGCGGGAAAAAGGGGAGGGGCAAATTTTAAATGAGGCGCGTCTGTTTTGAAGGTCCGGCCCCAATGCGCTCTGAGTCCGCTGACCGGCAGTGTGTCCAGTGCTGTTAACAGTTACTTGGCCCAAATGTGGCACAAGTCCGCAATGCAGATGCGACTACTAGGAGGACTTTGTGACGGCCAAGGTAATCCGGCCCGAACATGCTTGCTGTCTGGGTGGCCTCTTCCTATTTCCCCGTTATATCAACAACATGACTGCGAAACTCCAGAGGGCGACCGCGAGTGAGTCCACGTTGAAGAATGGGGCTAAACGGCTAAAAACGAAAAGTTAAAATAGTTTCACTTGCCCAGAACTTTCTTTTAATTTTAGAAAGTAGAGGGGCGTATTTCACTAAAAAAAGCAAAGAAAAGTTACCAGTATGTTTCCTTTTTTCTACAGCGAACAGCTTTTGGGCAGCAGGACACTAGGGTTGCTGCTACTGAGTGCTGATTGGTTGGTATTACTGTTACTGAGTGCTGACTGGTTGGCGAGCGGAGCAGCTCATGATCGTACATGAGATGCTGTTTTAAACTCTTATAACTCGAGTTCAAAAGCTCTTAAAAATATAACAGCGGTGTTAAAAAGTTTTATGCTTTTCGGTGTTTAGGAAATTAACATATTTTTTATATTAAAAAATGTTTAAGCATTTGTAAACTATAGTTTTACTCAAATGCTCCATATTAACCTATTCATTTTTGACGCGCTCGGGAGCGCCCTCTAGTGTTTGAGAAACCTGGAAGACATTACTGAGTGGTAATTCTCCTCTCTACAAGTTCTCTGGTTTGGCTTCTTTTGTCTTGTTGAAACAGGAAAAAAATTGACTTTGCCATTCATTTTGTGCTTGGCTAGTAGGATTGGTTGACAACACAGGGATTGCCAGCTGGGCATTAACTTAGTGAGAGAACACTGATGACTGAAAACATGAAAATGATTTAAATATATGTGAATTCTGTCAAACTGATGAGGCTGAGGGATACAACACTGCTGCAATATAGAGTCCTGCATAACACAACAAATACAATAGTAAAATCTAGTTGTAGGCTGGAATGCCAGACACACACACACACACACACACACACACAAATACATAGCAAATGTATAGCATCTCACTTTCTGCTTTTTCAAATTCCGGAGTATGTCTGTGACACTGTACTGAAGTATGATTATTATTGCATTTCACACTGATATAATTAATTCACTTAATATAATTAATATCTGACTACTTGCATTTTTGCACATTTTATTTTTTAAACATTATTGGCTGCTAAAATACTGTATCAATCAAACACTGCATTTTGCTGTTGTTCTGGCTGCTACCTCAGTGACTGCTATGCTGATAAATGCTAGACTATCTGCTAATATGCCATAGTATGTGACATCTTGCTTTGCACAATCTACATATTCTTAGTGCCGTGTACTGCCAGTGTTTTTGTATTTATTGCACTGTATTGTCTGCACTGTGTATATTGCATTGTTTTGCACTTGTGTTCCTGTGTTGCTCCACAGTCCTGGAGGAATGTTGTTTCGTTTCACTGTGTACTTGTATATAGCTGAAATGACAATAAAGCTTTTGAACTTGAACTTGAACTGTAAGATAATCCCAAAAGCATTAGAATTCCCTCACTTTAACCAAATGTAAGTTTAAGTTTGCAGTCTGCTGTAAATATTTTATTAGCCTACATTCTTGCATTTTTAACATTTTTAAAATAATGATAATACACAGTTATCTAATATTATTAATAATTATATGTCATATAAAAAATTGAGGTACATTCTGCTCTTTTTGCAGATCTAGTATGGTATGTGAGGGCACTGTGGTGGCCTGCACCTTTTCTCCCTGTGGGCAAATGTTTGTAACAGGCTCAACTTTGGGAGACTTGCGTCTCTGGAACCTTACCATGAAACAGATGCGTGCTGAGAAAGATGCTCATGACCTGGGAGTCAACTGCTGCCACTTCTCCCCTCAAACAAATATTGGTAAGTTTCTTCATTTTCTTCACAGCCCCAAATGTCTATCAGATCCTGGAAAATGGGATGTTTCTTCACAAAAGCACACCAAAGAACAACACACTAAGTTTAGGTTTCAGTGCTGGTTAAGATGCTCTGGCTAAAGTGTTTGCCTTACACCAAATGTAGTTGATCAGCTAAGACATGAATGGTGTCTGAAATTTGCTTTTTTAATTTGCACCAAAGCTATAAGGCTAATGTGATTAACAAGTTATGGAGGCTTACATACACCAATTAGCACTGTGCAACCTGCATGCCTAAATCATCACATTCTTGCGTCAAGCCAGGTTGAGTTGTAATCTCAAATATTGCTCATGTTGCTCATATTGCTTTTTTTCCACAATATATAATATACTTTTATACATGAAAATGGGCAAAATATATTGCCTTGCTAATTACTGAACTCCTTTCAGAGGACAATTCTGTACTGTGTGTTTATTCTGAGTTGTCTGAACTTTGTAAATTGAAGAAAGGAAATGAAATGTATAGCACTGCAAAGTGTTTTTATTGTAGAAAACGAAGAATTACTTAAGTAGTGCATCATAGCATAAGCATACAATGAAAATTGTTTTGTTTTTAAATCTGGTTTAATTCTGAAATACATTAGTTCTTCAGCATTTGTTCACAGATTATTCTGACAAGGAGAGTCAGACAAAAGCTGAGAGAGTAAGACCTGAGCTGGGTAGTGAGCGAGCTGTTAGAGAAAACTCTGCTTTTGTATTGTGTAGCTGTGGCCAACAACAGCTGGTTAATAAAGCAGCACAACTTGTGCGAAAGGTGTGGTATTGTAGGGGCTGAATTAGCATGCTGTTTCAGGGCTCCTGTGGATCCTTAAAGGTTATATATAGTCTTAAAATCAATTTTAAAATTGTAAGATTATAACATTTCTAAAAATGTCTAATATGACATTCTAAAATGATACATAAAAGCCTGTGTTGAAAAGAGTGATTGTGCATATAGCCCACCAAAAATCTCCAGCTGACAATAGTCTGAAAGACCATGCAAAGGACAGAGAGAGCAGTTAGTGGAGTAAAGATAGGACTAGTTGTCAACAATCTCTCTTTATTTGTCATCACCATTAGTAGCTCATCTGTCAGCACCATTAGGTGGTCATATCATTATAATACACTTTCAGATTAAATTACTGTGATGAGTTCTTTTGTGAATGGACTGTTTTTGTTTTTTGTAAATTATTATGACAGTGCTGATTATTCATTATTTGTGTTGTTGTGTGTGGGTGTGCTTGTGTGTCAGAGGGCCAGACGACGAAATTTCGATTGGCTTCTGGTGGGCAGGACAGCCAGCTGAAAATATGGATCATTTCCCACTGTGCAACAGCAGGTATCCTGTCTACTCTACCCTCCCATCCAACACACACATTGCACAGTGCCCTCACTAATGATATATCAGGCAGCTTCTTTTGACCTGTGCTGACTTGTGGGCCTGAGAACGTTACAGAAATGTCAACCAAAACTGTACAGTAATGGCTTGTATAAAACATTTTGTATTTTGATATTTTGATAATAATCTAATCAATATGATTGAACCTACTTGAGACATATATAGTACATATGATAACAAACCATTTTAACCATGTTGTGCTTTATAGCATACTCTACACTGGCACACTACATACTTACTGACAGATAGCACTGTCCTCATTTACACCATCACTAAACTCTGCACACTAGATGCTCATACTTTATAATAACTCAACACCAGGAGCTAAGAAGTACTAACTATGTACATATTTGCAGCAAAGTATTCCAAAGTTTATGTTGTTACCGCATTTATTTGTATTGTGAAATTTGTGTCTGGTCCTGTCCTGCTTGTGTAATGTAAAAGTACTGGGCCCAGTAAACTTACATTAACAATAATCTTCGACTAACATATGCTTATGATCACAACAGGTGGAAATATACAGCGGGGTCCAAAAGTTTGATCTGTAATTTTTTTGCATTTAAATCTAGAAATAAACAACAGGAAGTTTTAGAATTTTGAAAAATTTAAAACAGAGGAGTTATGACAAGTAAAAAGAAGGAGAAATGTTCAAGATTCTGCACTGTTTTAGGGAACTGTTCAAGTTTAAGCAAACTTGCTTTTGCACAAATGCTTGAAGTCCATTCCAGCTTAAGTGTACACCGTCATTAAAGCAAAGGAGGGGCATAACAAATACTGAGAGATTCTGAAATTCACATTAAAACTCAAAGGGTCTACTTCTCCCCTTACATTGTTATGCTGATAATATGACTTATGATTAATTCTGATTTAATGAAAAACTTTGCAGTAAATCAGAAAGGAATGCAAACTAGTGGTTTCAGACTTTTGGACCCGCTGTGTAAGTATATATATATGTGAACATATCCTTGTATGCAAAAGTTTGGGCACCCCTGGTCAAATAACATGTTTTATTGAGAAGTACATATTCTAATTCACTTAACCACTTCTGCACATTTTAATGCACAAGTACTGTTTGTTTGCTTACTTTAACATATTTACACATGGCTTGTGTGAAACATAAGGCATATTTTATGTTTCATGTTTTCATGTTTTATATGTACGTGCACACACACACATGTGTATATATATAGCTACTGGCGGAGAAAGTGCCAAATGAAGGCTCTTTGCAAGAATATGACTGAATCCTTCCTGTCGTATAACATCAGAGTCTGTTTTAAAGGTGTAATATCTCCTTGTTCCTCTGTGGACCATTCTGGAGCTGCTTGCTCGTGCAGGTCACTGTCTGCCCTGCCTTTCTGTTGCCGTGGCAACGGTCGTGGCTGGTTGGGATGTGCATCCCGTGTTACTTCCTGCTGGGAGTCTGCTGGGCAGGCTTTTGTTTCAGATGGAGCACACACACACGCAGAGGGATAAGTAGCAGTCAATCACAGGGACGCTGTGATATCGTTTTTCTCAGGAAATTGGCAGTGCTGTTGAGTGAAGTGTGTGGATTGGAATATTCATGATGCTCATTTTCTGGGTTTTATCAGTCTCTGCAGCAGGCCTGTGTATTTCGCTGGTAGAGAGGTCTGATAGACTGTTTCACCCAGTGGGGTCCCAAACAGAAACCACCAGTACTGACACTAAGCATGTAACTGCACAGGACTGTCATGTCTTACCATTTTACATGTTGGCCCTGACAATCTGGTTTAGAAGCACCAAGTTCCACTCTTTTAATGTTTGGTAATTATTCTGGAATTGTAATTAATTATGTTAGGGCGGTGTGCTTATGGCAGAAAAAAATGCATTTGTTCATAGTGGGTGATATAAGGAGGCTAAAGAGTCATTTTCTGTCTGGTGTAATTCTATTGGTGTATTTTGCAGGTTGCAGTATGAGGCTAGTACACACTCTCACTGCGCAGCTGCTCCCTGTTCTGTGCTGTGCTTTTTCATTTGATGGACAAATGCTTGTATCTGGGTGAGTCTCAAAACTGTCTGCACACAAACACAACGCTATTTCCAAGGCTTTTCTGTGTCATATACTTTGAGAATTTCTGCAGTGTGTTGTGATGCACCTTTTGACCACTAGGGGGATCTGTCCTGTCATCTTCTGTTCTGTAATCATTTAGAAAACTAAAGGAGGCTTACTGTGCTGCTGTTTATTAGCATGCATATTTGTCCCTCATAAATACACTAATGACTCCTTGATGGCTGAGGTTTTGCAGAACTGAGCACCTGTCTACTAAATACTCCCAGACTGTCATAAGTTAAATGTGACTGTTTTATTCTGTCCTCCTACAGTTCAGTGGATAAAACAGTGGTTGTGTACGATGCAGTGAGTAAACCAGTGTTGTGTATTATGCATTTCAAACATCTGTAATCATCTGTGTAACTCCATATCATTAGTGTAAAATGCATTAGTAAATTTTGCACGACATATAAACTCCTTATAAAGCTGTTATAAATGTTTGTATATGTCCTTTCTGCAGAATCAGGGCATTGTACTTCACTCTCTATTGCAGCATGAACGGTGAGTTCTCTTTCTCTGATTGAGTCTCTCGCTGCGATCCCAACAACTGATCCTCTTGTGACTGCATGGGTTTTCTCTCCCTCTTCTCGTTCTCTTCTTCCTCTCCCTCCCTCTCCTATTGTAGATATGTGACTGCGTGTGCCTTCTCCCCCACTGGGCTCGTCTTGGCCACTGGCTCCATGGATAAAAGAGTTAATATTTGGAGGATTGGTGATGCCATATCAAGTGAGCCCTGAATGGTTTTACTCATATAATGACATAAACATCTGTCAGACTTTGGTGCCACTATTCTGAAAATTGTCAGCAGGATGTTCTAACAAGTGACTGTTGAGAGTATGTCTCTCAACGAGGCCCTGGTAGTGAATGGCCAAGACGTGTACTGTGCTTGCTCTACATGGATAGTTGCCTCTTCCTGCAGGCCCTCTAGTGGCCCCCTGGTGGCCACTCCCTGACAGAATAACTCTGTCATCAGATTAATTAGGACACTGTTGACTCCCTTTATGTAGAATGTTGTGACTCAGTGTTGAGCTGCTAGCGAGCAATGAGGGGTCAAATAAGAGGGGTGATAGGAACCCCTGCTCAGAAAACAATTCACAAGACTGCTGTGCCAAGATAAAATGAACAGAACAACTGCAGTTTTCTTGATATAAAAAAATCATGGATAACTGCCACAATGAAAAGATGACTTGCTTGCCAATCTACAAAGACAAAAATCCTACATACATGCACATTTCAATCAAAATATATATTCCATCAAAGTCATGGAAGAAAAAAAATGCATAGTTCTACTGAGGAACATCCAAACGTTTTCTTCCACAAAATTTAATGGCTGTTGTGAAAAAGTGTTAAACAGAATGAATTATAGGTTCAGCACCTTTGCTTACAGTTGCTAATTTCCAAACATGACATATTAAGTGCTGCAAAGCGATATTATATTGCCTAGAATTCAAAGCTAAGTGGCATATGCTGCCGTACGCCAGCATGTCCTAAGCTTATACATCTCACCTTGCTTGTGGCTCTTCACTGACACCTCCACAAGGTTTCCTGCGAGAGAACATATGCGTTCTAGCTTACAGCAGTGACCTCTGAGAGCTTAGTGCATGCCAGATTAACCTGGCATCTGACCGCGGTTCACATTACCCAGGCATCATTTGTATTACACAGCGGGTCAAGATTATAATTTGTAGTGCTGACCAGATTCAGAGTGGAGCTCATTAATGCTCATCATGAATGAGTGAGAGCAAGTGTGTTGTGTGTCGTGTGTGTGACCCTGAACTCTGTTGTGCAGCTACACTGTGCCCTGCAGTTGAGTCTTAGTGCCATGCTGACAGATGGCCCAGGAGCCTGGCTCTGAGACTAGAACTGGCACTGCTGCAAGAGGGGCTAGCGCTCCAAATATACAACATTAAAACTCTCCTTGTGTCCAGAAACCATCCATACACAGCCAGTCACAATTCTAATGCCTGTCGGGGTTACAGATGACTGTTGCCAGCCCAGTCAGTCTGAGTCCCATTAGACCATCTAGATTTGATTACCGCTTTAATGGACTCACTTCTCCTCGCTCAAACACAAGATACTGACAGATAAGGCTTTTTACTGAGATGGTGCTATTGCAGACATCATAGAAGGGTGGAGTTTTAAATTGACTTGCTGTAGATGTTTCTGGCATGTGTGGGTTGTTTCTGGGTGCTATAATCAACTAAGCATTGAAAATTATTTCATTTTCTTTCACTCATCTTGTTTATAACAAACTAATCCAGTTTGAGGGAGCTGAGAGAGTCATTAACTACTTACTCTTTGCCTGTAAATACGATTTTAAAGCCTTTACACTAGTGTCTTAGTGCAGACAGTAAGATCATATGCTTTTGATAAGACACAGAGCCTGTACAGAAAAGTCTGTAGTTTATATTATCATCCAGTTATGTTGTTTGGAAGTTCTCTTTTCACCAGGGCACTGTCTTTACCCATGAGGAGAAAGTCTTTTTGGAAGCCAACATCAAATAGAATTGATGAAACTGAAGAGGATAAAACAGTGCATCGCTCCCTCTGTAATGGAACAATTCTGATTTAATAAGTGCCTCAATTGTGTCTCCTTTGATGTGTTTGTAATTTTTTTTCCTTTTTTTTAGCTGTTCTACCAAAAGCAGTGAGTCAAGGTAGGACCATTTCATCATCCTTCTTTTACAGCTTCTTTCCTGCTGTCTGAGCCGTACATGTTCTCCTAACAAAACAAAGTGCTGTTCTTCAGTACAGCAACCGTTACAGGATTCGGTCAGTGCTTTTTGATCCTGCTCCTGGGTCCTCTGCACAGCTTCAACTTTTTCTTGTTTCAGCACACCTGATCAAACTCATGAAGGGCTTGATAATTAGCTGATGATCTAGATCAAAGGTGTCAGGACAGGGAACAGTGCCCAAGAGCAGGATTATGAAACACTGGACTAGATGCTAGAGATCCTGAATAAGTGCATGTTTTTTAAGCCTTGTGAGTAAACAGCAGCACAGAGTAAGAGACAGAAAGGTGGAAAGAAAAACTGGTAGAGGGGGAAAACAAAACCTGATTGTTGATGGGGTCTGGTGTCCTTCAGTCAAGAACCCAATGATGAGTCTGAGATAGAAGCAGAGACTGAGACAGATGGGCTGAGACAGAGGCTGCATTTCAATATTGTTTTTTTTATTTTGAACATGCCCTGTCCAGCTTCGCCACGCCACTCAGACGTGCGTCACACATACATTACACATACATTAAGTGGCCACTCACAGTACAGCATGAGAAGGGGACAAAGGAGCATTCTTTTCAATCAGAATGCACTTGCAATTGGCTTTACTGAGGTTAGATGCAGTGAACTAATTAGCCCTGCACACTTTATAATGCAGAACATTTTTCAAGATATCTGAACATAACATGCTGTGGTGTCTGCCACACGCTCTGCATTTCAGAAAGAGTTTTAGAGAAGTGGTATGCGGAAGTGGTAAGCTGTGCTGTGTGCCCTGCATTTAGTGTTGTTTGTTGTTGTTTGTTGGTTTAAGGTATGTATATGTGTTATGTTATATCGTGCTGGGCTGTGGTGAGATAGTGGAGAGTTTCTGTGCCTACCATTATGAGTAATCAAATGGCTAGAAGTGACGTGCCTGCTTTGCCTGGCCGTTGGTGTGTGGCTGTTCTGCTTGTTTCAATAAAAGAGCACCTCCTGAGCAGAAATAATGGTCTCTCCTGCATCTGCTTCTACGCCGATGCCACAATACAGAAATTGAGTGATTAACCTCATTATCTGGTCGTATTGTCTTATTGTGTTATGTATTGTGTTATTTTTTGTTGTTGCTAGCTGTGTTGCCTTTAGCTCACTAACAGGCAAGCTAGAATAGTGAAGTAACAAAGCTGTTTCAGCAGTCATGTGTAAGAGATGTGAAGTAGTCTGAACGTAGCAAATCGAATGTTATGGTTTTGAAATATGAAACATTATTTCTATGCTATGGCTTATAAACAGCTTTAGCAACCATTGTCTTTGGGTCACTGTGATTTCTGGGTAAGTTTGGCATTTATGTTCACTCAACCCTTTGACTCTCAGAAGGCTTAGGCTGCTTTCATGATTATGTTGGAAATGGGGATTTTCTGACTTCCAAGTGGGAGAAATCTATTTTCAGCTTTCCAACTATCCTCACTCAAAAAGGTGGAGCTTCTCAAGATCTCTGAGTAGTAATTCTGTGAAGTGTGAAGTTACTTCAACATGACTTTATTAGGCAGTTTAATAAAGTCAAAAGTTTGTCAGTCTGTGCAAGATTTTTGTTTTAACCATGTGCTGTCATGTAATTTTCAAACAACTTCCAAATTCCAAATGAAAACTTTTTAACAGCCCTACATTCAGCAGCCAAATAAACACTAGTGTACTGTGAGTGTCCATTTTCTCTGACTTCAAACAGCTGCAGTGGCATAAACACTTTGGTGTGGAAACCAAGAAGATGAAAAATTCAGAATTCCCAATTGTCATGAACTCAGCATTATCTAACAAACTTCACTTGTGATAATATAGTAACGGAACAGCCCTTCAAATGGCCATGCAGATTCCCCTAATGGGAAACGGCAAAGGCAAACTGAAGAGGGCAAATTAAAAATGGTATTAGAATGAGCAGTGAGGCAAACTGAGGCAGGAGCTGAGGCAGATTGAGACAGAATGGGAGAGAGACTGGAGGAGGCAGAGGCTAACGTCAACCTGCCCCGAGATAATCCAACACTGTATCTCGCCTTCATATATCATAAACCATTAACAGAGTCCTCCCAGTCAGTTATATGGATGCTGCTGCTGCTGAGAATGTTTCTGATGTGATTAAAGCATTGTTGTAAGGAATGTGAAGAATGTACAAAACCATTAACACACTTTTTATCTGTGAATAGAGAGGACATTTGTTATGGCTGAGTTGGCAGGTTGGGTTAATGTTTTGCTTTAGTCTCGTCAGTGCAGGTATAATAGTTTTCATAGGAGATATGATCAGTCCATAAGTGCTTTCCTGACAGAACAATTAACACTGGACATGAAAAGATTTGACCATGTATTATCTAAAAAAAGGTACCTCCTGTTTGTGTTGTGAGCAGGAAGGAAGTCGCTCGGTCACTCCAGAAAGATGGTCACTGATTGGACGGAGGAGGATGTGGGTGCATGGCTGCAGGAAGAGGGACTGGGTGTACTTGTGAACACATTTAAGGCCAACAACATCGATGGACCTGAGCTCATCACCCTCACCAAAGAGACACTGAGCACTGATCTGAATATTGGTAAGAACAGAACAGCTGTAGTAACAGTGATGCTGTGGTTATTAAAGGAGATGGTGAACAGTAGATCACTTGTTAGCTGAAACCCTTTCAGGGTGTAAATGTCCACTTTTCACATCCACTGGAGTGGTACCCTCAAGAGTACAATGTCAGTACATTTGTTTAGGGAACATAATTGTACCTCGTTCTGTTGGAGTGATTTTTTAAGTTGCATTGACTTTTTTTTTTTACCTTTTTTTTTATACTTTAAAGTGTAAAGTCATGAAAAACAAACACAGTTGAACGAATACAGTTCTATCTAAATGTTGGGTGCCCTGGTCAAATGACAGGTTTTCTATGTCCTAATCTTATTGTTTATTTGCTGAAGTTAACATATTGAAAAAAAAATTGAAACATTTTTCCCAACATGTTAAACTAACTAAAAAATAGAAATTCAGCACTAAAATTTATAGTGTGTAAATGTGTCATTTGTAAATGTGTCATATTAATGTGTCAATAATGTGTCAATAAGTTAACTAACTTATTGTAATTTGGAAAATCAACAAAACATTTTGACGAGGGTTGCCCAAAAATTTGCATATGACTGCTTGTCTCTTTCATATGTAGCTTAAAACTCATTTAAGGTACAATATTGAACCCTAAATACCTTTAAAAAACTTAATCTTTGAGGGTACATTTATATTGTTTGCACTATGGGGGGAGCTAAAATTTACCAGTAATGTACTCTTTTAGACTAGTAATTACTGTTTATTGGTTTGATTAAGCAATAAATAGACTAGTTATTACATAACGCATTGTGTAATTCAGGGTGAGTTTTGAGCTAATTAATGATTGTGTCTTTTAAATGTAGCTGTGTTCCACCATTTATTTTTAGATGTAAGCACTTAATGGACCTGGCTTGTAACTTGCTTGCTCGCTCACATTTTACAGGCTGAAGATTCTCCACAAGGGGGAGCTATTAGCCCTCAAATTGCCTTTGATGCATTTTAGGAGCCGTACTTCACAGTGACATCAATAACAAGTGTCCTCATCAAACATGGATTAACAAATGTGGTATCAAAATCTTAATCTGTGATTAAAACCTTGACTTTGACCCTATTTTTGATATTAATTAATTAATAATTTTCAGCACAGTGTATTTTAGAGATGTAAACATACATTTACATTAATCCCTAAGTGAAGTTTAAAATAATGGATCAACAGGAATAAATCTTATTTCTTAACTTAAATGCAGGTTTATCTGTTAACTCAGTTGCAATAATCCAATATTTTAGACATAATGAGGGTTACATACAAACCTTCTAAAACCTTTAATTCTGGTTTGTATGTAACCCTCATTATGTCTAAAATATTGGATTGTTGCAACTGAGTTAACAGATAAACCAGCATTTAGGTTTAAACTGTTGGTGCACCTTATTCTCAGTGTTTACATTTACATTGAACTAAAGACTAAAGCATGCATGTATGTATCTGTACGTGTGAAGGGGTGATGATCAGAATGTGTAGCAGGTTCATCTCCTTAAATTCATAAACATCAGCCTAAAATACTCTGCTGCTATTTCTGTGCGTGACTTTCCCTTATGAATACACCAATCGCTCCACATTGCGTAGCTTGCAGCTGTTCACTCTGGCTCCAAACAGAGATCCACAATGCCGCCTGATTTCTGCTGGCTGAAGCTCACTTAAGAAAGCTAAAACCAGCCTGCGAGCAGCTTCTGTCAGCTTTTGTGTGCTTCGCAGTGGAATGGGATCTTGTGTATTCACAAAAGCTAAATGAGGTTTTTGGCAGTGATCTGCAGTACATGCACAGGTGCATAGCTTATTATATCTATCATTTTACATCCTTCCCGGTGGAGATGCATCAAGGCTGTTGTGTGCATTAGCAAAGTAACACTACAGTTTCTTCTGTAGCCTAGTTTTAGTTGAAAGGCTCCAGGCTAGGAAAAATCAGTTCAGTCACAAGGGAAAATATTTAGAATGTAAGTCTCAAATAATTAAATCAGAAAATAATGGTTGAATTAGCTGTGGTTTGTGTCCTGAGGGAGCTGTGCTGAGATCAGACTGGATTCAGTATCAGCAGTTTCTGTAAGTCTCTGTTGTGTTGTAAACTGTAAAGCCTGTAGTGATCTGCCTCTGTTTCCCTCATTCTTGAGGTTCTGTATCTGAGGCCGGCTATCGAAAGATGATTGGTTAAACGCATTACAATAATAGTTGCTGGGCAGATGTGTGTCGTGCTGTTTGATAGAAAGGTGGAGTGTTGATTTAGCATTTCTTTGCTGCAGTCTCTGGTGTACAGGTTTGAACCTGGGGCTGATTGTACTCTGATTGCTCTGTTAGTACATCCTTGAAACTGCTGCACTTTCACTGCTGTCTGGTAGGTTCTCTTGGGACACTAGTGAGTGTTTACTAATTAATTTAATTTAGCAAGATGCTGAAGTCTCAGAGTAATTTATATGATGCACTCAACAACTCACAGCTGTGCTGTCCCAACTGCCACTTCCGAGTGCATGTGGCCACTGCTGACTGAATACTGATTTCATATACAGCCCCACAGAGAGAGTGCGAGTAGGTAAGTGAGTCAGAGATCAGATTTAGAGATCAGACGGAGAATTCCCTGTCTGGTATCCCAAAAGCATTGTAGCCCAGAGATCATCACAGGCTGGTAAAGCGAACATCACTTTGAACAAAATATGATTTTGACACTATAGTGCTTTTGGGAAGTTATGTTTCAGACTGAGAGCAGAGAGAAATAAAGGAGGAGCTCCATGCTGATGCAGCGTAGCACCACTTTGACTGCTGCACTCACAGTATTAGTGAGAGGAATCCAGGCTGAAGGCTCAGTTCTTTCTGCAGCACAGCTGGGCTTCAGAAGACCTGCCAGACAGTGCGTTTGTAGTATTTCAGTCCTGACTGAAGCTGCCACAAGTTCTGTACTATAGGTTCACAGTGAGATAGTGGACTATAGTTGCAAATGACTAGAAAACAATGTCTTTCATTTTTTTTGGCATACCTGAGCGCTTACGTGGATGGAAAAGTGCTTTTTCCCTGAAGAAAACTTTGAGAGGCATTGCGCCTGATTCTCAGAGGGCATCAGTGCGATGAATCACACACAAACACAAAATCTCTTCTGTGAAGCTGAATGGATCCAGACGCTGAGCGCACTCCTTTTGTTTCCTACAAAAGGAGTAAGCTCAGAGATGAGCTTTCTGTCTGGCCATGAAATCTGAAAAGCATGATTCAAATAATCGAGCACTTTACAGACTGATGAGATGGTGAAGACACTGATGTCTTCACATGATTAATTTTGTATGCCTTCATTTGTTAATTAGTTAATCTATTCATTCAATAAAAGAGGGATTAATTATAAGGTTATTATTTCTTCTACATTATTTCAGTGAAGATTCCCAGGTTCAGACCTTGTTGTTAAAAGAAGAAACATTGATGTTAACTGTCTCTTGCCTGTAGAGTCACTGGGTCTTCGAGGTAAAGTTATGAGGAAGATTGAGGAGCTGAAATCTGCTGTGATTGGCTCTGATGTCCCAGATGAGTTCCTGTGTCCAATCACTAGGGAGGTCATGAAGGATCCAGTCATGGCTGCAGGTTAGTTGGTGGACAGTTTAACAAAGAACTTCTGATTGCTCAGCTGTGTCATCACTATTGCTAATTTAAAGGCATTCAGTCTTGAAGAGAGAGAGGGAGAGAGACAGAATGGGGTGGCCAGTAGTCCTAAATTCTGACAAATACAATAATAAAACGTCAAAGAATCAATTACATGATCTCCAATGTCTAAGATGAAGATGCAATAAAGAACATGGATGGAAATGATGGCTGATTTGTTTAACATTTATGTTAATAAAATGCCACAGGTGAAAAAGCAGACTGTCAGTTCTGACAGCTGTCTGGATCATTTTTGCAGTACATTTTCTTTTCATGTTTTATACTAATGACTGTTTCACTGCTGTGGCAAAATGTATAATTTTGACCTGATTTTCTCCCCAATTTAGTCGTCTCCAATTCCACCCGCTAGTTAGGACTCCCCCAATCACACGATGCTATCAACGCTAGGAGGGTGAAGGCTAACACAGGCTTCCTCCGAGAGGTTCACAGTGAGATAGTGGACTATAGTTGCACATGACTAGAAAACAATGTCTGTCATTTTTTTGGCATACCTGAGCGCTTACGTGGATGGAGGAAAGCGCCAACCGCCAGATCTGTTACGTCAGCTAACAGACGCCTGCGCTGACTAGCATCGCGCTGAGTGATGGGGTGAGAAGGAGGGGCCGTCCTACCTACCCACCCAGAGAGAGCGAGGCCAATTGTGCTCTCTTGGACTCCCGGCCCCGGATGGCTGTAGCATCACCAGGGATCGAACTCGCGATCTCCTGATGATAGGGCCAACGCTTAGACGGCTGCGCCACTCGGGAGCAATGTAATTTTGTAGATGACACTATCAGTCTGTGATGAAATTGTATGTCGATCCAGGCCTCTACCTGCAGAAGAGATTGTATTTGATCATCTTCAGAGTATTAATCAGTTTTACCTAAACATAGTGAACATGACTAAAATTTGACTGTAACTAAAAGGTATTTTTCTTAAGACAAACCAAACTGCTGTCAAAGTTAATGCACATGACTACATTTTCTAAAATGACCACCATTCTTCTGCACTGTTTGTGCAGTTGACACAGTGTGTCAAAGTAGCAATCCTTGACAATTTACTTCGGTAGAGAGAAGATAAAGCTCTGCAAACAAATGTAGTTGCACACTGATCCAAAACCTGTAATAACTGTCTGTAAGCTTATTTAGAAGTGTTAAATTGGCCGTTCAACTTCCTCCTCCTTCACCTTGTATTGCACTTATACAAAAAGCCATCTGCAGTGCGTATCTTTAACTGTAAACCAAAAACTACTGAGAGAAAGCTACAATAATAAAGTGGTTTGCTCTCCAGATGCAGTCTCTGCACTTCTGCTCTTAATGTAGATAATTGCTAGGTTTGATGCATGCCGTTCAATAAAAAACAGACAGAAAAGCATTCTGGGTGCTTATGTCATTTCTCTTCTCTCTAAACAGATGGCTACTCTTATGAGAGAGAGGCTATCGAGAGCTGGATCAACACTTCAAATCACTCCAGTCCTATGACAAACTTACCTCTTCACAGCACTATCCTCACTCCCAACAGGACTCTAAAGATGGCCATAGACCGCTGGAAGGCCACTCAGTGACTGCAACTGCATTAAGAAGCCTCCTGCTCGAGCTTTCAGTGAATTATTTTACAAAATATTTTAACACATTTTGTGTTAAAAGTAACACAAAAATGTGTTGTTCTTAACTGAGCACGTCAATGAGTCCAGTTCATCTGTAACAGTGTAGTAGCTTGTAGACTGGAGAATCAGCCATTGGGCTTCATTTACGCATGTAATACAGAATTATTAATAAAAAGTGCCCTAATCTTTTGAACTCTGTGTTTTGTATGGACGTTTGAAATAGTTGGCTCTACACGTACATGTAGTTCAAATTGTTCAAACTGTCAAGATCCGCGTTGCTGTCTTATTATGGGGAATTCTCTGTATGAATGCCCTTATATGTTTGTGACTGTACTCAGATACACTGTATGTCCAGCAGTACCAAGACACATCATTCTATCTCCATAAGATCTCCATAGAAAGAATTTCTTAAATTTCTTTAATTCCTTTCCTAGTTTCTGTTTTCCTAGTCCTTTTAACAGTCTGCAGCAGTGAGAGTATTCGTGTTAGCCTGTGTATTTGATCACTGCTATAGAAAAGTTACAGGAACAGTAAATAACACAGTGTTTAGATCTGTACACCCACTTAGGCCAAATATCTGTCAGCGCTGCTTACTGTTCTGCTTGAGGCTTTACATTAAATTATACTCGGTTGACTTGGCGCACAGTCAAAAGCAATTGTTGAAATATGTTAAATCTTGTGTAGCTGTTTGTCATTGTACACGGGGATTGAAAATCCAATGATGTTCGCTCCTCTGAATGCAATGATGAACAGAATGGTAGTAGTGCAGGATGATTAAGAGTGGGTTTTTGTTTTATTTCCTGTTGATGAGTAACGGCAGTAATGCATCTTTACAGCATGTGATTAAAGAGAATACAGTTCTGCACATTAATGAAACATGGCAACAATTGCAAATAACATACTTATTAAAATAGAACCGCGTGCCCCCCCGAGCGTAATACCTTTCTTATTTTAACTGTATACTGTATTTACTCTTTTATTAAAAACGGCAGCTGTGGCATGCACTTTAATCCAGGTGATCTCCATATTTATAGAGCTTCTTATTGAAATTTAAAAATTCTTCTTTTTATTAGCTGTGCAAAAATAACTATATAAAATATATTGCTTTTACAATTACCAAGCCATAGGTGCTGTAAATAAATTATCCTAGACAGCAACACAAGCACACAGGAGGAGAGATTTTTAGCTTTTAACAAATGGGCAAATCCATATGTAATATACAAACATACAAACCAGGTATATTTTTTATAACCTCAAACATCATCTCAACCATACAATGTGCATAAAACAAAAGCAAAATACACAAACTTTTTTTTCTCAATAAGTCACAATACACTGATGTAGACCTTCACATAAACATGTTGAAAAATACACACTGTATTACTATTTACAAGGCTAGAGCAATTCCTCAAATCCAGTCCAGCAGTACAGTTTAGTGTTTTCCCTTGTCTTCTAACAGCCCTGCTTCAACTTGACTGAATTAGCTGAAAGAGGAGAGTTAGAGCTGATAACTCAGCAAATATTAAACTGTGGCCTTCTTGAGCAGGACTTGGGACACATTGCACTAGTGGTTAGAGATTCTATTCAAAACACAGGAATGTCTCATTATTGACCTCTTCTACTGTCCACATATTAACTTATTCATTCCTACATTTGTGTTTTTGTCAGCACCAGTGATATAATGTCCACAGTATAAGCTCCCACATGTGCATGTGTATTGTAAGCACAGATATGTAGTAATGGTTTGTAAAGTGCTGTGTGTTCATTTCTGTGTGCCCTGTTTCAGTGGTTAGTCTCCAGTGTGGCTGAAGCGTGATGAGCAAGCAGCCACCTTAGCACAAACTTTTGGCTTTACTGAGCCCCCTCACCCCCAAAAAAAAGGAAAAAGAAAAAAGAAAAATCAAAAACAGCAGTTAAGATGTGGGATGTAATCATTGTCCATAATGTACAATTTAAACCTGTTTTACAACTGAAGAGCAAAGTCAAGAAAATACTTTCATTTTAATATCAGATGTGTGTTTTTGTGTGTGCATTTGTGTAGCTGTTGTTCGTGTGAGAGAGCGCATGAAAGAGAGCAAGGAGCAATGGGTTACGGTTGTATTATGAATAGGCTCTATACATTAGACTCGATAAAGGATCGCTTTGGTTTCATTGAAGCTACATGAATGGCAGGATTATCTCGAGCTAAGCTGGGATGCTTGGGCTTACTGTCTGTGTAGGAATGCGCCATGGCAACAGCTGGCTTGGACTCTTTGTAACAGGTGGCGGCCTGGCAGAACTTGTCGTTGAATTCTTTAGCATGCAGGCTGCCGTTGTGCAGGCCCCCCAGAGCAGCTCCCTGAGAGGAGGCCTTGAGCTGCTCGTGGTAAGTGCTGGAGGGCTTGGGGTACGACAACTCACAGTTCACTCCCGCTAGCCCTGCAGAGGACATGCTGTGGCTGTCTGAGGAGTGACTCTGCCAGCCACGAGACTGGTGACACTGCTGCTGCTGCTGCTGCTGAAAACGTGCTGTTTTGTCCATAATGCCCATGAAAGGTCTGGGTTTGTATTCCACAGTGCTTCCCTGGGCAGGCTTGGTTTTGTCCACACTGGTTTTGGTGCGAACATCAGGGCCTTGTAGTTTCCCACTGTCTGACAGACTGCTGCTGGATGCCAAACTGCTTGTGGAGCTTGAGACCCTCATGCTGCCTGCCTGGGACCCAGAGCCAGAGCCTGCCCCCTGTGCTGACTCCTTTCTCAGCTCCTGCCCCTGAGCAGCAGGTGCTGCTGACAGAGCCAGACCCTCTAAAGAGCTCACAGAGTGGGCCGAGAGTCTCTCTGGAGCCCTACTGGGGCCGGATGAGGAGTATGCCTGAGACAGAAAGACACCTTCACTTTCATGGTGACCTGTAGCAGTAGATGTGTGGCCTTTGTCTTCACTAGGGGGTGGTAGAGGGCTGATGTCAATGCCTGGCCCTGCCTTCAGCATGTGACGTCCAGGGAGTGGGCTTGAAGGGCCATGGGTTTGTGATTTACAAGCTGTAGGCTGTGTAGAGCCTGCCTGGAGAGAGCTCAGGTGTTGGTTGGTTTTGACGATTTGGGCCTGTTTGGTGGGCTGCAGAATCAGGCTCTTGTGGGCCACAGGCTCCCGCTGGTGTTGCCTCTGGCTCTGCCTATGAGGAGGAGAGCCTGGTTGGCCAGCCTGCTGACCATTACCCACAGAGTCTGGCAGTGTCCGGTTAAACTGGTAGATATTCTGTGACCAGGGCTCAGCTCTGGCATCAAGCTGAGAGGAATCCTCCTCATCCAGGTCTCTCCCCAAACTGTTCTCTGTTAGATCTTCTTCCTCCCCCTCTTCGCGCTCATGGTCAGAGTCATGGTCAGCTGCAGATGGATTTAATGCCCCCTGTTGTTTGTTTTGGGCACGCTGCATTTGTTTGCATTCCTCTTCTACTCGAGTCAGGAGACGACGGATCTCACGATTGTTGGGGCAGAGCTTGGTTGCCTCATGCAGGTCAGCTAATGCTGCAGTGAACTGCCTGTAAGAAAAAGAAACAGAAAAAATTAAATAGGTAAAAGCGAAAGCAGAATAACAGTAGGGAAAACTGAAAGAACATGGAGGACAAGTAAGGCAAGGGCAAGCACAAAGTTATAATTTGGTTAATTCCATCCTTTTCTATGATATCATTAGAATGGACTATGATTAAAGTCTTTATAAAGAGAGCTATTTGGTTGTACCTGCTGCTCCTCTTAGCTCGAGCACGAGCATAGTATGCCTCATAGGATTTCGGCTTCAGCTCCAATGCCTTTGTGGCAAATTCCTCAGCCATGCCAAAGTCCTAGGTGAGAGAGAAAAACAGGGACTTTAACAAGTGGTTAACATACAATCCTGGCATCAAATTCAATATTTAAAATAAATGTATGTATTAATTTATATATTAAAAAAAAAACTCAGTTTCAACATTTGATGTTGTCTTTGTACTATTTTCAATTAAATATAGGGTTTCAATAAATCGCAGATCATTGCATTCTGTTTTTTTTTATGTTTTGCACTGCATCCCAAACAAGGTTGTATACTAAACCACTGAAATGTTTTCTAACGTGACAAAGGCAAGTGAGAACATAGAGAAGTTAGCTGATCTGACATACCCAAGCCAGCTCATCTGAGGTTTGAGCCAGTGTTCATAAAGCCTTTCAAAGAAATGAATGTGACCCACTGATTTGGTTTTATCACCAAGATCACCAAACACTTAAAATACTCCTATACTAGGTCAGCATGCCTACTGTAAGATATTACAGGCATACAGATTGTCTTTTGCTATTTGTAGTTAATTTCAGCCTCAGTCCACTGTATGTTGTAATTTACCTGAATAATAGGTGTTAGAATTAATGGACTCAATCTGTTCCTCAGAGCATTGTGCGGTTTTATTGTTTCACCAATCAAATGTGTAGAATGGAAACTGGCTCTGGACTATGCCTGTGTCATGGGCCGTTTTAAAGTGAGTCTGTTTATTGCTCCTGTGCTGAAACAAAATCTATTCAAGTGCTTTATGTAATATGTGTGTTTCTGGTGCTTTGGCATTCAGTTATGCATTGTAAATGGTACAAGAATCAGCACTGTAGACAAATCAGTTGAATGATGATGAAATATGTATCCTGCTAATTAAAAATCTGGGTAATAAAATAAGTTTTGCAATATATTCCCTGTTATTTTTGACAGAAATTAAGTGGTAAATTCATTCAGTATATATAAACTGACGTGTTTAGGAACCTATGGCGCCTACAATATCCCTTAAAACTCAGGACAGTTTTGGATTTAAATCTCGATCTGAAGAAATATTTGTTTCAGCAGGAAATCCAAAGCAGGTTATAAAATTCCAAAAAAAGTTATTTAATGACAAACGTGTAAGATGATATCACAACTATATAAATTTAGGAAAGAAAGAGTGATGCTCACATTGGTTTTCCGGCGGCAGCGTGAAAGGTTGAGGTACAGAGAGACTCGCAGCTCTCTAAATGCTTTCAGCTCCTCACCAAAGCCCTCCCTGGGAAACTTCCTCAGAGCATACTGATACCTCTGAGCTGCCTCCTTCATCTTCCCTCTCTGAAACACAGAGACAGAGAAAGAGAATAAGAATGCAAGCATTAAGAACAAGATGGAAAAAGAGAGAGTGAACGGGTAAAGAAGGACAGAAGAGAAACAGAAAGAGCAAAAAGAGTAATCAGATACTCAATATGTCCCAGCATGCAACTCGCACACTCCCCCTGCATCAATCACTCGTTCCAGCATCATCCTCTCTCTTTCTCCCTGACACAAAACTCAATCTCTTAAATGTCACACATCAATCACATACACATACTCTTCATCTTCTTTTCATTTAACTCAAATCTTTCTCTGATAAGAATCATTTAATAAAGCCATTATTTTTCGACTCAGTTTTTCATGGATTAGAGGGCAAAACTAAGACAAGTTAATTGAAGATAATAAACCTTCATTTTTATTTTAATAAGTGTAGAGAGATGAGAGTGGGTCTGGAGATTCATTACTAAAAAAAAAACACACATTAAACCTTTGCTTGGGCTTTGCTCTCTGCTGTATTGAAGATCAAAATTTGTTTAAAAGGTGTATGTGGCAAATGCATTAAGCATCTGAGGCATTTGAGTGTCTGAGATCAAGCACTGGGGTCAGCAAAAAAAAACAAAAAACAATGTGAGCGCCTGTGTTAACTTCTTCATACAGCAAAAATGGGCTAATGAACTTCCTGAAAAAAAGCTTAAATAAAGCCAAGCAATCTTTACTGTTATTGTTTTATTTTGGGGGATTATTCATCTAAGATAGTCATTCATGCATCTGATTTTTATCTGTGATCCTGAATGTTGATCTTTGTCTTTACCTTGTAGAGCAGATTGCCCTCCTCCATAAGCTTCTGTAGCAGGATGATGAGGATGTCAGGTTTAGAAGTGGCCATTGCCCAGGCTGCGTTACCTAGGTTAGAGGGAGGGAGAGAAGGTGAGTCGTCCAACCCTTTAAATGCTTTGCATTTAAAACTTCACTGTGAGAGTGGTAAAGTTACCTAAGAACTGTACCTGTTCGGTCATAAGGAGATGTTCTGTAGCCTTATGAGGGTTTTATTGAAAGCAGTTAAGAGAGAGGAAAAGAGTGAAACAGTGTAGGAATGAAAGACATGCAAAGAGAAAAATACAGAGAGATCGACATCAACCTGACTACACTCCATGCACTTACTATTTTCACAGGTTTGACTCTGGCTGTTCCACATTTGATCATTTGGGCCATGATTAAATATGCAATGGCCTCTTAGAAAACACAGTAGGCAACACAGACCTATGCAAAGAAATTAGGACAAACAGTGGAAAGGGGCCTCCAGTTTTATACAATCTCTGTATTCCAACTTACACCTGTGTGTGTCAGAGTTTATTATCACATCATCCTAATTATTATAATCTAAATACTGAGGTTTGTGAGGGCATTATGAGTGAATGGGAGGCATTACTCTGGCAGTGTAACGCTCTCATTTTCAGGGCCATAATAGAGCCTCTGCTGTTTACCAGTGGCCGTAAGGCTGTTGTTAACGGTCAGTGTTGCCATTGTGTGCATGTGTGTCACAGAGAGAGAATGCACCGCTGTCCTCCTTATCTCATTAGCGGATGTCTGGAAACTCAGTCATGAGTGACCGGCTTTACTAAATGACAGTACCACATGTGGAATTTATCAGGGCAAGTACAGCTGTTTTTTAGTAATTATCTACTGCTTTGTCAGTATGTTTCTAATTTTGCAGTATATTTACTTCAATAATCTACTAAATATTTAGTTCCACTGAAGGGGAATATGTCAACAGAAATACTAAATATGTTTCTAATATGTTTTGGTGTATTATTGCTACATTAAGTACAACCTAATATATACACCCAGTTCCTTTTCATTACAAGCTTCAATGTATTTTATAAGATTATATTCACCTAGTTTGGCCCCTTTCTTGAGTAAAGTGACTACCACTGAAGTGTTCCTGCAGCCTATTGCCCGATCCAAAGGCCTCATGCCACTATAGTCCACATGCTCAATCACAGCTCCTCTCTCCACCAGATAATGCACCTACAAAGAGAACACAACATTTCAAACACTCTACAGGAGAAATGGTTTATTGCTAATATGAAGATAGTCCTAACCGTAACCGTTACAGGAGAATTGTAAAAATTTGGTTAACAGGTATCAAATAACTCAAGGTTAATGTGACCTATAAACAGGGTTTGTCCTCCCCTGATGGTGTGGCTAGCCCCACCAGCATCTAATAACACTTAAAAACACAGAAAACAATGTATTATACAGCAATAACAACAATGCTATGTTCAATGAATTTACAGTTTTTTTCCATATTATTTACACAGACAAACTAACTAATGAAATAACAAAAAAAAAAAGCTGTATAATTTCTCAGGACAGAGAGGCTGTTATTATTCCACATCTGGTCTAAATAAGGGATTCTTCTTTTCAGATAACTCACAATCTCTGCATCTCCATAAAAAGCAGCCAGGTCCAGAGGAGTGCGTCCGTTCTTGTCTGAGTGGTCTATAACTGCACCCTTCTCCACCAGGAACTGAACCACATTCTTATGTCCTTTCAAGCACGCCCAGCTAAGAGGTGTTAACCCTTCCTTATCCACTGACGTTAAAGAGGCACCTGGGAAACACAGCACATTTAGTGCAATAGAAATAACTACAACCACAGGATCAGGACTATAAACTAATATTCTACTCAACAAGACAGATTTACAGATATTGAAGTGTTTATGTTGAATAAATTAGAAGCATTGCTCTTAAAGTCAACAAAATAGTAGAAATTAAAGAATGCACTGCATACCACAAATTTAGTACAACTGTACTGTGCAATTATTGTACATTTTATGATAGTGTAAAAAGCTGATCTAATTACACAGAAAAATTCTTGCTCCTTTTATTACTGCTGAACTTAGACTGTAGGAAGCCTTTTACCTTTAGAGAGGAGGAATTCCACAGTGCTGAGATGGCCCTCACATGCTGCCACCATCAGCAACGTGCGCCCCTGCTTATCACTCCCATTTACATCTGCACCATGCTGTAACAACACATCCGCGATCTGACACAGACACAGAGAAAAAAAGTGAACAATAAATTATTAGCACAATTTACTACCCAATCCCTGCCCCCTTTGGTAGAGGGATAGGTGTATTCATATTTGATAAGGTAGAATAAAATAACAGCAGACTATACTGTTGATTATACAAAGAATAAATAAATAAAGGTTTTTTCTCAGTAATTCAGTTTCGCTTAGTTTTGCGGTGGACATTACAGTTTTGATTTAGTTTGCGTATTTTTGAAAAGTGTCATTTTTATTTTTATTACAGTTAATGAGCACATTTTTTACTGCCAGTTTTCATTTTACTAATAGTTTTACTTAACTATAATAACTCTGGCACATAGACAGACAGCATGGGCAGCTAAACAGACAGATTTGTCTCTTCTTTCATTTTTGCAGAAATCCAAATAATTCCAAAACGTTCACTACCTTCTCTCACACCTTCATCTCTGCATCCATATACCTGTCCATCTGTTTCTCTGATCATTTGATTAAAAAGGATGAATGACTGAATTAGGATGTAAGCATTATGATGTGTGTTAATGTTTATGCCTCACCTGCCAATGTCCCTGTCTCACTGCACAAAAAAGCGAACACATTCCTCTTCTGTTCACCTGCTGCACCTGTGCACCCTCCTCCAACAGGTAACTACACACATCCATCTTCCCTCGCCCTGCCGCCGCTGTTAGAGCTAGAAAACCAAACATACAAACACATTAGATGCACATTTACACTGAACAATAATGTGCATCATGCAAGTTACAGTGCAAAAGTAACACTGTAACACTGTGAAGGAGAACAAAGCTTTAAACTGAATATTGGCATGACTGTGTTCCTCTGGTTTGGAAATTCCAGTTACACACAATTAAGCTATGACTGGCTAATGAGCTAATTACAGACCAGTGTTTTCTCTCCATGTCTGAGAGTGGAGTTGCTTGGAACAGTCAGGCCTGGCAAAGAACTGCATTTGCCTGTGACACAAAATATTGGATCTAATCAGGTTGTCTAGGTTACAGCCGTTACACCAGTCCAAAGCTGGGTGCAACACTTTTTTTCTTGGAAGCAAGTGGTGTTCCAAACCTTAATCAAATCACTAGTTCATTCATTTATTATTATTTAATTATAAAACCAGTTTCATAATGATTGGGTCTACCTAAGATCTGTGCATAAGCTAAATGAAGAAAGTGGGCGCAAAGAGTAAGCAGCAAAAGAACAGAAACAAACAAATGCTTCATTAATCATACCCCATACCATCCACCCCATAACATTTTGACAGAAAGGGGGTGGACAGTATGGGATTTGGGGGGTAAAAATGCGTGAGAAATGTCAAGTGTGGCTTGAAATTGTGAGAGTCTCACAACCAACGCTTGACAGTTGGCAGCCTTGGAATTATTTTCCACAGCTGTTAACTTTTGCAATCATATGTTTACAGAATGTGAATTGGGTGTGTTTTCATCATTTGCACTGAGGCAAATACTTGCTGCTTTTAAAGAAAGCAGAACATGCATTAATTGAGACATGTCAGGTTTTACAAAAACAACAAAAGTTCTAACTTCTGACTTGGTGCTGTAACACCTTTAGCTACTAAGCAAACTATAGGCTTGTACTTCTGCAGTTGCATGCAATGAACAAACAGAGCAATTAAATTGCTATTCACTATGGCAGTGAATCACTCTTAAATACTTTCTATGGCAATTAATCGTCAGACAAAATTTCATGATTGCGGTAGGCCTAATTGCAACTGTCTATGAAGAACTACTGTGAGCTCCCAAAACACGTTATATGCTGAGTTTTCTGAATATCATTATCATATAATCAGCTTTCAGGTTTATGTATCTGAATCTGAGAGTGGAACCCACTGAAGTACAAAAGGTGCAGTAAAATCCAAAAAGGTTAAGTGATACTGAGCTAGAGATGGAAATCCATGTGTGGGCAAATGATAACAGATCTGTCTGTCAGCATGAGTCAGACCAGCAAATCCATCAAACACACAGGCCCTTCAGAGAGCTGAGAGCAAGAACAGTGACAGGATGTCATTCGGTCCCTGCCACCGCCCTTTCCTCTCTACTCCCTCTCAAAATGTAGGTCTAGGCCATTTAAAGCACTCTAATCTCAAGTGCACCACTCAACCGTAGGTTTCTGGTGACTGACTGTATAATTTTAAGTTAGGTGGTCCACCTGTGAGTTCTGACCCTTTTGAATTATGATTACCCATGTTCCTCCCTATCTCATTCCAACTTGACTCCACCATGCAACTGTAATTAATGGAATGACTTATACTGCTAAACCCTGTGTGCTACAAAATCCCAACCTATTAATGAAACACTAACAACACTGCACACCATGTGTTAATTTCACTCTCTTGATTGGAGCTTTTCATCATTTAAAAATAATTCCAACTGTAGATGCACTAGACAAAAGCAATATATAAGAGCCTCCAGGCTACTGAACATGACATTTCTCTTAATGTTTTCTATTCAAGCTAAAGCCACTGGAAATTCACAATGAATAGCCATTTATTTAGCAAGAATTACTTTATGAATAAGTATACTTCTAATTTATGAGAATTAATTCATAATCTATAGTCACTTTTTTCAGCACAGTGCCACAGCAGAAACTGAAAAGAACTGCAAACTCTCCATTAACAAAATGTTATTTCTGCATATCTTCATTCCAAAGCCTTTCTGCCATTCAAGTGGTGCTTCTGTCAGACATATATAATGTACCAGGCAGCTACCCAATGCTGTATTCACATCCAACCTGCTGTCAACAAAAGACAATAACACCACACACAGAAATTGTTTTGCTTTTACTGGCAGAATAAGGATTTGTTCTCAGCAGCACCAGCACCAAATCGTAATCCAATTTCCCTGCTGTACACTGCAGAAGATCTATCTGCATACATAAAGACATAATTCTTTTGTGGCTAGTGTGACATATGGAATATTATTTTTATGGCGAGCTGTTATATGGAAGAATTACATCATGGGAAGCAGTAAGCTTGGGGTTGTGAACACAATTCTAATAGAAGACAGAATTATTTTTCAAGAGGAATTTCTGTACACTAGTTTTAAATGGAATTTTCATCAAGTAAAATCTAAGATAAAGGTAAGATACCATCTTTAATGTAATCTATACCTTACTTTTCACTTAGCCAAATCCAGACTACAGCTGAATAACCTTCTGGTCATGAATCCTGGATCACGCCTCTGTACTCCGATAATGAAGTGATTAATCTTTCTATGCTTCAGTAATGACAACGTTAGAGGCATTGCAGAGACGCATCAGAGTTACCGTGAATGGGCATGAGAACTGAAGCACTGTGCTCATATAGGCAGGCAATTAGGCCCCAGTCTGCATTCAATAGACGCAGTGCTGGGTGGCAGAGCATCTCTCCAGGAATCGGGTCACTGCAGCCAGGACGAGTGCAATGGGGACACCCGCTAAAGTGGCCTGGAAGAGTGGATGCGAACCACATTAACAGGGCTCTGACTCATTCATTTGGTAAAAAGAAATTTAATGCTAAGTGCTTATAGGAAGCAGGCAGCCATGACCATTATTATTCACAGTAATGCACTTCTGTCTGGATTGATTGGATACTTAATGCAATGCTTGTCAAAGAACAAGAAAAATAAAAAGCGTTATTGGAATAAGATCAGCAATACATCTACAATGTGCCATAATTAAAAAATCAACAGTAATGTGATGAAGTATTTCAAAATTCACAGCACATGCAAACACTTGTTTTTTTAAAGCCATATACTAGCAAAGGCACAATACCACGCTTTCATTTCCAATACTAAAACCTTGAGTATCAGCCAATACCAATTCTATTTTTTCCTTTACAAAACTTTAAAATGAGCTGTTTCTAATTGAAACCCTTCATTTAAGATGAACATCTAAATGCTCAAACTACTCAATCACTCTGCGACCCTATAGATAGAAATACACAGCTAACATCACATTACAGAATGTTAGAGAGTGCCATTTCAGGACAGATTTTTTTTACAGGATTGGATCAGATTCATTCCTTTTTTTCCCCTCCAATATCCAATCTAGTATTTTCTTTCCACTGGCCGTAAACCCATACCCATCAATACCAATATGCCATCTCTTCAAAATACCAAAACACTCTTCAGATAACTATCAACACTCCCAAAAACACTGCCACCTTGGTAAGTGAAACCATCTTAACCCCTTAAAATCCTAGTCTTATTACATACTAAGGCTTATTATTCAGTAACTACAGGAACTTCATTTCTAACTGGTTGAGCTATTCTTAGGTTACAGAAGTACTTTGGGCCTGCTGGCAGGCCCCAGCTATGTAAGGGGTTAAATCTAGTGAATATTCTAATTTAATGCAACGTTTTCATTACAAAAGATATTATCGGTATAACTTGTCGATTAAATTTTAACATGAATTTCCGAATTTCTTAGTCATCTGAACATGTGTTCCAAAGGCCTTAACATGGACAACTTCACAAATTTGCTTCAATTTGAATGGTGACCTACAAATGGAATTTTGAATATTTCTTCATTTTACTTGTCACAATTTTTCTTTGTTTTACATTTTCAAGATTCTAAAACTTTCTGTACTTTATTTGTGTAAACACAAAAACAGACAGGCAAAAAAGTACCTCATCCCCACTGTGAAGTATGGTGGCAGATTTGTCATGTTGTGGGGCTGTTCTTCCAAAGGCCTTGCACTACTTGTTTGGATACATGGTATCAAAGACTCCATTAAGTTCCAGCAGAAATAAGATCAAAATCTGACTGCCTCAGACAGGAAGCTCAAACTGGGCCATAGTTTGGATTTTCCAGCAAGACAAAGATCCAAAGCACACCTCAAAATCAACATAAAAAGTAGTTCACTGACCACAGAAAGTTTTGCCATGGCCATTCCAATCCCCTGAACTAAACTCCATAGAAAACCTGTGGGCTGGAGAGTCCACAAGCATGGGCTTTAGAATCTGAAGAATCTAGAGAGGTTCTTTATGAAGGAATCGTCTCAGATCTTTTGCCGTATGTTCTTCAGTCTCATTAAGCATTATAGGAGAAGACTCAGAGCTGTTATCTTTGCAAAGCGAGGCTGCACAGAATATTAAATTAAGAGGTGCCAACAATTGTAGCACACACAGATTTGAGAAAAAATATTTATTTCAGGCTAAAATTTACTTTGTTTTAATCACTGTACTTCAAATAAAGGTTAGAGTTAAGATCAAATGGATAAGCAATAAAGATCTTTTTTTTTTACAGCCTGTTTTGCTCATGTTTACCAGGGGTGCCTATATTTATGTAAGGAAGTATTTCCAGTTAGTGAAACTGTCTTATTCTGTCTGCAGATAATTAGGCTTGTTTCAAACATTATTTCTTGAAACAAGCAAAGTTATCTGCCAGGGCAATTAGATCATTTTCATGAACTACATAATTTAGCTTGTATGATAAAATAATCCTTGAAACATGCAAAACTGTCTGCCAAAGGAATAAGACAATTTCACTAGATACAATTACAAAGAGAAAACATGTTCTGAAGCAAGTTAAATAAAATTATAATATTCTTCCAATAATCTCATAACGAGAAACGATGGACATCCTGACTATTTATTAAGCCAAGATATTGTTTTCGCACCAAAATTAAAAACAAAAAAATGCAAGTAAAAATTTTCTCAGCAGCCATTACTAGCCAATCCGGAGCTGGGCTCCCTGATAATAGACTGACCTATATCCAAATGCTATTTGTTAGTGGGACAGTGTGCTGTACTTGAGGAGTGACCACAGAGAGACCATTGTTCCTGTCCTCTTCTACTGCTGTCACACACACAGTGTGCACTGGAGTTCAGCGAAGAAGAGCTGCCAAAAGTCCGGAAGAGCAACAGGGGCATTTGTGCACCAAACACTGAGACTGAGCGTATCAAAGATGCAACTGACTGAGAGAGACAATAAAGGGCAAGAATACCTGTAAAAGACACACGTATTCTTTACCTTCCATGTACATGCTCTGTATTTTTGATCAGCAAACTTCTCAAAAGTCTCAAAAGGTCTCAGCTATGGGGGTTATTTTAGGTAAAGGAGTGGCGGGGGGGTAGCGGAGTGTTGGGGAGCCAGGGGTAGTTGCAGTGTCAGTGTTAATTCAACTGTCTGATCAGTTGAAGCTCTGTTTATAGTCAGCTTCCCACTCAATGAATATCTTAACATCCCTGTTGAGCTGAGCATTCTCTTGCTTGATGTGTTCTCTTGTCTCATTTTATGTACGTATTCACATCATACACAGCACCACATTATACACAAACCTTGAAGTGACATAATCACCCTGCAGTGTGTGAGTATGGGTGTGTGTGTGTTTTATGTGGGTGAAATAAATCTTCAGAACATACCACACATTTCAATTTACGCTCTTTATGCCTGAAGGCCTTGGTCTTTATCGTATCTCGCAGACATCTCTGTGGCTGCAGGCAGAAATCCGCCAATCTATTTCGTAAGATGCTATGAGTCACACAGGAACAACAGGAAGGCTTTTATGTGCTATCTACCATTCAGTCTCATTTCTGAAGCCCATCTTCAACTTTCTCCAGCCAGCCACAGGGACCCGAGTCTCCTGTGGTTACCTCCAGCCAGCCATCTTTCACCATCTGAATAGTTTTCTGTCACTGTTCTACATGTTCTTTCCCAGTGACTGCAACTGCACCACAGCTACATACACAAACAAAGAGACGGGGTTCACCAAACCTGAGTTACATTTTAAAACATAAGCTGTGCTCGAATCCTGTGCTTTTTGATCTGGACATCATTTCTTTAAAAGCTACCAAAGGTCTGCCTGTACTGTTCAGGATGTGTGATTAAATGTCCTATATGCAGTGCAGCAGGAAAAACTAGAACTAAAACTCTGAAAACTGAAAGTTTTAAATGAACCAAAACCTCTGCCGGCCTAAAGCTTTGTTTTGATTTTGGTGATGCTAGCTTAAAACCTCAAAGAGCAGCAAATCAACCCTGTGAACAAGACAGCACTGCATGGTGGCCTAAGGAAATGGATGATCAAAAACAAAGGATATATTATTATGTACATCAAAAAAAAACCTTTAAGTAAGCTTATCGAGCTTCTTTGAAATTTAAAGCCTGAAAGCCAAATACTGATATCAGATGTTCTTTAGTATAGAACACACAATATGAACAACAAATGAGAAAGATGTTAAGGGAGTATAATGATAGTGTCTATTTTAATGGACTCTTATTCTAGCACTTCAGCATTCAGTTTCAAATGGCCAAAGCCACTCAGATAACCAACAGGGTAAGCTAGAGATGCTCTACAAAGATAAAAGCAAACATGCGCCCAGATACATCCATTTCCAAGGAAACAGAGTAAGATAAAACAGTCTGTATCAAATCACGCCAAATATTTTGTGAAACAGCGGTGTGGTTTTCGAACAGCTGCAGTCACGGCAATAGAGATTTGAGCTTCCAGAGAAAAGGGCAAAATGAGGGCAAAAGGAAAGTGGTTTTCACCCAGCTGACATCAAATATGAGCACAGGCGAGAGGAGGTCATCAGAGAATGTGAAAAAGAGAGAGAGAGACAGAGAGAGAAGCACAGATTAAAGGGCAGTGTACCTGTTTCTCCCCATAGTGTATCATGAGCATCAATCTGCACAACCAGTTCATTTTTCAAGGCCAGTAAGCTTTTCACCACCTGCCAAAAAAACAAAGATTTATTGTAACATTAAATATAAACAATAATAATATTACACACAAATAATTAACAAAAACAAAGGGAAAATGATTCTTTTGACCTTTCTTTCTATTGAAAGAAAGGTCAAAAGAAAGAGGAAAACATAAAAAGACAACGAAGTAGAGCCACACAGGCAGTCGAGCAGGGCTTGAGAGAGGGCTGTGTGGGTGATGGAAAGAGCTCAGGTGATCAATAGAGAGCTGCCACAGAGAGTTATATTCTCTCCAAGCTGATCCATTAATAAGACTGAAGTGCAGATGGCAGAAGAATAGGTGATGAGGTACTTCAGTGAGGTACTTGTTTAACCTTTTTAATAACCAAGTGCTTTACTAACACTCTCCCCTCTTCCCTCAAACACTTTCTCATCCCTAACTAACAGTACACACACTATCTGCCATACACATACACTCTCAGTCTGCCCCTCACTGCATGCTGTTTATTTCTACCTCAACCCACTATCGCTAGCAATATTCATTCTCATTCTAAAATCTTCACTACAACTCTTCCATCTCCCTCTAACTCCCCCTCACTGTGTTTAAATGCACACTAATAATACAATCAGTTACCAGATCACTCAAGGGGCCATGCACACTACAAAAACAGCATACTATGCTATATATGATTAAAACTCATTGGATTTCAAAAAATACTTTATCTTTGTTATATCTGCACATAAACCGATCAGGCATAACACTATATCCTTGTTTCTATGGTCATTGTCCATTTTATCAGCTCCACTTACTATGTAGGTGCACTTTGTAGTTCTACAATTACAGACTGTAGTTCATCTGTTTCTCTGCATACTTTGTTAGCCCCCTTTTACCCTGTTCTTCAGTGGTCAGGACCCCCATGGACCCTCACGGAGCAGATACTATTTGGGTGGTGGATCATTCTCAGCACTGCAGTAACACTGACATGGTGGTGGTGTGTTAGTGTGTGTTGTGCTGGTACGAGTGGATCAGACACAGCAGTGCTGCTGGAGTTTTTAAACACCTCAATGTCACTGCTGGACTGAGAATAGTCCACCAACCAAAAATATCCAGCCAACAGTGTCCTGTGGGCAGCATCCTGTGACCACTGATGAAGGACTAGAGGATGACCAACACAAACTGTGCAGCAACAGATGAACTATCATCTCTGACTTTACATCTACAAGGTGGACTGACAAGGTAGAAGTGTCTAATATAGTGGACAGTGAGTGGACACAGTGTTTAAAAACTCCAGCAGCACTGCTGTGTCTGATCCACTCGTACCAGCACAACAAACACTAAGACACCACCACCATGTCAGTGTTACTGCAGTGCTGAGAATGATCCACCACCCAAATAGTATCTGCTCCGTGAGGGTCCATGGGGGTCCTGACCTCTGAAGAACAGGGTAAAAGGGGGCTAACAAAGTATGCAGAGAAACAGATGGACTACAGCCTGTAATTGCAGAACGTCAAAATGCACCTATATAGTAAGTGGAGCTGATAAAATGGGCAATGAGCGTAAAAACAAGGAGGTGGTCATAATGTTATGCCTGATCGGTGTGTGTGCAAACATAACTTGAAAGAAAACAACTGGCCTGCAAGCAGTAAAAACCACAGTAATTCAACCACATCTGTACACAAATGGGCTAAAATATTGATTAGCTGAACTAGGTACTGGATGTTAACTGTAAATACTGGGCTTTCTTGAGGAGAGGAATGGAAATCGTTACACACGGATACATAAAATCACATTGTATTGTTCATTTGTTGATTTGTATTTACTCTAATGTTAGTATTTTTTAACTAATAAATGCTTATCAGGCTGTAAAAAGAAGTCTACAGGCAGGTTACAAAGCAAATGTATGAGGACCATGCATCATATATTTAAAAACAAAACTGGCTGACTTACTTGCATGTACTACATGTACTCAAATGATGAATTATTGTCAAAATCAAGATTTTTTTGTGCAGTTATCAGATTATTTTGTACATGTAATTTTACTCTTTATCTGTTTCTCCTCTCTTTCTTTTCTTTTTTCTGGCTGATTTGTACTTCCTTCACAAGAAGGCTGAAAAAGTAAAGCATGGCCTTACAGCACCCAGACTGCAGTCTCACTAGCCTGTTGCCATGGCTAATCTCCCGTGGCAACCGTATCCTTACAGCACCTATCAGGAGTGGAGAGGTAAATGTTCACCACAGAGACACCTTGGGAAACAAGCTTTACCACAAATAATGACTGTGTGTGTGTGATTGTACTGAATGTATTCGTGTGTTAGCTGACTCGTGCATTATGTTACTATAAAGGCTTTTTACAAGGTTTTGTTCATGTGACTGCGTGTGCGCAGGGGTCAAAGACACCATTTGCTCTAGTGCCCTGACGTCAGTCCTTCACATTTTTGCCACTAAAAATACAGAGGCTGTGGCCCGAGCGGCCATTTGCCTTGGACATTTTTTGTCTTAACAATTCACTTGACCAGTTGAATTGTCACACATTCAAAAATGTCCTCCATTAATAACAAAACAAAACAACTTTTCACCTTCCCAAGTGAGATTCAGAGCCTGTTTGGTCAGACATGGGACTAACTGCATCAGACCAAAAGATTGTGTCAAAATTTACCACCATAACGACTTACAAGACAACAAGTGGCAGCTTCTTTTTAGAACTTGAAGCATTTCATTGCAGCCTGCCACAATGTCTGGGTTACTGAAATATGGCTTTACTGCGAGTGGCAGGGTTGACAATAAAAAAAGAATCAGATGACGATGGCTATGAAAAACAAACAAATTACAAAAAATTGAGCAGACAAATATGGCTGGAGTATGACTGAGAAGGATGTGATGTCCTGTCGAGCATGTTGTCAGTTTCCACACCAGCAGACACCACAAGTTCATTCTTTACCTGGAGTAACTTATTTAGAAAACACAACATTTAAAACCACAAACGCTGGACGGGCTAATTGATCAAAGTCTGATAAAGATGGCAAGTAAGTGGGAATGAATGTCAAGAATCTTCAATTTGACTGTAATGTGAAAAATGAGGATCCTATCATGTCATTCACTGGTTTGACTGGTATAATGGGGAAAAAAATGGGGTGGACGTGGAAGACTCAAAAAGCATAATGTGACTGGTCTGTGGTACTGAAGCAGGCTTGTTAATTGTAAATAAAATGTATATATGACAAATATGTTTCTATAATTATATAGATTTGTATATCTATATGCGTTTGTATGTGTTAGCTGACCTTTGTATGTCCTGCGGTGGGGGCTGCTATAAGGTTCTGTTAAAAGGCTTTGCTTTACAGTTTTCAATTGTGTGTGTTTGTATGTATTATTTGACCTGCATGTCTCTAACGCTGGAGGTTGCTACAAAGATCTGTTATACGACTTTGCTTTGCAGGCTCTGATTATAAAAGTGTGTGTGTGCCGACCTTTGTGTGCCCTGTGGTGGAAGCTGCTGTAAGGGTCTGTGGCAGGGCTTGGCTTTTCCAGATTCTGGTTATGTAAAAGTATGTGTGTGTGCACATGTGTTAGCTGACCTGCGTGTGTCCCATGCTGGAGGCTGCTATAAGGGATTGCTGCAGGGCTTTGCTCTTCAGGCTGAGCTCATGCTGTTGATCCTCTCTGCTCCACTGCTGCTCCAGCAGATACTGGATAATGTCAGGATGCCCCCTTAGAGCTGCATGCACTAGGGCACTTTGACCACTCTTATCCACATGATCCACCTGAGAAAAATACACCACAGGGCATGCCATCCAAAAATATTTTTCATTAGATTTCCATGCAATTACATTGAATAGAGCAACATCACTAACACATATGTGCACGAAGGGAGTTTTCCATTTGTCTTGTAAAGTACTTCAAACCAAATCACCATTAAATGAAATTAAATTCAGGAAACTTTTTCACTTTGTAAAGTCCTACTCATCACTATCATGAACAGTTATCTGTGTTATCACTGGAAAAGAGACTATCATGAGATCTACCATATTGTATTATGTCCTGAACAGATCCAAGGCCCAGTGTGCATGTTTTGGTAACTTGCCTTGGCTCCTCTTTTGCAAAGCAGACTGACGAGGCCCAGGTGACCTGCTGCAGCAGCATAACTAAGGGGACTCATGCCGCTCTCCGATGCTACATCCACACTTGCTCCGAACTCCAGCAGCAGAGCCACCATCTCATGATGACCCAAATGCGCCTGTACGCATAGCACTGGCGCGTTGTTTAGCACCTCCGTACGGTAGTTTACGTTTGCTCCACCCAACATCAGCAAGCGGCTCACCTGCACACATTCAGCACAGGATAAAAACCTTTAACACAGGCCCGGCAAACTGGATCACAATTAGAAACTCAGTCCAGATCAACAAATTCAAAACACTGGAAAAAATCAACGAGTCCATTGCTCCATTTAAACCAATGCTGTTATTGCTCACTTAGCCAAATTATGAAAATAAGTGGGAGCTCCATAGTCAAACATCTGGTGGATTTTCCATCTTAATCTCTTCTCCTCCTCCTAAACCAGTCAACAGCATGTTTTTGTGGTTTTATTTATGAGATTAAAAGGAACCTTATGTCTATATATCTCACAAATTCAATCACTGCATCTGCAATAGCTTGTAAGTCAAAGAATGCCCATGAAGCTGAACTGATGACGTTATTAAAGTGCCTCTCTGCACCAGCATAAAGGCTTTAGAGGGTCGACAGAGGTGTTATGGTGCAGTGGGTTTACTTTTCAGTCATTTTGAATAATTATTTTCCTCCCTCTCTGAAACACCTTATCCTGCGTCTGGAGCGTGCTGAAACACCTGCTGATTGGTAAAGCACGCTAATCACAATGGGCTTATTCATTACGGACTCTGGCACACAGTGGCACATTCTGGAGCAGGCTTTAATCAGGCACTATTTTTCCTTTGGATAAGAGAATTGAATGAATATTAAATGAATGATCAGTGATAGATGCAATTCTCCGTTAGTGCTGAAAACAGTGAGGACCAAGTACAAAAGCAGAGAACATGTACTTTGGGAGGGTGGAGGAAGAGAAAAGAGAGAGACAGACAGAGACAGACAGAGAGAGAGAGAAAGAATATAGAGTAACTTTGAGTGATGCTTTCCTGAAGGGTTTTCAAAAAGTTTTTTCTTCCTCCAAAAAGAAAAACAAACAACCCAAATGACAGTGCATGAGGAGGGAGAAGAAAAAACTAGGATAATTTTTGCTTTGAGCTAAAATTCATCATTTCAGCTCATAATTGCCCTGAAAGCCCGAGGATGGCATTTCCTGCTTCAATAACAGAGTGGGCTTGCAAACAAAACTAGCACAATTTACCAAAGAAATCATTTATCTGGCTCCACCATTAACATGCCCTTTTGTTTATCAAATTACTACTATTTTAAATGGCCCAGTAATTACTTAAAATGCCAAAAGGTCTTCCTCTTTTTCCATAGCAAGCTTGCAGCAGAGATGGTGATGTATGAGGCTAATGGCAGTGAAGTGTGCAGTTAGTTTCTTGCTGTGTGGGAATATCTGGAAGGTACTCCACAAGTAAGGTAGTTAATGGGAGACCGAAATCAAACCTTTCTTTACAGAGAATTACTCCCTCAATCTGTATCATAACATGTCACACTGCAAGAGTTCATAGGAATTTAAAAAACCCAGGATCAAGCAGAGATGCACAATAGGAAAGAAACAGAGAAAGAGGGAGTAAAAGAGGGAGAGTACTTCATAAAGTTTTTTCAAATGTTTTCCATATTCAAAATCATTAGTTATTAATTTTCTTTCATAATCTTAAATAAATAACAGTAATCTCTAATAGTAATTATAATACATACATACATATATATATATATATATATATATATATATACACACACACACACACACACACACATATATATATATATATATATATAGTAATTATAATACATAAATAAATACACACACACACACACACACACACACATATATATATATATATATATATATATATATATAGTTATAATACACACACACACACAAAAGTTTAGCTTATAACCTATACTTAGTTGCAGTTTTAAGTATGTGACGTTAATGTTTACAGGTTATAAACCTTGTTGGGGTTCTGGAGCAGGCTACGGCTGTGCTAGAGATTTAAAGAGCCTATTTCCTCCTTCTGGTAATAATACACATAAATATACATAGTAAATGTAATTTATTCAAGCACTTGGTATGTTTTATTAATAACAAGGGACACAGTTTTATAAAATAAAAATATTTACAAGGAGTAATTGTATAAATTTCAGGGCTTATAATCTAGTTAGTACTGCTATTTGTAGATAATCAAGGATCAAGTTTTGGTATCAGTCGGGAAATAGTGGTATCGATGCACCCCTAGAAGTCAGCTTTCATGTATATATTTTACCATTCAAGAACAAACTAGTTCTAGCTAACAATCCAGCACAAAGAGCTGCCAATGTAATAGAAAGCGAATGCAGTACCCCTAACTCCCCAGGGTTCTTCCCTGTGGAGAATTAATGACATTTAATTGACTAACCTTCAGATAAAGGTTACAGCACTGGAACATATAAAAACTATAAACTCTCTTGTGAGACAATTATACTTTTGCTAGTGAGTGGAGAGATTGATCTTTTGTTCCCAATTGCACGAGTGTGTGCACATGTGCTACATATATGACTGCGTCTACTGACCTTGACATTAGGTGTGTATAGGTTCCTTAGGGATGCCAGTGCAGCAGACAGACTGTCAGTACTGCAGCTGATCCACAAACCCTGCAGGACACTGGATGATACTCCAGTCCTCTTACTTTGACCCTGTGGAGAAAACATGCACACATACACACACACATTCTGTAAATTAAGCCACATTTTAAAATATATATTTTATAGAATGCTCAAACACACTCCATCATTCCTTTGACTGTTGCATATCATTTAAGTGGTTTTCAACCTCTTTAAGCCATGACCCCCAAAACACTCCCCTGAAACACACTATAGCACCTTCTTCGCATTTCTCTAGGCAGGGGTGCAGACCTCATAGCATTGGAAGATTGGCTCTGCAGTCCAGTAACATTATCACACATGACTTCCAAACAAATGGAAGAAAACTGCATTTCTAGCCAAAAAGTAACTAAACAACAACCCATCACTTTGGCTTTAATTATGGCAGACTTTCTGACAAGCTGATCCATTATTTGGACACTTTGTAGCATAGCTAGCTTGTAATTGTGTAAATGTCAATACACTCTGAATTTAAAGTGAAGTTAGCTGCATATGTTAACTGACTGGCAAAGCACTGTTGCACAGTTGTGACAGATTGTCTTGTACCCCCTCTTTGAAGGCATATGATGCCCTAAATGTAACTAAAGCCCAGCAGTGAGGCTGCTGAACTTTTCCCTTCTCTGCTATCACTGAAGACGGGCCGGGTCGCCTACAGAGCACCACTAGTAGTCTGTTAATGACGCAGTGTTTTAATTTGAGGGTTGTCCCAGTTTGTAGGGCAAGATTTCAACCACTACTGTTTGTAACTCAGTTCCAAGGGGTTAGGGTGACACTCAAAAACAAGGGGTAGGGGTAAAAAGAAGAAACGGGATTGGGCCTAAGTGTAGCTCTTTATTAAAAGAAAACATAGCATCCAGGCTGCTGAGGATAAACTTGAACAAATCTGAACTGAAATATGCAGAGCAGGAGGTGAACGTGCTGCTGTGATATTTATATGGGCAATTTTATAAACAAAAAATTAAATGTAAGCCTTTGTACGTTTTTTAGATGACCACCCCCAAAATTATCTTGTGACCCAAAACTACTTATTTGATTGATCTCTGTGGGGGTAATATACATTTCCCCAAGTTAATGCAATTTTTGATGGAATAAAATATGATACCACCATCAAGCAGTGACAGCATTACAGTAGTCTTTGTTAATAAATATGATAATTAACTAAAATGAGGTTTGTGTTTACCTTAAATATATGTGCTTTTAGAATGTGGTGTCCCAGCTCCATTGTCTGTTGCCTGTTCAGCTTGCCCTCTTGCCTGGACAACATGAATGCCATCAGGGCATGTCCACTTCTAAAGGGGAAACAAATCAAGAGAGCTTATACATACGCAATAAATCAGACTAATAAATTGATTGAAATGGAAAAAGGAAAACATAACACACTCAAAATAAACTAAAAATAAACAGTTTTAAATAAAAATCAGTGGGTGGCTTAATAAGATATTAATGGTGAAATCACAAGCCAGACTTTATTTTCATTGACATAATTTGTAATCATGATGCAAAACCCCTAAACACACATTTTTTTCCTGCTACTTCCAGACCTGTAAACGAGCTGTCAATGCCCTAGGGAGCAGAACAGAGGTGGAGAGGAGTACTCATGTTCCCCCATGCTCAACTCAAACTCTTGACTGGTGTTCATTAACAGTGAACTTCATTAAAAGGCCATGCATGAATACAGCTGGCTTTGATCAGCTCAGCATCTCTCCTCCACTAAATAAAATGTCGAGCTCTCTTTCTCTTTCATAGAAGAAATAACAAGCTGAAGTGGCGGGACCTTTTTCTCAAGTCCCTCTCTTTCAATGCCAGCACCATGGCCTTTGTTTTTCATTTTATAATGAGAGAGAGATAGAGAGAGAGAGAGAGAGAGTGAGACAGAGAGAGAGATGTGGAAAGGAGGGGTGGGAAAAGTGCGTGTATGACTATGGGGAAGGGTATGTGGTACGAGGAGGTGAGTCACCAGACTTCATTTGTCAGTCCCACAGCTGATGCAGTGAGGACACACATTGTCCAATCAGATCGCACAGTGCTCCACACTAACAAGAACAGGAGATGGACAGAATAACAATTAGGCAGCACTAGACCAGATTGCTCTCGTCTTTATCTACAAGACGCCACAGCATCTAAAATAAGCAGGCCTGTCTACACATTATACTAATCTGTTTAACAGGCCATTGTTTTCTCAAGTTCACAAAATGCACAGCACACGGCCAAGTGAGTTAATATTTCATACGCCTTCATACATATTTAAAAGTGACCGTGTTAGATAAAATTTACTCAGACGCTCGGGTCATTAAGAAAAGTTCAAACTTGTTTCTTTATAATTTCATCTTTCTATTATTCATTATTATCTTTGGGAATGCACTATAGTGTATATTCTAAAACTAACTAAATATGTTCATCCATGTGTGTCAATGTTGCTATTGTTTAATGGTGCAAGTGTGGGGTATTCTAATCAAAGTAGTGTTCTGTAACTGAAGGAGCTTTCTCTTTGTATTAGGCATTCTTACTACAGAAGAGAACTGGTTGGTTATCATAGTCGCCGTGTTGGATGTGGGGGGAACTGGACAGGCAGACCAAAGCAACTTTAACAATGACTGGATCGGAGCATCTCCAAAACGCAAGGCTTGTGGGATGCTGTCGGTCTGCTGTGGTGAGTACCTACTGACGGAGGTCTGAGGGGGGAACAAACCATAAATTGACGACAGGGGTATTGAGCATCCAAGCCTCACTGATGTGCAAGGGCAACAAAGGCTCTAAACAGACAGAAGGGCTACTGTGGCACAAGTCACAGATATTTGTAATGATGGCTACAGTAGGACTATGTTACAACACACAATGCATTGAGTTTGGGGCTGCAAAGCCTCAGTCCAGTGAGAGTACCCATGTTCACCCTTGTCCACCATCTAAAGTGCTCACAATGTGGTCCAAATTCCTCAGACCTCAATCCAAAGAAATATCTGTGGGATGGGCTGGAACAACAAGTCCAATTTGTGTGACTCCACCTCGCCGGTCTGAATCAGCTGCTAATGCCTAAGTGCCAGATACCACAAGGAACCTTTAAAGTTCTTGTAGAGTCCATGCCTCTGCTGGTCAGATCTGTTTTGGCAGCACACTAAGGCCCACCAGCATATTAGGGAGGTGGTCATAATGTTGTGGCTCATTAGTGTATGTCTGTCTACAATAAACCTAAAATGTCATGACTGAAGCTCAATAAAGGGTGTAATTAAGTGCTTTATGAAGACTGATGAAGTCCTCTGCAGGTCTCTGAACATCTCACACAGAAAAAAAAACCAATATGAACACACACCTTTAACAGAGCCCCACAGTTGTCCTCTTGCAGGAGTGGTGGATTTGACCAGATATTTACAGCTCTTATTCTTGACCCAATACAAACTTGCCAATATGAAATCTTTGGCTTTTTGCTTCTTGTACTGTTGAGTGTCTCTGTCTGTGCCTTCAAAAATAAATGCCCTTTCACTAAGAGAGATTCCAAGCTTGCCAGGAGGAGAAAGTCAGAATCTTGGCAGGAGAGGTTATCAGGCTGACGAACAGGGAGATAAAGTGGGAAACAGTGGATACATGAGAGATCGTAGATAAACTGATATCATGAATTGAGCAAACAGTGCTGAAGCTGTCCCAGGATTAGCTCAGAGGTTAACTGAAAGCATGGCATTTGTGCAACAGTAATTTCTCATTAAAACTTTAATTTGTTCTTCACTTTGTAACCTTCTTCACTTTGTTCCCGTGTGAAGCTCAGAAAGAGACAGATGGCCAGTCAGCTCTTTTGAAAAGTAGAAAAATGAAATAGGAGTATGTAACATGCAATCTCTGCACAGATCTGCAGTGTTAACATGGTTTAGATCAATAATACGTCTGACTGTGAAAAACAGAAAAAGTGGGAGCAAAAATAAAATATTAACCTTAAATCAAAAAAGTTTTAATCATTTTAATAACTAATATCTATAAATCAATAAAACACTGTGGATTGTAGCTCAAAAGTCCATCTTAGACAAACACATACACACCAGAATGTTCAACCTCGAATTCAAAGAAAGGTGGTGAATCTGCTTGGATTTTTCTACTGCAGAAGAAAGTCTGATCTAGCAACTGACAAATCCCCACCGACAACATCATTATTGCAAGAGGGCTGCTAAAAAATGTGTCCAGTGAGCAGACAAATTACTTGGTTCAGTATTGATTTCTATTCTTACATGGGTACACTTTTTCCACTTGAAAACTACTAAATTCAATTTCAGCCCATTCTTGAGAAAACCACATGCTACTTTCTATTCCACGCTGCAGACTCGACAAATTAAATGCCTTGATTAAGTGCCCTATTAACATTAAATAGGCGCCTATTTAAAGATAAAAGTCTGCTAACCTGATAAGCCTTAACCTTTAAAGTTTGAATTCCAAGCAAAGTTTTTTAGATGGGAGGTACTGTAAAAATGCTTTCTGCACTTACTTCCTGAACATAACATTTTAGCAGTGCGCCTACATTCAAAAACAGGTCCATGTGACATTTTAAAGAAGTGAAGCATCCCATCTAGCAGTTTATTGTCAATGATATTGCATGTCATTATGTAATTCAGCAGAAATTCATTAGCATTTCTTTACTAGAAAAGGGACCGAGCACTGCACAGCAGCCCATAAAGAACAACTCAAACCTTCTAATTTTAGGGTACCCACATAGCTCACCTGGGTTCACAGAGGAAGTCAGAGCTTTCACCATCAGCTCTCCACACAAGCCACTCTCTGAATGAGGGGTGGCAAAACATGCGCGTCTTATCCCGACGTTTGATCAAAAAGCTGGAGAGCATGTCCATGCGCTGCTGGAAGTCATCCCACTGCAGGTCTCCTCGCACGCTGCCAGCATTCAGAGCCTGGAACAGCTGCTCGTCCGTCATTGGGTGCAGAGAGGCCAGAGCCACGTTGAGGATAGGCATGGTGCGCTCAAACGCAGAGTTGCTCATGAACTTCATATTGCACTGCAGCAGGTAGAGCTCTGAGAGAGAGACAGGTACCACCTTGTAGCTGGCACTTTTGATGACCAGGTGACCCCTCTCAAAAAGATCCAGGGTGAGTTTCAGGTAGAGGTATGAACCCTGGCTTCGGGAGATCAGGTGTGAGCTCACCTTGCCCACAATAACAGGGTCAGCCTTTCCGTTCAGAGAGATGTTGTTAAGGATGTCACGGCTGCTGTTGACACGGTGTTGTATGTAGGCGTTCAAGTCCGAGCTGATCTCCTTGTTATCAGGAAAATCATCCAAACTGATCTTGTCAAAGGGCAGCAGACTGGTGATCTCCTTCAAAAACAAAAAGAGAAGAAATAATATACTTCACACTAATCAAAGAATGTAATACATCTCTACTAACAGTCATCTAAAATAACGTGAACTCGCTGTTTTATAAAAACAGGAACAATGCTCATGTTTTATCATTTAGAGAGATTAATCATTATCGGTCAATAGAACAGTTATTATCATGTGTATCAGTATCAATAGTGGTAGTAGTGGTACTGGTATTTCACCAAATATCAACAGAAAATGCTGAAAATGCAATGGATCAGGTCCAGTTTGTTGTTAGTTGTTCTTAGCTGTGTAGTAGCAGCCGTACAGTAGTAGAGTGCTTGAGCATAGATTGAGTATAGACAGAGCACAGATAGATTTAGCAGAGCAGTTTAAGCATGACAGAAATGTTCATCTTAAGTGAAAGGCTTCAATTAAAATGAGCTAATTTCAAAGCTTAGCAGTTTATAAAGAAGAATTATCAGACTCAGGTGGTACTCACAGTTTCAATATTGGTATCAGAAAAGAAAAAACACCATGCCATCTCTAATGAACATGACAAACTATCACTGTTCGTAACACAAACTCATTTGTGATTCAGTGTACAGTCTATTTACAGCTTTCTTTAATTGCCAGTATGAAATATCAGCAATTATGAGGGAATATCTTATTACAGAAACAAAAAAAGGATTATGCTACTGTTTTGTTCATAATCCTTCTCCACACTCATTTAACCAAACAGACTGAACCATTAGATAAGGAATATCTCTCTCATCCCTCAGTAAGAGGCACAGAGAAACAGGCAGGCCATATTAAAAGCATTTCTTCCCCTCTCCTGTGCCATGGTATTGATGTCCTCTGGGTGATTTATCTGCAGAAGGTCAGTGAGCTGCCCAGCCTAGACTGCATACCACTGTGTGCGCACACACACACACACACACACACTCACACACGTGCGCACACACATATGCGCACCCACCTACCTCTGTCTGCAAACAAAGGCTTAAGACGTGACAGACTGACAGAGCTGTGGTCTTCAGGGACATTCACACATTACAGTCTGTACAAACATATACAAAACAGATAACCACACACATACAGACCTTGTCCTCACACACGCTTTCACACATCAACAAACATTCATTTGCACCAAGACTACATCCCATTCTGAGCGGCACTGAAATCCTCCAGGACAGCTGGCATAGACACAGATACTTACAAAAGTATTTTCAGAACACAAACACACTTCAAAGGGCAGCAGGACAACAGAAACACACCCCCACACACACCACCAAGTCAAATGGATCAATTTCCCATAATCCTGCTCTACCCTTGCTTACAGAGAACAGAAGAGTTATGCTGCATTTAGATTGGCCCGGCACAGCGATGGACGTGAACACATCCCCTCTCTTCCCTTGGCTACAAACTACTGCCGTTGTTTTTTATTTGAAAAAGCCAGCTGCCCTTTATATTGTACCAAATGATTCATTCATCATAAATGAACTAATAGAAATGATCCAAAATTACTTAGAATAAAATCTTGTTACATTAAGCTACAATGAAAAACAAGATTTCCTTCTCGTGTAAAGTTGCTTTTTTGGATGTACAAGTTTTCGCTCCGACAATATGAGTGTTATGAGGGCATTCCTTGCAGAAAAGTGGAATCTTGCCAAGTCAATATTTATGTAAGTATGACTTTTTTTATAATAATAATTATGAAGTCAATGTATTATCATATAAAACTAACATCACTAAACTAATATTTTCCTCTTATGTTTTTCTGTTTTTCTCTTTTCCTTTAACGTGTTATATAGCTTTTTTGCAAAGTTACAAAGCCCAAACTACACGCCAGAGGGAGTAACTCTCTCCCACAGAAAACAGTCTTCTCAGTGGTCTGAAATGCCTCAAAGGAATTCCAGCACTTTTCTCTGTCACAAGGTGATGTAAACTCGTAACATAATCCTTACTGCCCACCCACCGGCAAGCTTGGCACGCCCTCACACAAGAGAGCTACAAAGTAAATTTACCACTCTGAAACATCCTGTTCCAGTCAAGCATGCGAATGTGGATTACGCGTACCAACTTGCTCTACCTGCCTTTCAGGACTGGACACCGGCTCAAACTGATTCGGCAGAACCGACACTACTGTAAGAACAGCCACAGCGGTGTGGCGGGAAACTTGTAGCAGGATGCCGCTCTGGTGGTTGACCAATCAGAAGAGAGTGGGCAAGCTGACCAATCAGAGCACACTGGGCTTATCGGGAGATGGGGCTTAAAGACGCAGGAGCTCTAACCGAGTGTTTCAGACAGTGCGTTAATAGAGATGTACAGTGACAAAAATATTGTGTTTGCAGTCAAAATCAGTCATTTCAGTGTATTGACATCCAGCCAATCGTTCTCCCAGTGGGATTAATAATTCTAGAGGCAAACTATTTGTGTTTAAGCATATGGATTTTTGCCACTGTTCTTTCATGTCGTATGGGAATATTTGAAAAATCACAATGAATGTTTGATACATAGACCTACAGACATGAATCACAAAAACACCAACTGCCTTCTGACTGGTTAAATGCATTGGCTAGACAAATTTGGACAAAGTTCTGCCCCATTCAAACTTTTCACTACACCGCATCCCTCAAATCTAACTCACCAGACCCATCATCGCTGTGTGGTCACGTCTGATGCTTCCCAATAAAAAGAAATTGACACTGTTGCCGTGGCCAGATTAATGTAAATGCATTAGCCTATGTTAAGAAATATAATTTCCTCTGTTGAGATCAGCCAACACTGTGAGAGACAAACACAATTAATAATATTTAATACAGGGCTGGCAGGCTGGAGTCTTATTCACTTACTCTTCAGTTAGATACTGATTAGAAAACATGTGAGCAAATGAGCTTCCCATAAAACTTTCTCTACTATCTGAAATCAGCTAAGGATACGTACAATAACGGAGAACTAAGATACACTATAATGCAGTGTTATGCAGGTGTCTTTTCAGTGCATTTCTTATTCATTTCAAATACTGCATCTAATAAAGACTGATCAGCTTTATGGGTTCATTAGACATCAGGCCTACTTCTAACACAGGCCATTTAGCTTTGTCTTGCTCTAGTTATCATCTGCCCTATTCAGAGGGAGACTAAACATGGGGATCATCCTGGATAGTTACAATGGCCCTTATTAATCATCAAACTGGAAAGATAAAACTAAAGAATCTTCACTCCAGTGGCTTAACCCCTTAACAGAACATTCATCATTAGGAACTTTCAGCAACTTCTACAAGCAAGAGCAAACCATACTCAGACAAGTAGACAAAGGTCCCTGTTCCAGACACACTTAGGAGCTGACTGTTATGAACAATGAAAATCTCAAAAAGTAACCCCTAACACTGTTAACTGTAATAGTCATTACAAGGTAAGCAAACCACTAGATCAGAGTCCGAATCAAGACCGAGACCAGACTAAGATTTTTTCTGTGTACATATATGTGCATACATACATACATACACACACACACACACACACCTTATGCTTATTATTACATATTACATTTATAATATATTCAGCAAAATATGACATTAAATATATAGTCTAAAACATTATTCATTATTATCATACTATAGTCTTCGTCAAACTTTTGTAACTGTAAGCAACGGTAAGGGTATTCTCTGTTCCCTTCTTCTGTAAACCTTTTTCAGAATAATCACTTAAAGTCAAATGAACATTAACTACATCAACATACATTTTATCATTAAGTGATAGTATGTATCATATATTGCAACCTGTGAACATGAACAAACAAATAATACTCAGTTAAGCCATCATGGAAAGATCAATTAGAACCTCAACCAACTGATTTTATTTAATACAACAGTGCTTTTCAACCTGTGGGCTGTGGCCTCCTAGTTGGCTGTGGTGTTACTGCAATTGATTACAAAACACATTTAACCAAACGTAATTTTAAACATGATCAATATTGCTTAAAACGAGTAACTACTGTTCTGTGCTATTTACTCAGGGCTCTTTTCAAATTAAGCTGTCAAGCCCAACAACGTACACCGACAGACTAAATACAGCAAATATGTATCTAAACCTGTCGAATTAAACCAGAACTCCGTTTGCAGTTTTCCTCTCTTTAGTGTGACATCCAGCACTCGACAGGTGCTAAATCAGGCTTCTCATTAGGTGAGTCAGAAAAAGATGATCTGATCGTTTAAATCTGCAGAAGCCTTTGCAGTCTTTTGTGTAGGCCACAAGTTGCAAAAATTTGGAAACTCCCGATGCAAAGAAAGGACTGTTTAATTCTGTTCACTCTGGTTTTATTGATATTCAATAATAATTAAGCTTCCAATTGCATCAGACAGAGTGATTGCACTCAGCTGGTCTCAACCACAATGTCTGAGTTCACCTTACCAACAGGCCGAGATAAGACCAAGTCCAAATGCAGTCGAGACAAAGATCGCTAGTTTGTGGTCTCAAGATCGGTCTTAAGATCAGGTCTGGACTTGAGGACTACAACACTAATTTGAACCTAAAATTTCGTCATTCATCGGTTTTATATTTGTTTTGAAGTTAAATTGTCAAAATTGTTAAAAACATAATCAATAATATCAGTGATAAAAAATAGAAAATATCAATGATAACAACAGCAAACAAACTAATCCTTGTACTAAAATGGTAGGTAATTCAGTTTGGATATTGTCAACATGTAACTTGTAATGGTTAATCTGAATTTGCAGCCTTCCTTTACCTATTAGCTTGAGGATCAGGCATTCAGTCATAGTAGATGTAGCAGTCTTTGACCTCAGACCTCAGAGCATGCGTGCGACCATGTTTCTATGGATTCACATCTGCATGCATCAGCATGTGCATCACGTAAATAATATGTATATGATCCAATGTGATTCACTCTTAATGATACAAATCTGACACAGACACATTCAGACAGAGTATGGGCCAGTGCTACTTGGTTAGAAGCAGGAAAAGTAAAAGCTCTGCCTTTCTCATTAATGGTGCAGTGACCAGACAGTCTGAATTTGTGCAAAGGCAGACTTGTAATGGACCACAATGGAACTGGAGCTTAATCATAGCCCCCTGTCTGGTTTAAACACACACCTACACAACTTTACTTCATCTTCTAATCATCCTCCCATTTATTCATCTCTCACACAAAAGGGCAATAAGCATTCTGCACTGAATTAGTGGGTAACCTCTGCTCTGTAGAACTCCTAAAGCCTGGACTAATTCAGTTCAACTCTCTGAAACAGGAGTAAGCCTATTCTTACCATTTGTGTGAAAACTGTAGCAATCGTTAGGTTGAAACCAGAACACAAAGAAATCAAACTCAAATATGCGCAGGCAAGACCACTTCTAAAAGGCCACAGTGGAGTAGTCCCTGCTCTAACTCACCTCACTCAATTTATCAATTAATTATCAAATCCTTACTGAGTTGAATCAAGTGGCTGAGTCATGAAACTACTCTGCAGTGCTGCAGGAAGCATCCATGACTAAAATACAGTCTCTGACTCTGTTGCAATTCTCCAGAGTCTCAGATGTAGATGGGCCTTTGATGAGTGGAGTTGTACACATGGCTGTGCCAGCTATTAAAGGACACCTTCTTAAAGACCCAGAGACTTCTGTAAAGCCTGTTTGCCTGCTATATCATATGTGGGTGAGCTCTGTCAAAACATAGTCAATACAAACAAACATATTTTCAGGTTTGGTCCCCATATTCATCTCTCTTTATACTTTCTCTCTGTCTGGAATTCCTCCACAGTCTTCGGAAGAGCGCTGTGTGGCATGCCTCATTGTTATACTGCCTGCTCTCTAGCTCATGTTCTATTTCTTATATTTGCAAGATTCACTTGACAGAAACAACATTATGTATAAAATAGAAGCCACTTTCTGTACAGCACTTATTATTGGGCAGTTATTGAGTTAGAGAGAGTGTAGTGTGTGCACACAGAGCAATACAATGGAAGCAGCAAAATCTCTGTTCCTCTGTGAGTTCTACAGAAATCCAGCATAACCAGAGCAAATGCCATTAACTTAACCTGAAGTATTTGTAGTGCAACCTTTAATTACTGAAACCCTGACATCTTGTCACACTGAACAGCTATAAGCTCATGCATCATACAGTATCTTGAGCTGTTACACACCAAAAACTATAGCCTTTAAGCAGGGGTTAAATTTAGATTTAGGCGAGGGAGGCCTACTTTTCTACTCCTGCCTGTGATGTGGGAATTTATATGTTATTATATGAAGTTCTCATCACTGATATCATGGAAGTGTGAATGAAACTAGTAGGGATACATCGATACCATTTTTTTCAGACCAAGTACGAGTACATATTTTTTTAGTAGTTGCCGATACCGAATCGGATCCCATACTGTGTAACCTACTTAGAATTAAGCAGTTGTGAGTGCAAACCTAACAGTTAAATCATTAAAATTTAGATGATTTTAAATGAAGTACATTAGCTAGCTACTTTTTATTATTTCACACTACTTTGGATTGAGTAGCGCTGCAGTGCAGAAGAGTGGGTTTAGTTTCACATCAGAAAAGCACTTCTATACAGGTGTAGTTTTGCTCCTTATCTGTGTCTTTCAACAATAGTCTCTGTAGCTCAGTGACAGTAGGAATGACATCCGAGGCTAAGGCATCTGAGGAGCTCACGTGCAGAGTTTGTCTTCTCTGAGTCTTCTGTTTGGCAAGTAGTTGAATGTCTTCTAAAGCCAGGCATGCACTGTGTGATTTTAGAAATCTTGCTCTTTGGTGACTCACACTGTACGTTTGAACAGACCATCATGTATGGACAAAGCTTACGATTTATGTACTCACACTGAAAACGCTCCATCCATGCTGTGTGTAAAGCAGTCCTTACAGACAGCTCTGTCCATGAACAATTTCAAATAAAGCTGTTTCACTCAGAATAACACGTTGTGCGCCGAATAACAAGCAGAAACGCTGAGCAGAGCTGCTAACAAAAGCAGGCAGTGATGTATACAGTAGGACAATACTCTCTCTCTAGAGCCTATAGCCTCTCTCTATACTTTGGTAGCAACTGTTGATTTTTTTTTTTGCCTCTTTAGCTGGGCTACATGTCTCCACCTGTACTGGGGACACAGTTGTGATTGTGTGTTAAAACCAGGCTAAAATCACACAGTGTATTCCTGGTGGGAATCTGCCAAGGTGAAAGGTATAAAGTGACCAACAACTTTGTGTCTGACTGTCACAAAGCCAGTAATGCTTCTCTGTGTGAGCAGAGCCTCCTTCACTGAGTTTGTTCATTAGCGAGGGAGTTACATTTTTGCCACACGGTATCAGTGGGTACTGAAATGTTGGTATCACCGATTTTTTTATGAGTACGAGTACGGGTGAATGAGCATGGTATCGGCCAGATACCTGATACCAGTATTGGTATCGCTGCATCCCTAAAAACTTCTATATCAAGCTATATCTATATGCAGCAAGAAAGTGTGCCTTTGGCATGCAGTTAGCAACGGCCAGTAAAACAGCAAACATCATTATTAAAGGCAACTGTGCAAACTAGGGTAGCTATTTAGATTGGTTTAGAATTCATTCAGATGTAATGTTACAGTCTTGCGTTACATTCTAATCAGGAATATTACAAAATCGAGGGGCAGATGCTGGTGTGTACAGGCTAGTGGTTGCCTATTTATCACATCAAATAATTAAATGCATTTCACAAAGAGTGCATTAGAAATTACTTCCCTCCATTTACAGGACCAACACTCAGCTCCACTTACTGTTTACATTAACGGCTCAACTTAAGTCATAAGTGATGTATGTGCTATTATTCCTGACTAGAATACACAAATAAAGATGATAATAACAAACATATACTCACATTAATTAATCAACCAAACAACCAATCAATCAATCAAATTGGCAACTGATTTCAATGTGGCAATCATATTGATCAAGCAAGAGAAGTTTATTAACTATTCACACTGTTGCAGAGTTTAAATTCACAAATAAGACTGTACACAAATGCTACTCACCTGTAGGCTGACCCGTACAGTGATGATGAGTTTGAGCCATGTGGGGAACTTAGAAATAAGCTTGGTAATGAAAGATGCAATGGTGTCACCATAGTCTGGTTTGTGAAACTCCGCCTCATTCAACCCATCAATCAAGATGATGTAATCCTCTTCTGGAATCTTTCTCTCTGGTGACAAAGACAGAAAAATAAATCAGTGTTTCAGAGAAGTATGCAGTATAAAATGAACAACTGCTGAATTGATATTACAGACAAAAAGTTTCACTGTCAGCATGCAATAACTTTTTTTTTTTGAGCAGCATCAGCTATAATGATTCAATTACAGTGTAAGAGTAAGGTTTGCAACCACCAGCAGAGATACAATATCAGAGGTGCCAACATTACAAAGGTGAAAATGTTAGGTGAGAAATATGAGAAAGTCCTGTTCTGTCTGCTCCTGCTGAGCACAAACTTGAAGCAGACAGGCTGAAAATGTTTTAAGGGTTCCTAAAGGTAACTAGTACCCGCCTCAAATGCTCTGCCCACACGAAAACTGAGCATCACACAAAGCTGGCCTGCTGGAATTTTGTCAGGTGCATTCTGATTGGCTACCTGCATGTCCGTGTATATACATTTCCATGCAGCGTTTTCTATCATTCATATGGAAAACACAAAGTTTTGTTTTTCCAGCTAAATTCCACTCAGCAATAGCAAACAGCTGCCTGCTCTGGGCATTGTGACAAAAAACTTTTAAGATATAACCGTGAGATTTTCACAATCGCCTCCCCCTACATTAGTGCTGTAATTGGTTGTTTTGCATGCCAGTCAAACGGTCTTTTCCTGACAAGGCAGTAGGGGTGGGGGGAAAATCGATTCTTAGATGCATCACGATGCGGACGATTCTGAATCGATTCACAAATGTCAAAAATCGATTTTCTAAATTTTAATTGATTAACGTAATGTTGGCGGAACGCAAAAGGCGGAACTTTGCAAAGTGCGGAAGTGCAGCGCCCGGACAGTCTGTGGCGTGCACACTACATTAAAAGCTAGTGTGTCTCAGCACATGCCAATGTCCTAGTCTAGGGTAAAAATATAATACAAACAAAAACGCAGACTCACTTTGCTCTGCTTTAAGCTTTAGCTCTGCTGTAGCCGCCTTTGTTGCATCACCAGCTGGAAACTTTTCCACAAAAGTAGAACAGTTTCTTGTAAAATGTCTCTCAACATTGTACTTTTTACAAGGCTGAAGTCGCTTCTCATTTGTCAGCTTCTCGTTCATATTTTCCCGTTCCACCTTAAATGGTGCCTGAGGCACCAGAATGTAACTGCTGCACCATTTAAGGTTTAACGGGACAATTCGAACGAGAAGCTGGAGAATGAGAAACTGACTTCAGTTTCACGTTTTTTTAGTGTTTGACAGTTTCTCGTTGCAGATTAACTGTATCAGCTGGAGTGATTATAAATGCAAATAAGTCTATTCGTCTCCAAATTATGGGTGTTTGTCTCAAATCTTTCTTTTTGTCTTTTCATTAACTACTAGCTAAGTGAACTAGCAGTTATAGAGTACATTAATTTCAACGTTTAAGACCATTTATTGTTGAAACTGTGTTTGAACGATCAGCAGACCTTTATTTTACTGCAAATGAGGATTATTTTATTTTTACCTAGAAATCTAACCCTGATGTGGAGCCACACCAGGCCAGCAAAAGAGCCGCAGGTTGCTGACCCCTGAGCTAGCTTATGGAAGCACTTTAGTTTCCGTCCATTTTCCGCCCAGTTGTAGTTGCTGCCAACCAGGGGACCATCGATCAAGCGATGTCAGGGCTTCCACCCAAATCGTAAAGAACGAAGCGAACTACAAACTCTATCGCAACTTTTATTGCCAAGGATTTGCTTCCGTACTCTGTCTTTGAGAACCAGGGCTTTCGCGCTATGTTGCACACTTTGGAGCTGCAGCGTCCTGTCTCAAAGATATTTTACTGACACAGCGACCCCCACTCTCCACAACAAGACCAAAACCGAAGTTATGAAATCACTGAAGAAAACAGGTAGAATAGCTGTAATCTGCTGTGTGGACACTCATTGCCATAGGATCTTATTTCACTGTAACTGCGCATTTTATCGCAGATGAATGGCAGCCTGCGTCTCATGTGCTCCAAACAAAAGCAGTGAATGAGAGTCTTTCAGTTGACTTGCCACACCGCTTCCATTTGATTTATTAATAAAAGTTATTGGAAGTAAATTCATTATGGATCATTACAAATACTTTGCTTTAAAAGTTCCAAGTTGCATCAAGATGCATCGATAATCGTTTTATAATCGTAATTGAATCGAATCGGGAGGTGCCTAGAGCCTCCCCACTACAAGGCAGGGGGTCTTGGCTTTGTTATGTGATGAAAAACACCAGACTCTCTGCCACTAGGCAGACGTCTGGCTTACAAGACTAAAAGATAACTGACCAATGTTCTGTCAAAAGTGTAGATGCTGACACCTCTACACTTTTATAAAGTAGTGAAAATTATATTTGATCTTTTTTTCATAAATTTCTGCAGGAAAGCACAGGCAAGCAAATAACACATCTTCAACTCTTATGTCTGATAGCTGGGAATGAATACATAAATGACTGACCACAGGTTTTAGTCCACAGCAGGATCGAACATGAAACTGCAGCAGACTCAACTGAACACGAGGGTAAAGGAGGTACGGCTCAATCCTGCCTTCTGCTCATGCCGAGTGATGCAGAGAACATTTAAAAATTCATTACAGAGCAACGTGAAGATCTGAGGACTTTTCCCCGATCAGGCAGACAGACTGGATTTACTCGAGGAGGGAAAATATTTCTTCACTGAGGGACAGATCAAGGCCAGGGTGCATGCGTTTGTGTGTGCGTCTGTGTCAATGCTTCTTTTCCTTAAGGTTCTTTAACAAATAAAACTTAAGAAATGGCCCTCACCAAATCCATTAACTATCTCTGGTTTTTAATCTCCTCCTGCAATCCTTGGTGGATGTTTTCATTGCATGATGAAGTGCCGAAATCAACATTTTTCCTCATATCAGCCAGAATATAGTGCACTATTAATTTCGATTAATATGGCAAAAAGATGAAGGAGGGCATGTGGACTGACGTTGCTACGGTAGACCAGCTTCTGTTACCAGCTGCTCTCTAGCCCTATCCACTACCACCATATTGATTCTCAGTCTTTTCCATCTCCATCATACGAACAGCAGGTTTGTTTACCCATGTCTCATACTCGGCCTCCCACAATACAGTATTGATTAAGTGTTCGGCTGAGAGAAAAGATTGGACCCCCATGCTCAACAAACCAGAGTGACCCTGAAATGGGTTTGCTGCCTGTTGCTTTAAAAATCTAACAAATATCTCAGATCTCACAGTCTCAGCAGTCCTTTCTTTTTCAGTTTATACTAAATCCAATCAGCAGCATAAAAGGGCTGATATAGGACTGCCGCTATAAAGTAAGTAACAGCGTTTTCAAAAGGTCTGTGTGGACAGCTTAGTCTGTCCAGATATTTCTCCTTTTAAGAGAGACAAATCTACCTCTGAACAATAGTTTACAAAGGACTGTCGCTGCTTTAGTGACCTCCATTACGCCTCATACTGAGAACAGACGTTCACATCAAAAAGCAATGCTGCCAGGCCCTTAACACGAAGAACCGTTTCATTAATTTGATGTCCAGTTTATTCCATCTTCAGCAAGATGTAGGTGAAACAGCTAATCATTACTGTTGCTGTGTGGAAAAGCTGAGACTAAAGAGAGCATAATTTAGCTTCAATGTCAACTGGCTAGATACAAATCAACACACTGAGGTCTATTAGCTTCAGACACTGAATTCAATCCCATCTGACTAAACACACTACACAGTCAGACCTCTGCAATCTTCAGCACCAAGTGCCAAAGGAAGAACCCGGCAGCGTTATATCTACAACAAAACTCTAGAGAAAAGAAGAAAACATAATACAGATTGAAACTAAAGTACCATAACAAGACTCAGAGGAAGCACTTAGGAATTAGGGTTCAATTAAAGAATTCTACAATGAACAGACTGGTACCTTTGCGCAAGTTGATGAGTGGCTCCAGGACGCCCCTACGGAAGGCGGCCATTGGGTCCTGGACACAGGAGCGTAGACTGAGCATGCTCTGTAGATGTGGTTCTTTCAAGAGGAGCTCCCTGTAAGCAGTGAGCTGGTGTGCTCTGCACAGCAGGGCAGCGACACTGTGCACAAACTCAGGCACCAGACATGTGTAGGTGTTATCAGCCTGGCAGTAATGATATGCAACCACCTAAAGAGAGAGAGAAAAAGTGGAAAAAGAGAGAGATGCTATATTATTTATATTATATTGCCCATACTTACCTAGAACGTGGAGTTAGCTCATATTATTTTAGTATTTTTAAAATTAATAAATAGGACTAACAGCCCCTAATTTTACTCTAACATTAGCTAACTCTAAGTTTCAAGTGTGGGCAATACTGCAAAAATATAACATTACAATACTTTCAGATTTTTTTACAGTACACATTCCACAATATTTAGTTCTTCCTATCGTATGCAAACAAGTTAGAACAGACAAAATTCACCAACAACTGAAAAAGATAATGACACAATGGCATATCAAATTAACTACTTGTTACTACATGCTTAATGCTGGTACCCTAGTTGTTGTTTACACACTATATTATCTGTCCTTTTATGATACATGATGCTGTTCAGAATTCTGGAAGTACTGACAATAATCACCACATACTCACAAAAGTGCTTCATGTAAATTAAGGCTATCTAAGGCTAGGTCTCACCACCCTTACGCTACATTGCCCTTACACTACGTGCATTTTTTCTTACTGCATTCCACGATGCTGAATATCTTTGTTCGCTGCTGGTGGATGCTTCTATGTCATTATAGAAATGAAAGAACCATACTAAGCATATCTGGGGCAATAAACAATCTAATACACATATTGCTGTCATGCAGAGGCTTTTAATGAGACTAAAATACAGACCTTTTCTGTTCATGGTTTTATAACTTTCAGTCATCCACACAAGCTAGTTTGCTCAATCTAACTAGTAATCTCAGAGCTATACATGGTTTCAGTTATGGTTTCTTGCTTAAACCATCTACACTTGTATTTCTTTATGTAACTACATCAAGCAATGGTATAATTCTAAGGCTATATTTTTGCAGTATCTTCAGGTACTTTGTATCACATTGGCTCCCATTGCTTGCATGTTTTGCAAGTTGCTGTAAACTCAACAATGTGGATTTGATGATAACATCAATCACAAATTTTGAAATACATCATACGATGCTATTGGGCTCACCTCAGCACTGCTAACACAATCAGGAAACACCAGAAAACATTTCAATTTCCCATGGTTTTGTGTTTACCATGTTTTTAAACTAAAAAAGTCATAAACCCACATATTGGGACATGGGAGCGTGGGTAAGGTTCTATATGCGGAGCTGGACAATTCCTGGCTGCAGTCTGGGGTGGAGCACCAAGTTGACATGTTGACTTCAGAGACCCAGAAATACTGTCTTACACTTGTTGTCTTCCAAACGTCTTACACTGTTTTGGCATGGCTTGCTAATCTCAGAATTTAATCATTTCTGAACTTTTCTGCCTCGGCCATTCCAGCGCTTATCCTCTCCAAAACACACCAATGCTTACAGCTGGAGCTGCATCATGCAGTTTGTGATTCATCAAAAGAATCAATGCTATTTTCAGATGCTAACCGTAAAACAGAAAATGGAAACGCCTGCTTTTAAAACACAGGCTTTTGCATGAGTGCCTTCCATGGCCTGGTACTGAGACTAACGGGACTAACAGCCCCATTACAAATGAGAGATCATTTATCTTAACTTCCTTCAGGAATTCTACTGAATAAAAGAGAAAAAAGAAGAAAGCAGAGGATGAAAATAGATGAATAAACATGCAATGTAATGTGCAGAGCCTCCTGCTTGCCCTCTGGAGCCTAACAGCATTTACAGATACTGAGATATATCAAGTGGCACAGCACTGACAACATACCAGATTTAAATATTCGAGTAATGTCAGAGAAACATTTAACGCAATACTGAGAAGCATCACATAAGACCCTTTCTAATTAGGCAGTTCTAGCACATCTTTCAACTCTAAAGAAACATGATCTAACTGAATAGATAATTTAATAGAGACTCCCCTCTGACGCAAAGGAGGTGTCCTTAAAAGAGAGTTCAACACAAATGTTTGTCATATTTCTGACTCATTTAACCACAACTATGGCAAAGACCCTGTCAGAAAACTGCAACCCAGCAGAGCACCTCAAAGCATTGGCCTCTCGAGGGTGCTTCGTAATTTGGTCTAATTTATTAGTGAAACCTGTGTTTGATGGTGGTATTTCCCATTTGGACAGTTGGGGTTAATAGAAATGGCTCAATTTTCACCTCAAGGGGCAACTCCTCTAGCCTCTCACAGCCCAATTACAGATGAGTAGAGATCATCCATCTTGGGCTCTTTCAGGTGAAGGAAACTCTTCACGGGAAGTCTAAAACTTGATTAATGATCAGTGTTTCACACGAGTTCTTTGGAGCCTCAACATTTGCCTCTGTGCACTACTCCAAAAGTAAAGTCTTGCTGGAGCCTCATAAAAATGGTGTTTTTGACAAATCGTGATGGCTGGTGGATTGGTCAAAAGAAGATGGGTACAGTTAACTTTTGCAAATGCCAGGCATTAGAAATGACTTCCAACACTGTGCCAATGAACAATTTGTCTAAATATTTGTATATGTTTACTCAGCTTTCTCACATTAATTACCCCTGGTAGCCTAACTGCTTATCATCACACCATTCTTACTGAAAATGACTGGAAGCCAGTAGTAGTTGTTTTTTTGTCATTTATGGTAAAAAAACAAGGCAAAATATTATATTACATTTGTATTATGTAATTACAATGTATTATCATGGTATTATGTAATTGTACATTACAGAATAACGCAGTGCCTATAATGTGTTTGTATGGTACGGTATCAGAGCTCCACAGATGTAACTGCAGTTATTCCCTGCTGAGAAAACAAAACTCTGAGAAGACAAATCCTCAAGCAAAGGAATGCATGTTAATGACTGGATCAAAAGTCACCTGTAGTGCAAGAAACACCCCTTGCTACCATCAAAGCACACCAATAAACAAAACAGAACAGCACACATGGCCTGAGAGAGACTACAGCTCACAAAGCAGATGCATGATGCATGAGTTGAATTAGAAATAAGTGAGGTGAGAAGAGCAGAGGGAAAAGAATTAATACAACTATATTTACTTTTAGTGTGACATGTTTATTCTGTCTCAACCTGTGCATAATTCAGTCTAAGAGACTGCCTAAATACACATCCTGCACTAAAAGATGTGGCTGTACCTTAAAAGTCTGGCCTCATTATTATTTATGTTTTAAATAGTTCAGCAACACATCCCCTAGGTGTACCACGGGATGTAGTTTTCAGATACAAGAAAACTCCTGGGAGACCTGGAGTTTTAACCTAATCTAATAGATTAAAATAAAATGCAGCTAACTGTAAATGCTGATGAGCAGTCAGTTTTCAAACGCGTGAGAACGGAATGAAAGTTCTGAGACAGAGATGGTGGAGCAGGTGGCTCAGTAAAGCTTGGTTAAGCCCAGTCTGCACTGCCAAACTCAACCAATCTCAGCTTAACTGGAGCGGTTTTGGAGCCAGAGTTGTGTACAATGAACAGGAAGTTCTAGAACCCCAGCTGGGCCAAACAGACACCCATCTGACTGGACACTGTGAGCTTGACATTGATCCGCCCCATAAATCACAGATTAAACACAAACAAACCCTGGACTAAATATAGCATTGGTTATGGAGGTGATGTGGGCCCACGGGCCAAGACTAAAGTGACAGACGTTGTGATGCAATTGTCTATCGACTCGACTCAGTCAGAGATTCAGTCAAAACGCTGCTTGTCCTGACATGCCCTGAAACATACTATTTTATTAACAGAATACAAAAGCAAAAAAGGCCGAACTTCTTTTATAAAGCTCCGTGCAGGTGGATGATTTTTGAGAGCAGCCTGAGGAGACCAGAGAGGTGGAACAGACAGGTAGGGAAGCTCAAACTGGAGAACTACTCGGCTGAATCTCAGCATGATGCCATTGCTTTAAACCACCATGTAAACGTTCAAGAAATTCGCAAACATCAGCACTATCAACAAACCTTGGAGAACAAGTACCATCTCTCATATTCATTTCTAATTCATTTGCCAGAATTAAAGAGATAGACACGTCACTTTTGTCACTTGATGATTACTCTTTCAATTAAGATGTACTAATAAAAACCACAATTTGATTAGCTCATCAAATAGAGATAAGTTGTTTACTAAATGATCTGTAAATAGGGCCTTAAGTGTCTTACGTGCTGCTTTGAGCACCCTTCACTGTCACAGGTTCTTTCGAGTCTTTACTGTGCCTGTGGGTACAATCATCTACCTTAGACCAAATGACCACCTTGCCAGCCTGTTGCCATGGTAACACGCAAGCAACAGCAAGTCCCCTGGGAGACACAGTTTATTCACCATTTACTTCTCACAGTGAGTGACAGGTGGCAGTTTAGTCTACGGGAGTGATGTTCCCTAACATCTCTCACTTCAGCTGCAGTAGTACTGCCATGCACTCAGAATACAGAGGGAAAATATTTTCATTACGTATGTCTTTAGACTAAATAATAAGCATCATTAGATTAAATAATAAGTTATTAGTTTCCTAACACAATATGTGCAAAATCAGTCACCACCTTTCATTTATATAATTAAGAGTCAAACTCTAACTGTACTTGGGATTATTTGGACCATTAGAAGCAGAACATGCAAACAACTTACAAGACTGAATTTGGAGGTGTGGAAAAATTTCCCTGCCGATTTCTTAGAGAAACTGAAAGCATGTCTCCTGAAAATGATGGCAGCTATAATAAAGTATGGACACATTAAATACTGAAAAAATTGATACATTCAGTTGTTGAGGCTTCTGTGTAATTTTCTGTTAAATGTTTTCGGTTTTTCCTGATGCTGAAAAATTGATAAAATGTACTTGAAATTTAATAAATGAAAGAGTGGTCTCAGACTTTTGTATTGCAATGTATATGAAAGTTTAGATTAAATAGTATAATCTCTTGAATAACTAACTCATGATTCATATTCCCCAGCTTCAGTAACATAAACAAGAACACTTTATTTCAGAGATTTTCTTAAAATAAAAAAGCGCCACAGCTATGATACACAACATATTTCAATAGACTTCGGAAAGACACAACCACACAGCCCTAAACTCAAAAACAGAAACATATGCGCATACACACACACATACATACATACACACACACACCCACACACAAACACACATGCACAGATGTGCAGATCATGCGCACAGTCCACACACAGAAAACAAACAAAAAAAGAAAAGAAAGTACAAAAGCAGGAGAGCAGGGCTGATGGAGGTAAATGTGTGTCTTTTCAGACTTTAATTACTGAGCATGAATGGTTGGAACAGGAGAGAGCAAGAGCAAAGAGATGAGGCATGACTGCCCTGATCCCACACTGGCCCTTTCAAAGCATCAGGCAGCTTTTCAAAGAGCGCAGGCAGAGCACATGCGTATGTGCATGTGCACTTATGTGATTTTGATGAATGGTGCAATCCTGTGCAAGGCTCACCTTTACAGAGAATCCTATCAAAGAAAACAATCACTTTCTTCTTATTAAGACAGACTAAAGTCAGCTATACTGCTTCAGTAAGGGAAGATCCACAGGAAGCAAGGGAGGCTCTAGGTACCATGACATAAAGCAGGGTTTCTCTACCTGTAGTGGTCCGAGGGCCTGAACTCTGGGGAGGCAGTAGTTCATAGTGGGCCAGTAACGTCAAAGTCATAAAAACATAAATGGGGAAAAAAAGATTAACTTAATAATTAAAAATCAAAGAAACAAATTTGTCAAATTATAACCAATACATGTACAAATAGAAACACTGTAGGAGTAGGCTAAATAAACATAAATTTGAAATGCTGCCGCGGGTGCGCGATGCAGACAGTTAGCAAGTCCAAGATGGAGAAGTTTCTCAGGGCGCTGTCACAGCTTCCCTGTTTGGTGAGGACCCATCACATTTTTTTCTTTAGTTTGTTCTGTTTTGCATCTGTATCAGGCCTGCAACAGACAGCTGAACCAGTCCGGCAAAAAACGCGGGTCTCAGTCTGCTTTCAAATGAACCCAAGTTCAGTTTACTGCTGGTGGGAACACATTCTATTATGAAATGAAGGCATTTATCAGTAGAGCTTGATTTCCTCTTCTAGCAGCATGCCGGCGCTGTACTGTCAGCATAATCTGCCTGTTTTATTGTCTCACTCTTTACAGATCCTCATTCTCGTTTCTGGACCACGAGCTGCAGTGATATAAAATAATAGTGAAGTTATGCATTTGATTTTGGCTAATGGATCGGAAAGTATGTTTGGCCGGGCATCAGTGACCTGAGTGGTTAAACTCAAATTGATTAACCTATCCTAAAGGAGCAGATATAAAATAAGGTTTATTATTATTGTTATTTTTGACACTAATCCAAAAGCTCAGTGAGAGGAGTGTGGTTTGCCTATTTCAAATGAATCACAAATTCCCTCAAAACTAAAGAGAAATCTCGAGACCAAACGAAGCGGAGAATTTTCAGTGAAAACATGATGTACTGCAGCTCCTAATCACAGTCCACATCCACCTCGTACATTTCTATTCTTTTTGCTTTTTCCGCACTTTTTAACATCTCTGCAAATATATGTTACAATAATATGTTAAAATAACAGAACAGAGAGAGAGAGAGAGAGAGAGAGAGAGAGAGAGAGAGAGAGAGAGAGAGATTCTTATGTAGTCAGTGATTGGATCTACGCCATTTCAATTTCAGTTTGTCTGGATTTCAGTGGTTAGGGATACTGACAGCACAATTCATATCTTTATTCCTCACCATGCCCAAATGCTGAAACAGCTGAACTGAACAGCAACTGACCAGTTGCACCACCATTCACCCATCAGATACATTTAAATCTGCAAGGCTTGTATTCTCTCATCTCTGCGCCACAGAATTACCAGCAAACAAGCAGCAAAACAATAAGCTACAATAATTAAGGGCAATTCTCTAAACAGACGGGGCACCTATTCTTAAAAATAGGTGCCTACATAGCTTTTGGGTTGGCCCTACTATTTTATAGCATCGTTCTGAAGAATGCTTTTTAAGAGTGTATGTAGAATTCTCAACAGGGGAGAAGTCATATACTTTCTTACAGTGCAATATCTGACCCACTTTAAGAATCATACTTGCAGACACATCAGCATACAGTGGATGGTTTATCTCTACAGTGGATGTTTTAACTGCAAAGCTATCTGTCACACTCTGCTCTGTCTGCTACATGCTCTCACAGTCTCACCTGCAGGCCGCACCTGAAAAGCTTTATTATGCCACTGCCCTGGCATTCTAAGAGCTAATATTACTACTACTGTAGCAGCCTACACAAACCATATCAGACTTCAACAACAACACACTGAAACAGTGGAGGTCAGGTCTCTTAATGATGTATGATTTATTTCTATAATTTTAAGCCAGAATGAAATGAAACTTGCGCACACTAGGAGTTAGTGTTGGGTGGTATTCACTTTCTTTTTAATACCGTCAAACCTCCAAAAATGACCACAGTATACTTTTAGCCGTCTCATCAAGTCAAGTCAAAAGAAACAAAAAGTTTTTAGCTTCACATGGTTTCCAAATAAGTGAACACAGTGCACGATTTTTAAGTTAATGTTGGCATCATAAATGTATCCTTTCATGAAGCAAAACCCACAACAGATGTTGTACTGTGAAATTAATGTAACACTACTCCTCTAACACACACACACACACACACACACACACACACACACACACACACACAGTGAAGCCAGCTGCAGCACTGTACTGGGGTACTTTACCTTTGAGGCCAGACGTTTAACAGCCTCCTCCCTGTGCCGGCGGAGCTCAGGTGTGCTGGGGCAGCTGTCGGACTGCAGTGTGTTGGTGGCGCTGGGTGGAGGGGTGGGCTGTGGTGGCTGACTCAGAGGCAACTCTGAGCTTTGCTCACCACCTGCACATGTACCAGTACATGCATTAACAAATCACTACATTGTAACTAAGCAGGTAATCATAATACACATAAGTACATATACAGTACCAGTCAGTGTTTGGACACACTTACTTACAGAAAGATTTTCTTTATTTTACTATTTTCCAAGTTTAACAATAATAGTGGATGCATCAAAACTATGAAATAACACATATGGAATTCTCTAGTGACTAAGAAACTCAAAACTCTTATATTTTAGATTCTACAAATAGCCCCCCTTTGCACTGATGACACTGCACACTTGGCATTCTCTCAACCACCTGGGATGCTTTTTCAACAGTCCTGAAAAAGTTCCCACATATGCTGAGCACTTCTTGGCAGTTGAAAATGACTTGTTAAGGCTTCAAAATAATATCTTTAAAATATTTTTTTTTTTTTTGGAAATACATGAATGCATCCACCATTTATATAAGTCTTTGAAAACAAAGTATTTAAGCATTTAAATCAAAATGTCATTTTTCATTATGACAATCACATTCAATTAGGTGTGAAATAACTGTGGACTGGTAAGGGACAGTATAACCATCTATTGTGCAAAAGCAAGCAAATATAATATTCTAAAAAATATTAATCCAACTGACAAACAGTAAAATAAGAGTATGAGTAAAATAAATATCTATGAAACATTTTACAACCAGTCACATACTAAAACACCTTTACGCTAACTGGAAGAAAAATAGAGCAGGCGTGAATAAAGCCATGTGGATTGCACCATTGAAGCTGAGGTGACAATAAGACACTTCAAAATGTACCACCTGTACCAATATCAGAGACTGAAATATGCAACTGCACATTGTTGTGTCATCATAAGAGCTTTGCTTACTTTTTGGGGAAGCATTAGGACTATTAGAGGCGATCTGTCTCATGCGGCCTCCATGGCAACTGAGGGCCACCAATCGGGAGATGACAGCCGTCTTGCCAAAGCCCACGCTGCCCACAACAGTGGCCCCACGACTCTCGCCTGTTTGGCTGTCGATCAGGACATCCTCCAGCTGCTGAAACAGCCAATCCCGGCCCACAAACACAGAGTCCGTAGTGATGCTAGGAACCTCAAACAGCAGAGGCTTTAGCATGATATCAGCAGGCTTATATGGAGTGAAGCGTGCTAAGAGAGAAGCACAAAGACATATACAAACAGGTCAGGCAAGTGCAGATAATCTTAAGGGCATTTACGGTTGTCTAACTTCATAAAAAGTGTAGATGAAATGTTAAACATAGAAGCTGGTGGTACAGTAAATATGAACAGAACAGACTGAACTAAAACATTTAATGGCAATAGAAGAAATTAGCATTATCGTAGTGGTTAAACACTTGCTATTTATAAAAGTGCAGGTTTCTTCATTGAACACTGCTATATTATGCACAGCTGGTACTTGTTCATGACAGTAAGACAAAAAATTAAAAAGATCATGAAGTGGCTGAAATATACAGTGGCAGGCTACTGACTTAAATAAAAATGGCATATATAAGAGCAACATATATTACAAAAGGTACCTAATCAACTCAGCTTAGTAAAATGTGGTATTATCCCTCCAAAACTACTAAGGTAAAACAATTCAAGTAATTCAATCTGTTTTTTTAACAACTTACAGTAAGTAGCAATAAGTAATGCTAAAAAATAAATAGTCCTGTTACTCTGAAGGTGTCAACATGGAAAGAACAGTTCAAAAATAGAATATTTAATGGCGAACTTGAACCATAACAGCTTTAGTAGCATACAGGTTGCTAACATCAACAACAATGACATTAGAATATTTAGATACTGAATATTTAAATTACGCAATACCTGAGTATTTAAAAATTTAAGTACATAGTCTCTCAAATTGTTGCATTCTTCCAAAACCTCTGTTGAAAAATCCAGAAATTCTGTTGTACAAATGCAAAACTATCAGTGTATTACCTAGAAGTAAGTCCTTGGCGTAGCACTGCTTCTTTATGTCTGTGATTTGTGATTTTAGCATTCATGTGATTTTAGCATGTTGACAGCATTCAAGTGACGACGATGATGTCTGAAAAGTTAAATTTGACTACAACAGTCCACCTGCATTTTGCTATACTCACTTATAGAAAACAAATAAGATGCAAACTGAGCAATGACTACTCACTCATTCCACAAACTGTCAGGCTGATGTTTTTGTAATACTGCCCAGAATGCTAAAAACTCTGCAGATAGATATACAGTGAAAGATTGGGTGCAGGTCTGGGAGGGATTTGCATGGGAGTCTATCCTTAAGCTAAACACTGGTCCTACTGATTAGAGGAGCCTTATCTCTTCTGCTTTGATCCCATGACACACTGGCTGCTTTTGTTTGCCAAATCTTACAAGCAGCTGAAATGGTAGTGTCAAACATTATGTTAACAAATGCCAAGAAACACAAAACTCAAATGCTGTTAGATAAAATATGCTTCCAGAAGACAGATCAATCAGAGACCTGTGCCAAGGCTGGGCTTTCTGTAGCGTGAAAGCCAGATCTAAGAGGAATTTCGCATTCTTCCTCTGGTTCTTTTCCTTTCATGCCTCTATAGGGGTTCAGTCTGAAATGCTGAAACTGAGGAATAAAAATATTCCTCTGCAGGACAGCTTGGCTGTTCAGAATCTGAGATCGGCGTTTGTGTGTGTGAACATAAACAGCTGCTGCCACACATTCTTTTACTCTCTGCTTCACTTGCTCACCATTTTCTCTCTCTATCACCTCCTTCCTGCTCTCTGTCTCCTCAAGCTGTTTCAATACATGCACACCACCCCCACTCCTCCTTCTCCACCCCTCTCTCTCCCCCTCTCCTCTCTTTTGGTAGCTTTCTCTCTCTCTTCCCTCTTCTCTCTCTCCCTGCATTCTCTTTCTCCTTCTCTCTCAAGATGAAAGAGCAGGTTAGGTGCAGTGTGCCTAGGGCAGGGCTGCTCTGAGTAGAAGAGGCTGCAGAAGAGAGTATATTATCGTCCACTCTGAATGCTGGGCCTCTAATTGTCTTTCTTTTTAACAGGGCCGATTCAGAATCAGCGATTACTTTCTCTGTTTAACACACCCAGACAAAGACAAGGTGAAACATGAGTTTTAAAAATCACAAATAAATTTTAAACCTTACTGTTTCACCCTCACATGCTCAGGCACACATCTTAGCGATATGTGGATGCTATGTCTGGACTGCTACTGGTTAATACGGGGGTGTGAGGAGCAAAGGTTTATTTGTGAAGACCTCTATTAGAACATTTATGAGGTCTGGGAAAAGCTAAAAAACAAACACTGCCTGTTGCAAACCACTCAAATTTACTGTGTCCGGTGTTTACATAACCCTTGCTTTTCTACATGGAGGAAAAGCAAGCGTGAGGAAGAGAAAGAGAGAGAGAAATGTGGACCAGTTTGAAAAGTATGTGAGTGCTCTGTGATGTAGACCTGCATTATTTATGCCTTGGGCTTCCCCAAGAAAATTCCAGCTCAAACTCAACAGCATCTGCAAACACGCACAAGATTACCTGCTAATGTACAGGCTACATGCAGACTCAGACCTTCCTGCATCTGTTTTAATCAATAATACAGTATCACCCTTTGAAACATGAAGCACAATGGTATGCTATGTTATGTGATGAAAGGATCTATGTAATAAGGTGGCAGTAAAAATCAATCTAGTATAGCCATCCAATTAATGCACTAACTTGAACTGCAATCTCCTTTAGAGGAGAAGTCAAGGCAGAAACAAGACCGTCACATCTTTCTAACGAATCAAATGTTCATGACTCAAAAAATAGTCAATATACTGAACAAAAATATGAATTTTTACTAAAAATATTTTACTGAAACACCACAAAAAGCAGGGTGGGACGTGAAACAGAATTCCCATATTAGTATCTGGTGTAACTACCATTCGCCATTAGCAGCACAATGCATTTCTAGGAAAAATCCTAGATTATTTTATCATACTGCTGCAAAATGGGAGCCTCCATATTTTTGTATGGTATAGATGTGAGAGCACAGTGATGCCATAAGATCTTTCCAAAAAAGTAGATGTCAGTTCCTGTGGTTCAAAAGTGAGACTGTAAAAGTACCTTTGTCGTGCGGTGGCCTTCCTCCAGTGTTGTGCCAGGGCATCCGTATGGAGGTACGCAGTGGTGTATTACGCTGCTCATCAAGATAGCTCAAGTCTTCCAATTTAGTGGAACTGGTAGCTAAAAAAAAGAGAAAAGGGTGAGAGAAAGAAAGAAAAAGATAAAGTGAGTGTTTAGTAATAAACAAACATTAACAATAACACGAGAAAGAAAACAAAACAGCTTTAACATAGACTTACAATGTAAGCAAGTATGTAAGCAAAAGCTGTTATGTTGCCAAAAGAACAAACGGTAACACTTTACCTAAAGGAAGCATTCATAAGGCTATGCAATACCTTCATTAGCCTTTCATGACAACTGGGAAACCTTTATAGACATCTATAAAGGCTTATTACAACAAGCATCAGTTGTCATAACACTGGCTGAGGTGACAAAGCCTTTATGACAAGTGATGTTTGTAGGAATAAGCCTTTATAAAAGGTTATGCAGATTTATGTCAGCTGAAAAAGCTTATATAGGTGGAATGTAGCCTTCTGTATACTGCTCTTCAGTAAAGTGTTCCTGAACAAACACACACACCAACATACATGACTTTGTGCAAGAGAATAAACAGAGCTAAAGAAACCAGTAATCCAATCAAAGTGGCAAAAATGAGGATGGGGCAAAAATGACATGATTGCTCATTAACAGTGCTCGTGACAGTGGCAGGAACTCTAAACGTAAAAGGAACCAGGTCAGTGAGAGCACATGCACCTCCACGCTCACACACACACACACACACACACACACACACACACACACGTATATATGCATTCATGCATGCACGTCCTATTTAAAACAATGTTGTATTGAGCTCAAATGACCGCTGTGAAGAACAGCTAACTAATGAGAGGTGAAAAGCAAAGAGAGAGAGAGACAAGGTATGAGAGAGCATGAGAAGAAAACAAAGATTAGTTGAATCGTTTTAACTTGAAAGCAGTCCTTCTATATTCTAACACACCATAGAAGTCCATAAAGAAACAATAAACACTCTTAGTTATCTGTCTGCTTTATTCAACTACTGTGCACAATCACAGGCAGAATCTTTAACAATCAAATATTCTGAACTACTGCTCGCTCTCACTCAGCAACGCTCCAAGCCAACAACCTGTTAGCACTAAAGCAAACTCCCTTTGCCTCTTTCTGCACAACTCGTGCCCTGGCCAGAGTTCCTACAGCTTCAGTACTCACAGAGGTGGAAGAGCCGGCCACAGAATCAGTCGTGGAGGACAGAGGCTGTTCCCCAGTCACGGACAGGGAGGAGGCGCAGGGAACGTCCCCCCCAGAGAGCTATCTCATCAGGGCGAGCGAGCCAGCCTTCTGCCCCAACGTGCGAAAACCTCCATATCCACTCACTCACTCTCGCCCTGCATTCAACTGGTGACTGGAGCTGCAGCGAGACCGAGAGTCGCTACCGAGGATTCAGCAGAGAGAGAGAGAGAGAGAGGGAGAGAGGGAGAGAGAGAAAGAGAGAGAGAGAGAGAGAGAGAGAGAGAGAGAGGGAGAGAGAGGGAGAGAGAGCATCTGATACTAAAGATCTGAGAACTAACGCTGCAGCTTACAGATAGAGGGTGGGGAAAGAGGAGAAATGTGGAAGAGGCTCTTTGTCAACCGAGCGACTGATTACGCTCTGAGCTGAGTAGCGGCAAGGTAATTAATCAATGATCGTCCCAGAGAAAGAGAACAGAGGTGAGGAAGGGGAAAAGGGAGGCAGAGAGAAAGAGTCCTACAGAAAGAAATGTAAAGGGGGGAAAAATAAATGTGAATAAAAAAAATTAAGAACAAAAAACAGAAATATAAAAAAATGTAGCTGTAAAAAGCGCGGGTGAGGGGAAAGAGAATGAATGAATGAATGAATGAGAGGAGGGAAGAGCCAAAGAGAGCGAGATAATTCCCTGATGCAAGACGAGTCGCTGGGGGAGGAACCAGTGAGAGAGAGAGCGAGAGAGAGAGAGAGAGAGAGAGAGAGAGAGAGAGAAAGACCCACATGCATCTTTGAGCTGCAGTGAGGCTCTCACAGAGACACGTGTGTGTACAAATGAGCCCTGACTCAAAAGGCACAAGTTTAATACTGGCATCTCTCTAAGCTCCTGTTGCACAGCATGACAGAGCTGGAACACAAGCGAACTGGGATCAAACCTGTTTCAGCACACACCTGGCCAATGATCACCACACCACACACTATTTCAGACATCACTGCTTGCACATAAGAAATCAAGTCAAGTCAAAGTTTATTTATATAGCGCTTTTTACAACAGGTGTTGTCACAAAGCAGCTTTACAGAAAAAAAGAAGCCTGTTGGCAGGTATTATTTCCTTAAGGAATGAATTTTGTGCAAGCTTCCTATCCAACACTCTTCTGCGTTTTCATTAAATTCTCTGCACCTTATCCTACTATTTTATTCATATTAATATATTTATATCTTGGATGAAATAGGATTTATTTCTATGTCTTCAATGTCAATCGCATCTTGATACATATTTAAATGCAGTAACTCACTTGAGTAACTCATATTTATGTCTTATCTCAGTGCTTTCAGCACTTTTAATGCTAACTGCAAACACTAGTCACATTTAATAAGCCATAAATCTTAATCTATATAAAACTGTGTACATATTGTGCATATATTTATTTATGTTGGTTTTATGCTGTATGCTTTACTTACAGTAATTATGCTTACATGTCAGTGCACTTTATTCCTTTATACTATGTGTACTTTTTTTTTTTAGAGCTGTTTGTATTGTGTGTTACGGGTCCTTTTATTGTCTTTTATTTTATTTCTTTTATGTGCGGTGTGTATGCTGCTGCAATAAAATAGTTTCCCTCTATGATTAATAAAGATCAGTCCTGTCTAGACACACAGAGCATATAGTACATGCATATGCAATTGTTGCTGTTTCTGAGAGTCATACAACAGGATAAAAGCCTTCAACCCAAGAGGAAGACTCGCAGTCTCGCAGGGCCAGATGTGATCTTGTAACAACTTGTTAAAATTTTGCTGCCAGTTTGCAGCAAAATCCAGCACACACAAGGCTATGCCTCTTTTAAAACATGCCCCCAACTTTTTACAGTCTGTGCTCTTTTAATGTCCAGAGTACAACTGATAACACAAACAAAACAAGCTAGTGAACCACTATCGTTAGCTGACAGAACCATTTTTCGCTTGTAAGAGGTAATGTTTATTTTACCACATGCACATATGACACACATGTATATCCATAATACTTTTAACAGTTTGTAACTTCACATCCATGGGGTAATGACAGACTTGCTGTCCTTCAGACAATGCTGATAAGTGCACCATCATTACCTAATTTCAGCTCTGCCTTAACAAAACACTGGACTGGTTTAGAGGTTTCACTCTCTGTTTATTCGCATCTTAGTAAGTCTATGCTCATACCCACATTTAGCCAAAAATTTCTCATGGTTGCTCCAGATGATCTTGTTCTGAGATCTTGTCTTGTTCCCGAAACTAGGGGAAGATGAGTAAATTTGTGGCTTGGTCTCAACAAAATCCTTGCGTCCTTAAGTGCAACCTGAGGTGCAACAGGAGCATATGAATATCATGAACAAAGAAACAGAATCTGCTCATGAAGTTGCACAATATTTCTTGAACACTACTCATCATCATTAAGGATCGGAGCAGATGAGGAAAGGGGCAATGGCTCTTCACACAGAAAATTATCTCCGTTCATCACTGTTTCTACAGCCAATTCAGAACTCTCAGGAAGAATGACACACCTATAATTTGTACTTTCTGAAGTGCAGAAAATGCAAAGGCTCTTCTAGGGACCTACTATTCTCACTGCTCCTTTGCTCTTCAATTAGGATAATTCCTCCCGAAAAACGTAAGACGTAGGGCCCTGACACACCAACACACCAGTTCGAGGGCCATCGAACACCATCAGGCTGTTAGTGACTGACCGCTGACCAGAGTTTGTGTGATGTGTCCCAAACTGTTGGCTCTAGATGAGTTTTGTCAGTGCTATCTTGGCTGACTGAACATATGAAATTCTTTGGCCGCAAAAAGCGAAACGAAAGAGGGTACACACAGAGTGCCCTCATTTTTCAACACCAGTGTAGGTAGGAAAGTTTTATCACTAGGTATAAAACATTACTGGTGAAACCAATCAACCTGTGAGCTGGTCAGTCTAGACCTTTGTGGGTGTTCCAGACTACTGCCACATCCTGCTATGGAGAATCATGTCCTTTCACACAGGCGCAGAAAGCATGCGTGTCAGCTGTGATTGTTGCAATGTGCTCAAGTGCAAATTTTCACAGAAGACGAGGGGCAACAGCGAGCTGACGGGAGGTGATCACAAGTTGGCCTTAAGGGCTTGTCGGCTTGGTCTGTCTGGACCCTTTGAAAACAGTATTGACTGGCCATATTAGTTCCTTTCCATCCTGAGCAGGAACCAGGTTTCAAAATTTACTTTTTTCTAAGATTCTTCCAAAGAGTTAAGCTGGTTCATCCAGGTGTGGCTCTCAACAGTGGGTCCCAATAAGTCAGATCAGCTTAGCATGTTAACCTGCACTGGGGACTTGAGAAAGAAACAAGCACAGTGATCACAGGAGTCTGGTGAGGCTAATGCTGTCTGGACATGTGGCAGCCCAAGACATGCAGCACACCTGGCCCTGGTGGGATTTCAGGCAGGTGTCTGCACCTGAAATCTTGCGGCCACAGGACCACACTGACAAATGTGGCTTCTTCTAATCCTTGTTATGAGAAGGATCTATATTGGCCACTGCAAGCAACAATTGCTTGCCAATTATTGTGAATGCTTGACAAATCGTACTGAGATGCTACTATTTGGATTCAATGTGAACAAGCCAAAAGCCGAAGTCTTTTGCCCTTGAAAAGATTTCTTCTTATTCCTCAAAATAGTTGGTAGTTTCAGCTGTAGTTAAGCATCCTGGGCAGTCGTATTAAGGGCCAGCTTAGTGATCGAAAGTGAGAGGAGGTTTCTGAATGACCATGTGATGATGGATCAGTTATTAAATACAGAGGGAGGTAGCTCTTTCCAATATGTCTTGGTTGCCAGCTATTCAGAGTGATTTGCTCTATCGAGGGATACCGAAAC